GGCTGTTCATGCTAATGAGGGAGACATCATCACCACTGGGCAGGACTTACCCATTTGATGACACATTCAAAGGGAGAATGTCAACCAAACTGGTTCTGAAGACAAGTGTGATGTAGAAAAATGTAATTTTACCATTAGAGACTGGCTATATTCACACACTGTTGCCACACAAGTGCATTTATACCACTTATAAAAATGTTTTTTGCATAATAGGTCACCTTTCACATTTGAGTTGAAATTTAGCTTACTTTATTGTAAAGTCTTACCAATAACACTGCAAAATAGCAAATTATATATGACATAAAGACCAATTATAAATATATAAATATGCATATCATGCAACACTCAACAAGAAAAATTAACTCAAACCAGTATTTCAGTGTGTTTGAGTAAATCCATTTAAATTAAGAAACATTATCTCTTTCTAGACCTTCCTCTATATCAATAATAATGCATTCTGAAGACTTTTTGTGTTTTTAGCAAAGTTCTGTAGACACTGCTTGCACAATCCTGTAATTGCAACTGCATTTAATGATTTTGAAACATTATATCACACTGTTGTGATTGTAAATCTCATTTTGATTTATTGTTTTATTTTAACACTGAATATTGAATGGTGGTCCCCAAACAAACCTGTGCCTGAGGCTCTCGCAAAACCACAATCCATCCAGAACCTGAACATATACTCGCAGTGCAAGTTGACTTCATCAGAACGGTGTGAACGCTGCGGGGAATTACAACATGGGTTCAATTTAAATCATTTTCCTGCCATTGGAATTAGGTACGAGGGCGTTAAGACTCCTAACAGCCTCAGGGAAAAGCTGTTTCAGAGTCTAATAAAGTTAGTCTGTGTACTATAATATCATTTGTGAGACTGTAGGAGGGTGAAGGGCTTTCAGAGGTGGCATTTATCATACTGTAGGCCTTGTTCATCCAATTTAAGCAGTCACTACAATAACAATTTTTTTCATGTATATGTAATTAAATTGAATATCGTAACTTAAAAATCATTAAGCTGTGTGCGTTAATTCCTTTCAGGACAGTTATTGCAGATAGAAATAATGCAAAGCATAATGGTCTTTCATTTCAGCAGGACAGACTTTTGATATTCTATCAAAACCAATTAATGGGGCGAGATATGCGATGAGGGACGGGTGAATTACTTGGACACACTTCAAGTGCTTTTTTAATATAATCACTGTAAACTGATTCCCCACGACAGCTCTTACAAGATTAAAAAAAAACAAAGACTGTGATTAGAAGGCAATAGTTTAGAGGCAACTTAGGTTGGGAGATTTAGATTCAATCTGCATAGCATTACTAGAACCTTACTGAACGTTGTCAACATTTGAACTGCTCTTATTCTAGCCGAAATTAAACAAATAAGACTTTCTCCCAAAGGAAATATATTTTCAGACATACTGAGAATTGTCCTGGCTCTGTTAAACATCATTTGGGGAAAAAAAATATTATATATATATATATATATATATATATATATATATATATATATATATATATATATAAAATATATATGTATATTTTTTTTTTTAAAGGGGGGGGGCTAATAATTCTTTCTTCAACTGTGTGTGTGTGTGTGTGTGTGTGTGTGTGTGTGTGTATATAAGTACACCTCTCTGTCTTTTAAATTCAGATTTTTAAAGGGAAGCTATACAATATTATATTTGTGCATATACATTAGAATACTTAGTACAGATGCCAAATCTGGAGCTTATCTAACAAAATAACTTATGAAAACGGCCCAAAAACTAGTCCACCCAAATTTATGTTATAGAAAAATATTGAATACAAATTTAAAAAAGAAGAAAATCCCTTTCTTCCTTTGGCTGAACCCACCAACCATGTAAAGACGACCAGTTTAATATGAAAATTGCTGATTTATAAATTGAAATTGCTGTCATTATTTGTGACGTAAACACGACAAATGTACCATGTTCAAAACTCAAACCACTATTTAGCACACATACATCTTAGCAGTCACAAAGTAAGTCCTCAAAAAAAGTACATTCTCAAGAATCTCATCCAAAAAATCCAATTCTTGATGTAGTCTGTGACTTGGAAAATGCTGTAGGACATCTAAGTGTCCTATGCATACAGAAAACAATTACTTTATTGCAACAGTAGAATGAGTATGATATAAGTGAGTTTGAAAAAGTGCTAGCAGACATTACCAGAACAGTCCAAGCAAAAAAGAAAACTCTGCTAACATTCAGCCTCCAGTTTGAATTTCCTTCTTTTGTTGACCACAAAGCAAGATACAGTGAAGAATGCTGGAGGTAAAAAACAGCAGCTGACGTATGTAGTATTTTTGTTCAAACATGAATAATTGTTGTTTTTCCCAGAAAATTCTTCAGAATATCTTGAGGACAAGTTGATGCATTACAAAAAAGAAAAGACATTTCAATTCATATATTCTCCACATGGCAGATGATAAAGCTAAAACAATAACATTCTTTCCATTACCTCATATTCCTAATCATGAGGATTATTAACTTATTGAATTAGAGTCTGGAATTGATATTGGCCTGATCCTCCATCTATCAGCAGACATCACTGATGAACTAATAAACCCGGTCCTCTGAAAACGCAGATTAGAAATAATATTATGTTAAAATGTGATAACCCAACTATCGTGTGTCCTTCAGCAATGAAGGAATAATATTTGAGCAGCAAACATACGGATAGAGAAAATCAGAGCAGGCATGTGAATGATGAAGTCAATATAATGTAACTGCACGCTGGACAGTTTTGAAAGCCTACCAACCCGGGCGTCCTTTGATGTCACTGCAGCACCATCTTAATTAAAATCTGAAAATTATCATTCTGCCTGGGATTTGTTTTTATGGCGGAGCGGCGTAATGAATGGCACTTATGCCTTTGACCTCCTGTCTAACTGCATCCACCATAGTGAATCATGCAGCTGCGTGTCTCTCATCCATTCTAATGAGATCTCATTTACCCACTGTTATTATTGAACACTGGTGCAAAGCCATGGTGAGATAAAGACAATCATCGCACATTTTTAATAGTACAAAATACCTAGCATTAATACTGTCTTAAGAGAGATTTCCCCAACTATAAACAGACATATTTAAAGGATACTGGCATACATACAATAAATGTTGTCTAAGATATCTCTCCACTCAAAGGCTTTCAGCTGGCATGAGAGCTTTTGGTCTTTTGCCATGAAAGAAGATCTATGTGCACGTAAATGCAAATGGCAATAAGAAAGACTTGGATTGAGGTTTACTCTAGGCTTTCAATTAAGGAGAGAGCCTGTAAATAGTGATGCAATTTTATGTTACCTGTAGTACTCTGTGACTTTGAAAAGTTTATATTAATAAAATCTTAAATGCAACTCAACCCAAATGCAGTCCAGATGCTGAATGAATGATTGATGACTGATGAAGAGTACTTGCTTATAAACATGTCTTTTGCAACAATTATTTTAATAAAAAAGGTGCAAAGAATTTGCTTAGCCATAAACCTCACAACTACCACTACAAAAATAGTCATATTTTTGTGGATAAAATAAAAAAACAATCAGATCTGATTCTGCACAGACATCTGATGGTACATGCATGAGATCGAACTATTATAAACCTACCAGTATTTCTTTTACTTACTATAAAGCACATGCTTTAGCACAAGAAAGATGCACGAAATGTTTAGATTCGTTTACCACATGGCTGTATTGTCAACAAGTTTGTGTATGCGGTAAATATCTCCCTCCAGTGGTAACTGTGTGTAAATGCAAGGCCTACGAACATTTTGCCCAAATGTCCCTGTCTATGAGTGTGTAACTTTAATGTACATTTGAATAAGACATTAAATTTTAATAAAAAACTAGTAATCTTTTTTTCAGTTTTAATTTCACCTTAATTTGTGATCTTAGTTAACTAAAAATAATTCATTCATTTTCCTTCGTCTTAGTCCTTTTATTCATCAGTGAATTATCGCCGTCATTCCACGCGGAATGAGGGCCAGAATATGGGGAGATGTGGGCCATATCTGGGCCAGATGTAATTTGGTATCTGGGATTCATTATCAATGAACCGCCAACTTATCCAGATTATGTTTTACACAGCGGATGCTGCGATACAACCCATACACATTCATTCACTATGGATAATAAATTTAGTTTATTCAATTTATTCAAAGCCAAATTATTTAATGGCTTTGAGAATGTATGAATGTAGAGAAATTTAAAGAGGCATGTGATGCAATTTAACCGTTTGATCCCGAATATTATTTTTCATAATTGAACTTGACTTTAAAAACTTGACTCATTGAAAAGTTGCTACTTTTGTCTATGTTTTGCACAGATAAGCATGACTGAGAAAATTCCTTGTTTTAGCTTTTCCCATAATAGGCCCAGCCAATCACTGTCCTTATGTGTTTTGATTGAACCCTTTCTGCATGTCTAGGTTAGGGTTGATTGAGCATTATTTTATTTTGAAGGTGATTAAATTATCGGTGGGGACATTTCAGTAATTGCTGGATATTGGTGGGGGGACATCCCCTCGGTCCATGGCAAATCTATGCCCTTGGCAGTGATAGACTTTTACCAAATGTTAAACATGGTGCTTAAAATGAGGATAACCATAGCTTTTCCTTACAAGCACAATGAGAAAAGCCCTTGCCTAATTTGTTTACTTGCATTTGGGTTGCTTTTTGATGTATATGTCCCTGTTAAATAAGAATAAGAATAAAAATAATAATTAAGAATTGGTAAACACTGAATGCGTGCTTAGATTTCTCATACAACATACTTGCACTTAAAAATTGCAGAAAACATTGTGGTTAATTTAGCACTGTCGCCTCACAGCAAGAAGGTCGTTGGTTCAAGTCCCGGCTTGGTCAGTTGGCATTTCTGCGGGAGTACTTTTCCTATATATTGACATCATTTATTTTCAGGAAAATGGTGTGTTATTCCATAACATTATGAAAATATTTTCATCCACTTCCTCCACTGAGCAGTCACTCCCTCACCCACTCACACGCTCTCTAAACTCCGCCTCACAGCTTGTCCGTCGACGTCACTTCATTTTACTCCCAGCATTCCCTGCTGCAGCTCTCATCTTGAAGTTCAGAGCAAGATGGCGGATAAAGCAGGTATGGCTCGATGAGATGTACATAGCTTATTGTATTCCACTGTTTGATGCGATGCTTTAGTAAACTCTGCGTTTTTATTGTTCTCTGCGCCGTGAGACCTGTTTGCAGTGAATCTTCAGTGTGTCGTTTGTGTGTAATGGCGCTAAAGGCCTCGATGCAGACAGACGCGAGTCATGTCAAGGACTTTCAGTAACATTGACTGTCAGATTACATTAATGACTGAATACAATGTTCATGCTTTCTTTTAGTGTGTGTAAGATGTTGATTAGTTAAGCGTGCTGTGTAGTTAATGAGATGAAGCAGAATTATTATGCTGCTAACGATAATGCGTGACTCCTTTCATTCAGCAACTGAGAGTTTTAAAGCGACAGTGTTTGGCTTTGTACATTTAATTTGTCATTGACTTGTGCAAACGACTACGTTTAATAACTGTTTAATGATTAGCTATTTTAAAATTGTATTTGTGGTCGAATTGTCGATTAATAAAAAAAATAGCATTATGGTCCATATATTTACACCATTAATTTACAAAATAATATCGTCAGGGCAAACAAACATACTTTTTTATGTAACTTAAAGTTGTTTGGATATTTTGCAAACAAATTATTTTTTCTCTAAGCCATAGCGTCAATGTGACTTTTTTTTAGTCTAATAGCAATACATTCATTCATTTATTTTCTTTTCGGCTTAGTCCCTTTATTAATTAGAGGTCATCACAGCGGAATGAACCGCCAAGTTATCCGGCATATGTTTTACACAGCGGGTGCACTTCCAGCCAAAACCCATCATTGGGAAACAACCATACACACTCTTTCATGCACATACACTACTGACAATTTAGTTTCTTTAATTCACCTATACCACATGTCTGGACTTGTCGGGGAACACCTGGAGGAAACCCACGTGAACACTGGGAGAACATGCAAACTTCACATCACAGAAATGCTAACTGATTCAGCCGGGGCTTGAATCAGCGACCTTCTTGCTGTGGAGCGACAGTGCCAACTACTGCGCCACTGTGACACCCCATAGCAATATAGATTATTTTTAAAAGTTAGTATTAACCTAATTTAGATTCACAAGGAAACTATCTGACTGAGATAAAACAATTGAATACCCATAATTTATTAGCTTTTTTACCCTTCTTTGTTAAAAACTTAATTGTGTTTTGTTGGTTAGTTTCCCTGGCCGAGAAGAAGCTTATGGACGTGAAGCTCGGGCAACTGCCAGCTTGGCTCGGAACAAGAGACTTCACCCCAAATGGAGTTGTTAGAGGAATTCGTGGAGGTACAATTCAGTGTATTTCACCCTCGTAACATTTGTGACTGTTTGGGATATGTGGGAGATGGATAAATGGCTCAAGTTTGGTTAAAGAGTTTTAGTAAGAAGATAAAGCTTTATATAAATGCTTTGACATCCAATTTTCAGCAATTTACTTAAAAATTGTAACAAAAAAAGCTGCACTGTTCTGTTCATTTTATGGCTAAATAGCACCTTTTAGATGTCAAAATTATTTATAAAATGTTGAAATTACAAATGTGTGTATAAACTGGACGGACGGTTACAATTTACTAGAGCTTCTATTTTAAAGCTGCTTTGACACAATCTAGATTGTATAAGCGCTACATAAACATGAATTGAATAAACCTTTGTAAAATATATAAATATTTAGCCTTTGTCCCAAATCGAACTTAATTTTTGAAAAGAATATTGTTCATTAACTAATACACTCACCAGCCACTTTATTAGGTACACCTTACAGAACTGCCTTAATCCATGGCATAGATTCAACAAGGTACTGGAAATATTCCTGTTATTTTGGTCCATATTGACATGACAACATCACGCAGTTGCTGCAGATTTGTCAGCTGCACATCCATGTTGTGAATCTTCCGTCACACCACATGCCAAAGGTGCTCTATTGGATTGAAATCTGGTGACTGTGGAGGCCATTTGAGTACAGTGGACTCATTGTCAAGTTCAAGAAACCAGTCTGAGATAATTCGGCATGTAGTGCTGGAAGTAGCCAGTCTGCAGTGGCGTAGCGGACGGGCCCGCAGGGCACGCACCGCAGGGGGGGCCCACGTGATCAGGGGGCCCCGCGTCGTCGCGATTTTTAATAATTGAAAATCCGGCAACCGCAATAATCAAACTCTTGGGAACAACTGTGGTCGGAACCAAAGTTCACAGGTCTGTGTTCTCTGAACACCTCTCAAGCGGTGGACTACTTCATTCTGATTGCTTGCCACCAATGTTGCCAACTTAGCGACTTTGTCACTAGATTTAGCGACTTTTCAGACCCCCCAGAGACAAATCTAGCGACTTTTTTGTGTTATTGGAGTTTTTTTTAGACTGTCATTTGTCCATACTGTACCGTGACCCTACTCTTCTCAACGAGCTGCGTGTGATGCCGCCAACCCCTCCCCCGCCTCACAGCACTGACAGGCGGCCCAGTCAGTCCTCATACAGCAGCCTCTCCCACCTGCAGCCCGAGAGCAGATCACCCCTCTGCGTACCGACGACAAATGATTTAGCACAGGCAGTGTGAAGGTATTTCCCTTGTACAGTCTAACCGATCTACTTCTACTTTATTTACACAATTTATTTGGACCGTTTATTCTTTTCTTGTTCACAATCACAGATATTTTAGTGACAATTTCTGAACTTGTCTGAGTTTGTTACATATGAGAGATTACTGCACATTCACTACACATCTATAATGACATACTGTATTCAAACAGCAAAACATTTAGTTAAATAAACATGCTTATATAAAGTGTAGTGCAATTATAAATACCCCTTTAGTAACCATAGGCTGTTAAACAAACAGAAACGGTAGAACTTGACGTATGACGTTCTCTCCCCCCCCACTTCATCAGGGGGCCCCGTCAGCGATCCCTGCAGGGGGGCCTCCGCATTTTGCCCTACGCCACTGCCAGTCTGGCCATCCTCCTCTGACCTCTGCCATCAATAAGGCATTTGCGCCCACAGAACAGCTGCTCACTGGATATTTCCTCTTTTTTCGGACCATTCTCTGTAAACCCTAGAGATGATTGTGTGTGAAAATCCCAGTAGATCAGCAGTTTCTGAAATACTCAGACCAGCCTGTCTGGCAACAACAACCATGCCACGTTCAAAGTCCCTCAAATCACCTTTCTTTCCCATTCTGATGCTCGGTTTGATCTGCAGCAGATCTTCTTGACCATGTCTACATGCCTAAATGCATTGAGTTGCTGCCATGTGATTGGCTGATTAGAAAGTTGCATTAATGAGCAATTATGCAGGTGTATGCAATAAAGTGGCCGGTGTGTATTTATGACTAATATTGACTAATTCAGCATAAAACGCTGATCACTTTTTCATTTGGAAATTGTATAATTAATATGTTAATATTGGTTTCTCAAATTTGCACTTTAAGAGCAACCATGAGTAATAAATTCAGAGAAATATAATGATATTAAAGAAATTCTGGTAATACTGCTATTATGTTCATAATGATAATAATATAGCTCATAATTTGCATGCAAAGAAAATTCCACATAAGAAGTAAACATGGTGACGAGTCAAAAATAATTGTACTTCATGTCTACATGTACAAATTTACTTTGAGGGTTACTATTAGACAAACCTCTTTATTAAAATCTGTTTGTGATTTGGCTGTGCTATGATTATTCACCAATCAAATGTTGTCTTAGGTTATGAGAGGTATTACAACAAATACATCAATGTGAAGAAGGGTGGCATTGGTGGAATTGCCATGTTCCTTGTTGGTTACGTTGTCCTGAGCTACGCCTGGGAATACGACCACATCAGTAAGTACAAACTAAATAGATTGAAGACACTCGTACTATTATCCTTTACTTTCGTTGTGTACATTGAGCATCACTAAAGAAGTTTCTGTCCATCTATAGAGCACGACAGGTGGAGGAAGTACCACTAAACCAATGGACCACCGGGCCGCTCAAATCCTATCTTCTGCAGCAGTGTGATCACCTCTCAGCTTTCTCTCTTTGTGACTGTTGTGACCAAGAATAAAATGACATTTATTTAAATTGGACTCTTTATTGAACGCATACACTAACAGACCATTAAAGCTGTAGTTCACTTAAATGAAAATTCCCTCACTGTTTACTCCAGAGGTTTTAAATTTTATATATTTTTTCTGTTGAACATGTTTTGAAGAATGTTGGAGGCGAAAGCAACAACTGACTTCCATAGTAAGTCAATGGCTGCTCTTTTCCCCCTAACATTCTTCAAAATATCTTCTTTTGTGTTGAACATAAACTCCAACAGGTTTGACGTGATGGGTAATTTTTTTTTTTTGGTGAACTCGCTATGTACTGGAGTTTGACTACTCGAGATGAATGTCTTAAATTAAATTGGTTGTATTTAAGATTTTACTCAAGTGTTTAGTATGATTTCTTTGAGGGGATATTTCAGGGGTGTCAAACTCAATTCCTGGAGGGTCGAAGCCCTGCACAGTTTAGTTCCAATCCTGCTCCAACACACTTACCTGTAGGTTTCAAACAAGCCTGAAGGACTCAATTAGTTTGATCAGGTGTGTTTAATTAGGGTTGGAACTAAACTGTGCAGAGCTGCGGCCCTTTTGGAACTGAGTTTGACACCTGTGGTATATTTGCACAATGTTTTAGGGCAGGGGTGGCCAACCCTGTTCCTGGAGAGCCACCTTCCTGCAGATTTCAGTTGCTACCCATATCAAACACACCTGAACCAATTAATAAGGACCTGAACACCACGTGATAATTACAGGCAGGTGTGCTTGATATGGGATGCAACTGAAATCTGCAGGAAGATGGCTTTCCAGGAACGGTTGGCCACCTCTGTTTTAGGGCCTTAAAATGCTAAGTTTGAACTGATTTCAAATAGTTATGTTTAATATTTTTATATAAAACTCCATTCAAACACTGCATAAGGGCAAAACTGATACACTATTGTCTTTATGTATGTTGCAAAAGTGCTATATTATCACATTGTGCAAATGTGTATTACGTACTAGACGGCTGAAACAAGAAAGGTGGAGTTATAAATGAAGAGTTCAGATGCGAAAACCTCAATGCCATCCGTTTATCTTCAGTTATTTCACTTTAAAGGCAATATAAAGAACTTATTTGTCACTGTAAAAGAGAAATTACTGAGCCTACACACAGGAGTCGAAGAGAGATGCTAATTTTAGAAGAAAATATGAAATGGCTTTTAGAGGTTTTTGCATTTAAATATATATATAGTTTTACTAGATTACCAGACAATTACTAGATTACTTTTAACATTGCAAATATCCCAAAGAAAAACTAGTATAAAGTTCATCATTGTCATGTAAATATACACAGATTTTAAAACACAATTCAATATGTTGCAAAAAGGCTTTGACAGGGTTCATACACATTTTACTACTAAAATTCAATGACTTTTCCAGTACTTTCAAGCAAATTGTCATGACCTAATGTTTCATGTAATGTCTACGTATATGTGGTAAATAATAGAAAAAAAGATCCATGTTTAAAGTTTTTACAGCATACCACAAAACATGCAACAATCTATTTAGTTTAAATGAATCTTTACATCTTTGTAAAATGTATTTAGATAATGTTCACACAGCACTAACAACGTGAGAGCATGCGTTTGACCATGGATGTAAAAGAAGTAAAGACAACTAACCCATATTTAAGTTTACAGACAGTTGTTAAACTAATTTCCATGACTTTTCCAAAACTTTGTTGGTTTTTCAATTTTTCCAAAACTTTTCCAGGCCTAAAAATGCCATGTCAAAATTCCATGACTCTTGAACCCTATGAACACTATGTTTTAGGTGATGAAATGGTCTTACATTTGTGAAGCACCAACATCTGAAGAAGTGACCATCTAGCAAATTTTCATACTATTGAATATAGATAAAAACAAGACCATGGTCTCATAAATCCAGATAATCTTTATTGTAAGTACAACCCAAACATCTGTTTTAAATGTAATTTATATAAACAAGCCATTTTGATGCTGCAAAACGGTGCTCTTCAATTTCAGATCACACTGGCTGCTATTGCCAAAAGTTCCCCAAAAGACTTTCATATATTTTGCTTTATCACTTTAAAATGTAAAGGGATAGTTCACCAAAGAAGAACATTCTGCCATCATTTACTTTCCCTTGTTCAAAATCTATTTCAATTTCTTTCTTCTGTTAAACACAAAATAAGATATTTTGAGAAATGTTAGTTGTTGACATCCTCTTCCATAGTAATTTTTTCCCTACTATGGAAGGAAATGGGTGACAGCAACCAAAATTCTTTAAAATATCTCCTTTTGTGTTCAACATTTGAAATAAACAAAAAAACATGCAGGTTATTGTCATTTTTGGGTGAACTATCCCTTTAAGCATTCAAAAAATCTTCCAGCTCTAAATAAAATAGCAGAGATTCACGTTTCAAAGCATGAAATCGGGTATGTAAGGTTTCATGTGAAAGAAAAACAAAACTCAATATAAAAATCTTTTACTGATGTGTTCTACCTGTTGAAAGTGTTATGTGACTGTGATGCGCTTGGCATACGTGATGGTGGTGAGGTAGAGCCACATTTATGTCACTCAACTACACCCTTCTCAGTGAGAGGGTAATGTACCAGGAATCGAATACCTCACGTGATGACCACATTTATTGGAGATCCTTTTTACAGAAAGCTTCACTGTCCACTCAAAAACGCCAGGTGTCCTTTTGTGCATTTGTTTGCGTAATGGCCCTTTTCACCACACTGCAAGAAACGAGCAGACGTTGAATGTGGTCGCACAATTTTGAGGGAGAGGGTGTGTATTTTATGCATGAAATCAAACAGAGCCTTTACCTTGTAACATGTAACTTGGTCCAGCGGGCGAGGGCCACGAGCTCCACCCATGTGGCTGTTAGAGTGCACTATCCCTACAGCGTTTGGAATTCTCTGGTGGTTGTTGTTGCTGATGTTGGGGTTGGTTAACTGGATGAGTGACTGTGATGACCTGTTCATGGGCTGCATGTTTTGCTGCTGGAGAATCAAATTAACATGATAGGTTTTTGTAATATATAATAATGAATTATTATTTATAAGTAGGGCCAGACGGAATCTGCGGACACTTTTGCTATTTCTGCGCAGAATAGGGTATATGCTGAAGCATGCTAACAGGACTTTTAATTTGCCAGTAACCTGGGTTCAACTCTTCCGGTGAACTTTATGTCAATGGAAAACCGGCGCATTTAAGGTCTGTTTTCTTTAAAAATCAGCTATCTCCACTGGCTGAGTGATATCCGATATAAAATGGGTCTCAGATTGTACAAGAAGCACCGCATTAAATTACATTTCCCCCCGCCATGTCTTTATAAAATGAGCATTTATTTTACCCCAGTATATTGAATGGAGCTTCTGCGCTAACCTGCCGATTCTGACGGGCGCGTGCGGGCAAACGGCTTTTTGTCTCGTTTTACACTTGAGCATCTAAATGAATACCAAAGTCTGTTTAACTGATTGTATTTTGATTATATAACAACATTGATGCTATGAAAGGAAAAAATAAAACAGAAAAAAACAGCTCACCGGAAGTTTATCAGCATGGCAAGAACACTAGCTCGGCATATACCCTACTTTGGTAAAAATCTGCGGATTTATGCCAAATTATTTTGGGATTATCTTAAATAAAACCTTAATACATGCAATAAAAAGTAATACATTTTTAACTTGTATTTAATGTTTACAATGCAGATCCAGTTAGATTCACTTTATTTAGTAAACATAACAAGTCTATCATATATCTACTAAAAAACAGAAAATGTTACTTCACAAACTGTTTTGTAAATAAGTCATATAAATATTTTCAGATTAGTCAATAAAATTGTAATTAATTTAAAAACTGAATAAATATGAATTTACACACATTTACACAAGTAATTAAACAGAACCAATGATGGGCTAAAAATCTGCGGAATTCTGTGTGCGCAGATTCTGTGTGGGCCTATTTATAAACATAATATATATATATAAATAATTATTTTAAGTTCATGATTGTTTATTATCTTTAAAGCGATGCTCCACTTTTTTTTGTAAAAAGGCTCATTTTACAAGTCGCCCAGAGTTGAACAGTTTGAATCCATTCAGCCGTTCTAGGAGTCTGGTAGGAGCACTTTTAGCTAGTGGTGGGCAAAGCAAGGCTTCATGAAACACTGAAACAGTCGAAGCTTCGAAATGTTTCAAAACCCCACTCTACAGTGACACCTAGTAGTATTTTTTTTGTATTGCTTGTATTGTACTTCAGCAAAGAACAGTTGAGCATATTGAGGTATTAAACCCCACTTTGTAGAATTGAAGCTTGAACCTTCAAGTAATTTAGTGGAGCGGAGAGAGTTTCTGATTAGCATGCAGGGATAGTGGGTTTGAATCCCAGCTGATACAGCTATTTTGAAATGCTTAATATCAGTTTGAAATGCTTTGTTCTTGTATCGTTTTGTTTCAACATTGGTTTGATATCCGAATAAACACTTTGTGAATAAATATGTCTTGTTTTGGTCATAAAACAGGGTTGTTGCTAGATCAGACATGGTTGTGGCCAGAAGTTAAAAAGGATTATTTATAGTATTCATTAAGTTTCCCATTTATTGTATTTTATTAACGACTACCCAATTCCTAAACCCAACCATCACAGTACTGTACAAATATTAATTATTCTTATAAAGTAAAAATATTAATTATTCTTATAAAGTATTAATTATTCTTACAAAAATTATGTTGAAGTGATGCCATTTCCGCAGCTGTATCCTATCTAGACTACACCATAAAACAGTAACATTATTAAAATATGTAAAATCTGAATTTCGGAGTATTTGTTCAAGTCGGGATTCGAACCCAAAAGCCATTTGAAGCACAGTGACAACATGCACACGCACAGTCCACTAGGCTATTGGAGACAGAATTTTTTCAGACCCTGTCAGTCAAATGCAGATTCGTCAGGTCTCGAAACGCTTCTGACATGATCGATGCTTTGAATCGCTTTAGTCACGTGACCAGGTTTTTCTAAACACTTTAGTCACGTGACCAGGGTGTTTCGGATCATGCTTCGGTGCAGTGTTTGAAACACTTGCGCTTTGGAATCTCGACACTGTCTTGAAACGTTAGTTTCACATAAGCCATCTCTACTTTTAGCTTAGTTTAGCAAAAATCATTGAATTGGAATAGACCATTACCATCTTGCTCATAAAAAAAATTCATAGTTACATTGTGTACTAAGACCAACAGAAAATGAAAAGTTGCTACTATCTTGGATAGTATGGCTAGGGACTATACTCTCATTCTGGTGTAATAATCAAGGAACTTGTTGTCGAGCTGTCATAGCATGGCACAAAGATTTTACATACCATAATATCAAAATTTAGACCATGTGGGAGTGAGAAGCTAATGGTCTAATCCGATTCAATGATCTATGCTAAGCTAAGCTAAATGGTACAATTGAACTGTTTAATGCTAGGAGGATTGAAAAATGAGTCTATTTTCAAAAGGGCCCTCCCATTTCTTATTTGATGGCTTCTGAAGAAGGACAATAACAATCAATACAATCCTAAAAAACTGAATCAAGTCCCACCCAAAAACCTTCTTCTCATTTGAGAGACCAATTCAGAAGGCATGTTTATATCACAGTAAAGAAGAAAAGATGATTATAATCTATATTTCATGGCAACTAAAACATTTTGTGGAAAAAAAAAAAAGATTAAAAACCTTTTGCTGAGTCTGTACTTGTTGTGGCAGTGGTGGCTGTTCAGTCGCACCCATCGGAAGTTCAAATCTTGGGCTAGAAAATGCAAAATGAAAATTCAAATGATTATAATTGATACAAAACTGTTTAATAAAATTACATATATGAATATGCATAAAATACAATCACGGTTACTCACTGCATAAATTTGCATGACTTGCCCTCTGGACAAAAGCCAACCAGGTAATTTACACAAATGACTCTTCTAGTGTGTCTGTGCCTGCAATCCGGACCTAAAGGAAGATGAGGTAAAATGATCTTATTGTGTTACCAATTTTGAAATAATCTTTCATTCAATACTAGGTATGTTTATGTAATGTAACTTTCTTTTAAATATTAATTTAAACATTCATTAAACTATGAGATCCTAGCTTGATCTAACAAAACTGTGTGTAATATATGTTGATGTAATCAAAATCAGCTTTCTGAAATAGTTCCTCAAGGCTCTGTGTTAGATTCAACCTTATTTTCAGTTTCTATTACCGGGTGACACATTCTACATCCTGCAGTATCATCATACAGTAAAGTTCTAAAGCTTTTAAGACTTTTTTAGGACTTTTAGTAGTTTTTTTTTCTAATATGAAAGACAATGGTTGCAGGTTTTCAGCATTCTTCAAGATATCTTCTTAGGTGTTCAACAGAAGAAAAACTCAGAGGTTTGAAACCGCTTGAGGGTGAGTAAATTGCATTTTTGGGTGAACTATCCCTTTAATTTCTACTTTTTAAACATTATTAGTTTAGTAAACTAGCTCAAGAGGCAAATATGAATAATTAATTATTATTAGTTATAATTAATTATAATATTTACATAAGCTATAGGCTTTTGCTTTATGTCTTTGGTTGACAATAAACTGTTACATTAGGGAGCTTTGTTGTTGTTAATATTGCTAATTATTTTAACTTTTTTCTACCCTGTAAAATGTTTTGACAAATCGCATATATATGTATGTGTGTATGTACGTATGAATGTATATGTATGTCAATATCTGGAAATTATAGCAAAAGACTTACCATGTTTACAAAAACCCCTATCATACCACGGGCAATCTTTAATCTTAGATTCTGGGTCAATGTGCAAGAATGGACACTCTTTATTACTGCACTCCCCTGCAAAACAATACAAACATTGTATTAGCATTATTAACAAACAAAATATAGATGGATGGATGGATATTACAATACTAACCAAATTTAGAGTAGAAATAACACTCGGGCATCTTAGTCATGTCGTACTCGTGTAAAAATTCACATTGATCTCCTTTCTTGCATAAGCCTCTAAGCCAATGCTTGCACACCACAGTCTTTTCTCCACTGATGTGTCTGAAGGGACACATTCCACCTGTCAAAAACGGGAAAGTTGAGTCATTGAGGGTCAATAATAATCTGATTTACACATGAACACTTCAACAAGCTTCTGAAATGCACAACTCACCTTTCATACAAGCAGCTCTCATGAAGTACTCGCATACAGCAGCGCCAGATTCTGGAAACAGAGAATATTTATCATTATTAAACTGTTTTCTGTGCTTAGTTAGTCTTATGTTTTGAAAAATAGACGAACATAAGCAAATATCCATCCATGAACTTACTATCCATTCCTGGAAATGGCAACGGCTGAGCGCCTAATTGTTGTTCAACAGCGATTTCAAGATCAAACTTGATGTGATCGACAGTGGCGATTAATTCCTGCATTTTGGAATTATATTGAGTATATTATTAATATTTTAACCAGCAGCTGAACCTCTTCTCGTTACAACACTTGATCAGAAAAGTAAAGCAAGTCTTAATGGCTAACAAGTTATCAGTTTGGCTTTGTTGTGGTTTAATATCAGACGTAAAAAAGAGAGAATGGCTGAAAAAGCACGCAGATATATTATCTATGTAAACGTTTTTTAATAAAGCGCAAGGGTGAACCGGTAAAGCAGAAAAACATTGTAAATAAACAGTTGGTTTCAGAAACGTCCACTTCCACAGCGCTGCTCGAGTGTGAACTCTGACCCACGAACTCTAGGCCATATAATCGATCACAGAGAATGGCGGTTTCTGGCAACGCGGGAGTGCACTTTATAATAGCTTATCTATACAACTTACAGTTTTGTATTGAAAGTGCATTTAAATGATGTATAATGTAATTTGACAATTTATTGTTAGAAGGCGACATATTTTAATAATGTGAAACGCTGTTGATCAGTGTGTTGGTTGTTGATTAAAAGGTCTGCTGTAGTCACTCGCGCCATGCAGCTTTATGAAGGAGTGCTGACAGTGGTGTGGTGTGGCAGGAGGTTCCTATTGACAAAGACAACTAGGATTTTAATGAGATAAATACGTTTATATGTTTAAAAAATATGATAAAATGTAGCTTTCATAAGTATAGATACAATCTAGAAGCTGTTTTTCCAAGAAATCGATATTAAATAGTGTTATTGGGAGCTTATTAAAACAATTTTCGAAACGTATGTTGCATTTCTACACTGTAAGAAAAACTATTTATACCCTTGGCTACTATTAATATTAAGATGGAGAGAAAACTTTTTTCAGCAGCATAAATCTGTTGTACATGATAAAATGAAAACCACGATAATCTCATTGATCAATATTGAGAAAATATCAGAATGATTTACAGTCATATTAAAACAAGAAAAGTTCAGATGGAAAAGCCTTTAAGTCCTATCTGAAATTTTCTTCTAAAATTTTTATTTTTTTCTGGATCCTGTGTTTATGACCAGTTATTTTACTTTATGATGATACATATTTCATTTTCACTGCTTTTAAAGTGAAATAACTGACCATAAAGGAGCAAAGTAAAATGCAAATTTTAGTAGAACACTTCAGATGGCACTTTTGCATCTGTACTCATATATTTGCTACTTTTTTACATTAGCTCAGCTGAATGAGTGTCCTGAACTTCAGAATTCCTAATCTGCAAAGTCTGGCCTACTTAAAATAAACAAATACATACATTTAAAGCATAAAATAACATTTTTTAAGACTTATTTCAAAGAAACCCCCATTTATCTTTTTTCCAAAAGCATCAGCTGTGTTTATTCTAATAAAAAAACAACAACTTAAGTGTCATTCTGAATCTTAAAAAAGAAAATACTATCAATGCATTAGCTGAAGCCCTATAGTTTCTCAGTTTTTAGTTTAAATACGCTGAAGGCGAAAGGGAAGCTAATTATAATACATCTGTATTGTAAATATGGATCATGTTACATTTATTGCAGTGATTTCAAAACAGTAGTTTCAATTGTTTTATAAAAGAAAACACTGTATAATGCAACAGCTTTGTAGCATTTGAAGCCATAGTTTCATGAATAAGAAATGCTTTTGTAAATATGGTGCATTTCAGATGTGAAATCAATAGCTGAGAAGTTGGTAAGGGAAAACTTAAATTTAAAAAAAAAAATTTAAAGGGTGTATGAGGAATTGTGTACCAAAAAATGAATTGGGAAAAAAATAAGGGTGAAAAACTATAGAGTGGGTGTGCAGCTATCAATGAAGACACAAAAGAATCAAGACCCATACAATCTGGTTGGTGCTAAAGACACACTTGGCCCTCTAACACTACTGTGATGAACTTTTTAGTATTAAAACAACATTGTTGCTTTTAAATCAGTTTGTTTTATTTCTATTGTCCTCATTTGAAAGCCAGTTTGGGTAAATGCGTCTGCTATTAAATACAATTAAATAAAAAAGCAAATATTTTGATTTGTATAGGATGGGAATGCCTATCTAAACCCTACCTTAATATTTTTTTTCTCTAGAGCAAAGCTATTTAAAATACATATTTTATAAAGCACATGTAAAGTACAAGATTGATTAAAAAGAATGATTAAGATCCAGCACAATTTAATAAAAATACCAAAAAGAAATCAATGCATACACAAACAATAATCATACGATTACAAGAGATCCAACGTCATAAATGACAAACCAATAAATGTATTAAAAATACAAATCAAAAGTTCAGTAAAGTCAGAAAGCTGTTTTCCTGCAGACTCATCCAGAACATCCTCTGCATCCACAGTGAGTGCACTCAATGATACGACCCTAAGAAAACAGAGAACAAATAAAAAAAACCTTAGCTCACACAGTTACTAAAAAGCAATTGAAATTAAGACCTGAATAACTCTTAACTGTTTTTATAAATGAATAACTTACCACTTCAAGCTTGCCCTTGGGAACCCTACATATGCAGTTTGTTCCAAAGTTAGTGTCCCGCGTCTGAATGCAACGCAGACAGCACAGATTTTCATAGCCCTGTTTCTTCCATTTAGCGATCAGATTCTTGTCTGCATAGCCCTCTCTGATGCAGTACTCATAGAGCTCTGGGGGAAAAAAATGAGTTAACAACTCGCATAAAAAACAACTGCAATACTAATATATATATATATATATATATATATATATATATATATATATATATATATATATATATATATATATATATATATAAAAGGGATGTTTATATTATGCAAACAAAATGATTATTAATGATAAAAATATCAGTGTTTGACGTTATGGTTATATATATAAAAAAGAATCTTACCAAAATATACAATCATACCTAAAAAAATAGGCCTGCACAATATACTGTTTCAGCATCAATATCGCAACGTGTGCTTCCACAATAGTCACATCACAAGATATACAATGTTGAGTCTGGATTACAGTTGACCAGTATTCACAAGTCAGAGCACATGAGACACTGCAGAATTTGACCATGTCCATGATGTAGTGTTTTAAGCCCTGTGACTGTGTGATCATTTTAAGAGAGTTTAAAGCACTTTAATACCACATAAAGAAGCTTAATAATGATTATTCATGAAGATTATGCAATGTTACTTTACATTTTGTTTCATCTCTGTACCTAAATACTGTTAGACTCTCCCCAGAAATCCATAAAGTACAGTTTATTTCACTTTAATGTTTGCTCTATTGTGTTTTATTCTGTGACTGTGGTTTGTTTGTAATATGCATATAATAAATTACATAAAATATATTTATATCTAACTCCGCTACAAAGTTATCACAATCAATCTAAATGAATGACTTTCCAAATAGAACTGCTTAAGTCGTCTGGTAAAATTGTATTTATACTAGGCATGGGACTATAACCGCTTTCAAGGTTTACAGCAGTTTGGTTTTAAAACTGCCAAAATGTTCTGGTATACTGTGAACAATATCTCCAGCAGAAAAGATATCTAAATATGCCATTTTAAATTGTGAAAAAATCTCTGTTTTTAAACCAAATGAAGACGGCAGAAATCATTAATTCATTTGAATTATTTCACCTGACATGTTTACTGCTCCAAAATATTTTAAATGTTTCTCATAATAAAATATAATGTGTTCAAAAGGAAAAAAAGTTTTTTACCCAGACATTTAAAAAGGACATATTTCAGAGCAATGAACACAATACCGTAAAACCATGATTTTTTTTATCCAAGGTTATCATATCGTCAGAATCTTATACCGGCCTATGCCTAATTTATACCGCAACATATGTTAAGTTTTTTCAATAACATGCATACCAACAAATGCACCTCTGTAGTCCAATTAAATAAATAAAAAAGTACATAATAGTTTAACGAGAGCAATACTTCAGATTAATTAGCGTATCTACTCTAGGTATGGGACAATAACCTGTTTTAATGCTTAACAGTTACTGCGGTTTGGAAAAAAGTCAAGGTTTTAAAACCATCAGAATTTTCTGCTATACTGTATGGACAGTATACGTGCAGTTTTTTTTTTTACAACGTTTTTATTTAGTTTTCTAGGGCAACAGTATCTCCAGAAGAAAAAGACTCTTCACATCAAAAGCTACAGTTTGCAAATATTTTAAATGTTTCTTAAAATAAAATATATTGCGTTCAATGGGGGGAAAGTTTATTTTTATACCCAGACATTTTAAAAGAATATATTTTAGAACAGTAATCTCAATATCGTGATGGTTTTTTTTTATCCAAGATCATTTTGAAGAACTTGATTTGTGTACTTCGTCTCCTACAGATAAAAAAACTGATGTCAACAAAAACTAACATCATACCTCGACTGATGGCCTTCCTCTTGTAGAAGAGGTCGAAGATGTAACGGCTGCGTTGGTGGTGAAGTCGGAAGATTGGCCACAGAGACTCAACTTTACGTTTGCCCTCATGTGGCTCGGTTTCAGCTGTGAATTGAAAGCTTCAGTTGTTCACTCCGTAGCAGACTCAAAATGTGAAATAATTCATTTTCATTACAGTCTAACCACCTATTTGGTTTAACGTATTAATGATGCTATAGTTATTTCAAGTGCTCTAACATCCATTCTATTAATTTAAGAATCAATATCAAGTAAACAACCCTTAGCGTTAAGTTAGCTAGCATTCTGACAAGCTCGTCGACTGTAAAACAAACCTTCGCGCATTTTCTGGTCCAGCTCATCGAGAGTCGGTTCTATGAGCTCCCACCCATCTGGAGGAGGTTTTCTACTCCTTTTTACTTTCGGCATTATATTATTTTGGGAATATATAATCAACTCGACGCTATTTAGCAAAAAACGAGCTGCTGCTCTAGAGCATCCCCGATCTCCGGCGCAGAGGGGTGGCGTCACACCAAAGGTCCTTTCAGCATTTCATTACACCAAAGTTACGTCAACAAGCTGTCTTTGTTCTTTAACAAATAAACACGAACCACAGTTGTTGTCCGCGTTATATTTCGACTTATCCAAATGCTAATATCATTTGTTATGAATTACTGAGTATCTCAAATATCAGCAATAGTTTTATTATGGTAAAGCTGTGATGTTATTCTGTAGTCCACCATATTGCATCAGGCTAGGTGTCTGATCGTGTGCCTGAATGTAAATATAAGAACATGGACCCGCTGGCTAAATGCTAATCGATGACTGTACCTACATAATCGTGGAGTTTTGTGTTGGTGTCATTTACTGTATATCACCCGAGCCGATAAATACCACGAGCGGTTAAATACTGGCATTCAGTACTTAGTTAAATACGCTAGGTTGTGAACTGTGGCAACCTGATATCATTACTGTACCAAGCCTTTATTGGGATTCCTAGTGTGTTTAACTCGATTATTTTTATTTCAAGTCAAGTTTATTCTTCATTATGCCTAAAGGAGGTAAGAGATTGTTTTGTTTTTGGTGTGGTCAGTGACTGAGCACGTTGAGTCGGTACACGTCATGAGCTCGTGCTCGTCAACGCTCAGCTGTCACAGTCTGTTGTTATGATTGATAATATATGGATATTATATAGATATATTTAACTTTTTACTGAGTTGTATGACTAAGTTATGTGACCAATGTCGTTTAAAAACGGTTTCCCATGTGTTTTATAATAGGGAAAAAAGGTGGCCATAAAGGTCGCATGAGAACCTACACAAGTCCCGAAGAAATTGATGCTCAAATGAAAGCAGAAAAAGAAAGAAAAAAGGTCAGTTTGTGTTGAAGAATGACTTACATTTAGCTTTAATATTTATGTGAGAGTGTTAGTATTGAGTAGTATCTCTGAGGATAAAGTAACTGCTGTTTAAAGTTGCCATGAAATGGAAATTCACTTTCTGATTCATCAAATGCTTGTTATTTTTGGTAGATTTACTTATTAGTCCATTTCATTTTGTTACAATTTGTGTTATGTGATTTTAACTACTATGTACAATCATTAAATGCAACATGTTGACCAATTCAAGTTGTTTTGGAAAGTTCCAAAATTTAGAGGTAATAACTATAATGTATCAATGTACAGTAGTCAGCATTTGAAATGGGTCAAAATATTGTTACAAAAATATCCAAATACAAGAATGGGTGTTGTTCATTAGTTTGAGGACAAATTTAATGAAATGCGATGATCCACTTAAAATGTTGACTTATATATATATATATATATATATATATATATATATATATATATATATATATATATATATATATATATATATATATATATATATATATATATTGGATTTTGGAGCAGTAAACATGTAAGTCTTAATAATTCAAATGAATTATTGACTTCTGCTGTCTTCATTAGTTTCAAAAACACTGATTTCTTCACAATTTAGAACGGCATCTTTGGATATCTTTTCTGCTGGAGATACAGTTATCCAAAAAAAAAACAAAAAAGAAAAAAAAACATTAAAAAAAATACTTTAAGAGCAGTACAGCAGAAATTTTTTTCGGTTTTAAAACCTTGACTTTTCCAAACCATGGTATACCTAGAAAACGGTTATCGTCCCATGCCTAATATGTGCTACTTAATAATAAATAGTGTCAAATAATGAGGATAATTTTGTACATATTGGTTAAGATTGATAATAAGTATGAATGTGTCATTTTAAATGTTGTTCTTATCACATAATTTAAATCAAAATCTGAAATTGTGCAAATATCTAAATATCTGTATTGTTTTAAAAAAATGAAACAAGTGTCTGCGTTATTTTAAATTAATTTTTCTTGTGTTTTTTATGAGCTTGTTCTGAATGAAACTGTATTTGTTTGGTTAAAAAAATGTATTGGATGTTCTTGCACTGATTTCTAGAGAAATACCCATTTGGACCAATTTTCTTCAAATCTCATCCTCTTTTGGAACTAAATTTTGATGATTACCAATTATATATCAATGATCATATATATTCCTTTTGACAAAGCGTAGCAGCTAAAATATTAATCAAAGTTTTCAGCTGAAAGTGATAGCTATGCAGTTAAAATCAAATGTATTTTCAAAACAATATTTATATTATTTGGTAATTTTTTTTATCAAAAAATATTTTTTTGATTATTAAGCAATTGTGAGATCTAAATCTACTTGAGTTTAATTAAATTTCAAAAAATCCAATAGGGCTGATACTGATATGTTTTGTGTTGTAATACATTTCAATGATATCAAAATATTTGCCCTCTCAAAAAGCAAATCAGCTAAGCTAATTCATTACTGTTTGTGTAATGTTGAACTGTGCATCATAGAATGAAGAAGAAGAAGGCGCAGCAGTGAACGACAACCAGAGTGAAGACAAACTAACAGCATCAGGTTCAGAGGACAGTGACGATGACGGGTCTCAGGTACACTTTATCTCATAATTAAATGAGTACGAGGATGTTACTATCCATACATGTAGACTAGGCATTCATCTCAGATTAATTTACATTATAAGAGACCAGTGTGGCAGTATTTGAACCTAAAGCCAGCTTCTCCAGCATCACACAGTTAAATGAAACCTGTTTGGGTGGAGCAGAGTATTGCTTTCTGATTAGTCACTTAGCCGCTGTCTGTAAAATGTAGCAGTTATAAATGTGTCTTTCAGTCGTCTTGTGAATGAAGATTGGCTTTGTGATACTCAAGCAGCTGCAATATTAACCCTGTCTTTCAGTGCACACTTAAATTATATATACATTTGGTGGGTGGACAGACTTTGAAATTTAAGCTAAATACATAAAATCTTGCGTTCAAACTAGCTTACTGATTGGTAGAAATAATCAGCAGTGGGCACTGGGCATTATAGAATTAGCCTAAGTGGCTGCTTTGGGAAAAATGTCATATAAGCTGATGGACGAAGTACACTTCTACTATAAACAATCGTTCAAGTACTTAGAAATAGGACGGTCAAAGATTGAGAAATATTATGACAGTGTTAATTAGTTGGGTTTATAAGAGCTGGTTTTATTTATTAATCTCATTTATTGTCATATTTATTGCTAGTTGATTTTTTTTTCTCACTTTCTGACGTTTTGTATTAATTGTATTTAATTATAGTCAAGTTGTGACTTTAGTTGGGCACTAGTTTGTTTGGGTTTGTTAACTGTAAAAATTAGATTCTGTACAGTTATACTATATTTGATTCTGTGTTTTACTTGATAATCAATACAACTGTTAATCACTAAAATTCTACTGTGTGTACATATGATACATATGTACATTGTCAGTATAAGTTCAGGTTTAGACAAGTTTTACATGTATTGAAAAAATGTTAGTTAAGGTGTTAAATATTTGAAATGAAATGTCATTATAATAATTACCATCCCTAAACACCATTTTTGTATTTACACACATTTTGCTTTTGCTTTCAGTTGTATATTTCTGCTTAGCTTTATGTTGTTTTGTCAGCCTTTGTACTTTAGTTACTTGAACTTAATTGAATTCAGATTCAGATGCTAAATTTATGATTTCTGTTTAGCTTGTTTTTCCCCCAAATATATTTATAGATTTTTTTTTCTTTTTCTTCCATCAACTATACAGTTACAATGCAGCCTACGAAACAGCACATATCCACCTCCTTCTCATATATGTATATACACATATAATCATTCAAATAACGTGACAAAAAATAAATAAAATAAGTAAATAAAATAATAATAAATAAATAGAAAATAATGAATTGAAACATTGAAAGATCCATAATGACAAAATAACAAAAACTTTATAAAACAATAAAATAAAATACATGTTTACAAACACACAATTTACATATTATTTGTATATGGTTCCCAAAGATAGTCAAAGTCCTTCTGCTTGCCTGTTTAGCTTGTTTTTATTTGTGTTTTTTTTCTTTTCCGCTTTATTTCACTTAACAAAATTAGTCAGTGTAGTTTATTTTCAACATTAAAAATAACAACACTGGCAATCTCAATTTGGTTACAGAAAAGAAAGGGGGTTGAGGGCTTGATAGAGATCGAAAATCCCAATCGAATCGCCCAGAAAGCGAAGAAAGTGACAGAAATAGAACTTGAGGGACCTAAACAGCTTTCCAGAAGAGAAAGGTAAGAGACGCTGGGGTGAGATGAGCCAACATTATTAGGTGTGTACATGGCATGTTGTTAGTAGCATAATAACCATGATACCAACAAGATCACATGCTCTGTGAAATTATAAATGCAACTGGAAGTTTTCTAAAAGCTATGACTTATGGCATGTGATCACTGTACCGCTGCAGCAGAATAACCTATATTTTGATACTGTTGTATGTGTCTGCGTACTTCAGCAGTTCTGAATTAAACATCATGTGTTGTCATCTTGAAATTACATTAAGTATAGCATGGTGTGCACACAGCAATTTTCTTTTTGTACTCTATCTATATTACTGTAATATTATATGTATTGGTTTTAGTCATTACTGCTTACACTTTGCTTCATTGTTTAAAATATTCTATAAAACATTTAGACAAAATCATATTCTCATGTCCGTGAGTACTTCTTCAGCTCTTTTAATGTGTTTTTTCTTACACATTTCAGAGAAGAGATTGAAAAGCAAAAGGCGAAAGAAAGGTATATGAAAATGCATTTAGCAGGAAAGACGGATCAAGCTAAAGCTGACCTCGCTCGACTCGCCATTATTAGAAAACAGCGTGAGGAGGCTGCACGGAAAAAAGACGAGGAACGTAAAGGTAAATAAGCAGCATTCGGTGGCATTTAGACATGGAGATAATCAATAACATATTTTGATAATGATCATGAATGATGTTGTTATAATGGGTCCTTCAAAGTACAGTAAACAATTATTTGTTATTTAAACTCTTTTTATAATCTGTGTTACAGAGTTGACCAGAATGTAGGAAAAGGCACAATATGTACTGTATTATCAGGCTCGTAGCCAGCCTTGTGAAAAGTGGTTCTTTTTTTTAAAAGTGGACCATTTTGCAGTTATTCACCTCATTTTCTATTGAAATATGAGATTTAAATACTGCATTTTAGTGATATTTTAAGCACTATTTTTAATTGGATTAGCTTGTCATATTGTCATCAACCACAGTTTTTGAGTTACCAAAAACTTTTGCTCAATATATAGAATAAACTTATTTTTAAATACAAATTTATTACATCATATATCATTAGGAAAAGGAGTTAAAGTTTTAAATAGAAGAACAACCTGTAGCCTATAGCCAGCATATTCAACTTTCTTCTGTCAGAATTTGGCCATTTGAATAAAAAAAAAAAAAGAAAACTTAATAATATTAATAATGTAGAGCTTGAAGATTTATTTAGTCTCCTCTACAAAAAAAAGTTCATTTGGATGACAAAAATAGTCAATTAATTTAAATAGATAATTAAAATTTACTTTAATATTTACATAATTGTTTGCATTAAATTGAAGTCTTTTTTTGGTGGACTATTTTCACATTTTATGATGGCAAAGAAGTCGAAATAACACAAATGAGCTCATGTAAGGGATGAATTCTGGACCTTTTGGCAGTGGGGGGTGGGTCTTTCGAACCACCCGAACCCCCCCTGGCTACGGGCCTGATTATAACTGAAATGACAAGTAATGCAAGTAACCAGTTTAACTTGTTTGAGTGAACATACAAAAAAGATGAAAGCTTGACTTAATTATTTCAGGATAATTGAAGCTGAATGTATGATTCAGAGGCAGAGATGGTAAAAATAGGTATACTGGGAGTCTAAGGTCTAAGTTATATAACAATATATATATATACACACATACATACATACATATATATACATATACATATATATAAAAATAGGTATACTGGGAGTCTAAGGTCTAAGTTATATATATATATATATATATATATATATATATATATATATATATATATATATATATATACACACACACACACACACACACACATACACGTACACATATACATACATATATATACATATACACACACACACACACACACACACACAGACACACACACACACATATGTAATGTTTGTATGTATGTGTAGTTAGAGATATTTGTTTTAAACTGAAGTTGCAATGTTGTAATGAATGAACAACACACAAACCCTGCCCTAGGGCCCAAAAAATAACACAACATGGAAGATAGAGCAAATGAATTAATGAATGAAGGAATAAACGAAAAAAATAATAAATTCATGCATGCAGAGGGAAAAAGGGCTGAAATGGACAATAAATCTACAAAATCTACTCTAATAGTCTTCTATTAAAACAGATCTTATCTAGTCATAAGATACTCCACTATAACGATGTCAATAGTAGTCAATATAGGGCTTCAGGTTTTATCAGTTATAATAAAAAAAAGTTTTATCTTGGAGACAAAAAAACATACCTGCTATTCTTGAGTCACCAATGTGTGTAGACTTTTTGTTATTATACATTTTATAGAACAATTTTACAGCTAATCTGATTCTAGCAAATGTCTAGGAGTATAATAGAACTGTTGGAATGTATGGAAATGTCTGAAATTAGAGATTGATGATGGTTTCTTTTGTCATTTTAGCGAAAGAAGAAGCAGCAGCGGCAGCAGCAGCAGCTAAAGGACTGCATACATTGTCTCTCAAATAATCTAAATCGTGGATTCTCAGAGGTTTTGTGGACAGTAAACAGTTATATTGACAATGTTATTTTTGAAGAAAACGCAAATGATAGTGAGGTATGCGATGCGAAACGATGTAACACGATGTTCTATTGAAAAGGAGCATTTCAGAGTATATTAACACAGAAAAGTGGGCATCGTCCAAAAACAAAACGCCTTTGTGAGAGCCCGGATTTGTTCAATTTTAATGCTTGCTTTCACTCAATGATATTAGGAATATAGTCATATTTATTAATATATTAACATATTGCCACATTTAACTGAGGGGATTGTACAATATAAAGACGCCATAGTCTGTCCTCAGTTGTAAAGGACCTGGTGTAATTTAGAGCGACGTTCTGATGGTATTCTCTTAAAATATTGTAAAGGATAACAATAAAGTGTCAGAACTTTTTATTGAAAATTCATCTGTTTTAGTTTGTCAATTGTTTTGTTATTCTCAATAGCATTTTTGAAGATCTTTTCAAATTATAAAGGTGAAGGTTTGTACTTGAATGTACAGCTATGGGGGAAAAGAGAGACTCTTACATTTAATGGATTTATTGGGTAGGGGTTAATCTTTGTTTTAATCTATAAAGGTTTGAGAACATTTCTTTTAAATTACAATTAAGAAAATTTTTACTACATATTGGCCTTTTAAACATTTATTTCCAAAATATGACAGTATAAAATCAGAGCCAGAGCTTTGAATCAGAGCTTTTGCACCAAATATTGATTTGGAGGGTGAAAAGTAAAAAAAAAGGTAAAAAATCTCTGGTGTTTGGAAAATATAGCACATTATATATATATATATATATATATATATATATATATATATATATATATATATATATATATATATATATATATATATATATATATATATATATATAGATGGACAGACAGATGGACACACACACACATTTCTAATCAGCCAATTACAAGCCGGCAACTCAATGAATTTAGGCATGTAGACATGGTCAAGATGGTCTGCTGCAGTTCAAACCGAGTATCAGAATGAGGAAGAAAGGTGATTTGATCTGTGACTTTGAACATGGCATGGTTGTTGGTGGCAGATGAGCTGGTCTGATTATTTCAGAAAATGCTAATCTACTGGGATTTTCACGCACAACCATCTCTAGGGTTTACAGAGAATGATCCAAAAAAGAGAAATAGTTCATGCCAGAGGTCAGAGGAAAATGGCCAGGTTGGTTGGAGCTGATAGAAAGGCAACAGTAACTCAAATAACCACTCATTACAACCGAGGTATGCAGCAGAGCATCTCTGAAAGCACAACACGTCCAACCTTGAGGCAGATGGGCTGCAGCAGCAGAAGACCACACCGGGTGTCACTCCTGTCAGCTAAGAACAGGAAACTGAGGCTACAATTCACACAGGCTCACCAAAATAAGACAACAGATGATTGACAAAACGTTACCTGGTCTGATGAGTCTCCATTTCTGCTGCAACCTTCAGATGGTAGGGTCAGAATTTGACCACAGTGTACGCATCTTCTGGTGTCCAGCAGGACAACTCGTCATGTCATAAAGCGATAAATCTGCAGCAACTGCGTGATGCTGTCATGTTATTTATTAGGTCCAACCCGGTTGTACCTAATAAACTTGCCAGTGAGAGAGTGTGTGTGTGTGTGTACATACATACATACATACATACATACATATATATATATATATATATATATATATATATATATATATATATATATATATATATATATATATTAAAAAGCATTGTAACAAATGTATTCACTATTAGTTAAAATCGATTGTTGCATTAATTTAACTAACAGACCTTACTATAAAGTGTCGACTATATTGCAATTAGCTTTAACAAATGTCTCAAAGCTCCAGGAAATTTCGTGTTGTCTTCAGGTTTTCGAAGACATAAAGTAGAAGAAACATGTGTAATAATGCGAGTCCGCATCATAATAATAGGATGAACATTGCAGTTGTTCAGAAGTCGCTCTGTGTATTTTAGATCTTTCCTCAGTGGGCGGAACAGAAATTGCCCGAGTAGCCACGCCCCGCAGCCGCTCATTGGTCTCCAAATTTCGCGGACTTTGGCACGAGGAAAGCTGGAAGAGACCACAAAGTAGGTTTGGGCAAAACTTGTCTGACACATTTGCGAAGGTAAGTGAAATGTGATTAATTGCAAGTGTTTAATGCTTACACATAAACCGTTCACAATAGTTAACGTTAGCGTGGGGCAGAGTTTTAACCGAGTGTGTCAAATCAAACCCTTGTGACTTTTTGCATGTGCTTCGCATTCTCGACCGATGAATGGCGATCTGTTATTCTTGTGTAAATCGTTGCATGACGAGCGTGTTAAAGACAACTATTTTGTACTTTTTATACAGTCACATCTCCGTTTTTATGAGTATATTATTAATCATGTGTATCCATAGTTTGTATCGTTGCTAGACGTTGGCGAATGTATTCGCGGCAAAAATATAATCTTAAAGGCAGAAGTTCCGGTTAATGTGTCGCTTATCTTAAACCTAAAGTTATATACTTGTGCTTTAAAAGCACTTCTCAAAGTTGTTTCATAACCTGTAAAAGGCGTGCTGTGCTCTGGCAGCTGCAGTCAGTTGCATCATTTGATTGACAGCTGAGCAGTTTTGTGTGTGTGTGTAAATATATCAATTGTCTTTTAATATGATTCGTGACATTTTGTAGTAATATTTGCTTTGGTGATAATTTTATTGCAATGATGTATTCGCACGTGATTAACTGCTTTATTTTTCATTGTTCATGTTAACTGATGTAGTCGTTATTGTAAAGTATTTTAATAATGACCATTTATCAGTTGTTTTATTATACTAGTTTGAGGTTATTTTTTTTCCTTTTTTTGCAAGCGTACCTTTATTTTACACGCACACATTTCTTAATATCTATATATTTTTTTCAATTGAAGACCATGACTATTAGTAGTTTTATTTGATGCATTCTAAATATATGATTGCTACTCGCAATTGCTACTACTACTATTACTGTGTTTACACTATGTTTTGCATTTGGCAGTCTTGTATTGATTAATAATGTTTATTCCAGTTCATCAACCATGTCCCAGCTCAACGGTCATACTGAGAAAACATGGGAATCTCATAACAAGATGATGTTGGAGCCTCTGAGCACCAATGATCCTGAGGTAAGACTGATTGTTACACCTGGCTCAGGGATGTAACATAGTAAGGGAGACGACAAGGAGAAGTATAATCAAAAAGAAGATTTATTTAACTCAATTTAAATTATATAATCAAAATATCAGTGTGAAATGCAAATGAATGGATGCGGTAAATGTTGTCAGTGATAGTGTATGGATGCGAAACAAAGCATAATGCCCAAATTGGAGCGCAGCTCTGGCCAACTGCCAAGTGAATGGACAGCGCCCGACAAGCTCTCTGACCAGCATCAGGTGCACTGAAGGCACGCCCCCAATCTAGAATCAAATCAAAACCATAAAACAACGCAGTCCTAACACTGATCATATCATGGACTGATTTAAAGTGACTGTCCATCCAAACATGAAAATTCCTCACAATGTACTCACACTCATGTGGTTCAAAACTTATTTCTATTGAGCACAAACAAGATATTTTGAAGAATGTTGGAAAGTAACAACTATTGAAATCCAAAGTAGGAACAAATATAAAGTGGAGCTTAATGGGTGCTTTTATCCAACCGTCTTCAGAATAACTTTATATTCAGTTCTAACAGAATAAAGTCAAACAGGTCTGGAATAACTGCAGCATGAGTAAAGCACTTACTTGCAACTTAAACAAATGTTTTCTCTCAAAGCAATTTTGACATGTCTATCCGAATGTTCTACCCATGCAGCAAACATTTTTAGATGGCTAGAGAAAAAAAAGCTGTAGAGAAATTCTCATCTAAAACATTGTAATATTTTCTCAAAAACACCTGCGAGCCCATTCTTGGGATCATTTTGCTCACAGAGGCTGTCTTTGTGTAAATGGATCATTCTCTGGAGAATTAAAGCAATTAAAAGACAACCTTTATCTGACGTTATTCAATTTCAGTCTTCACATTAAAATGTATTTCTTGTGAACAGGAATAATTTGCTGTTACAAAATGCAGCATACGTTGTGGAATTCGCCTCCGCTACATCAGCCGTGCCTGATCAAATAATTTAACTCAAGCAAAAAAATCACATGGGGGCAAACGTCCCATAAGTAAACTAGAGCAAGTGACTCAATGCATGTGGTGTGAACAATGCATTAGCTAGAACAAAATTCTATCTCTTGGTTTATGGGTAACCAGTCAAAAAATAGCCTTGGGCAAAGACACAAGTGCAGTGTTGACACTGCCACTAACAATAGGCTCGTTTGACTTGGCCAAAATCTGCGCAGAATCGATCACCGGTGATCACCGCAAGATGCATGCCGGCTAGAAATGTGTCCGCCTTGCCTTTGCCTCGCTCTGATGTCACGCTGACGTGTGCCAAAAAACTCTCGCGATCGCGAGGCGGGTACCTCGGATAGAGCAGTCGGCCGCAGTTGCTCTCAAAAGACTGCGTTACCAAAAGCATGATGGGAAACGACTGGCTGACGACACAGCTTAATGCTGATTGGATGAGACTGACACATTACACTTTATTATCTTGTTTTACTAAGGTTTATACCTGGATTTGTTGAATACCTTTTTTTGTATTTACGTTGATAATTAAAAAAAAAGTCATACAGAGCATTACATATGGTTATTTATTTAGATTTACACGCAAACAAAAACAAAACACATCTTTGTAAAACATAATGTGACCTATCCAATATAACTAAATGTTACTAATAAATCATTAGGATGTGTGTGTGCTGTATTTTATTTCTCTCTCAGTTTTACTTTTCGTATGTTTGTGTGAATTTTGTATTGTAATTTTTATGCAGCATTATTTCATTAAAGTCAATCCAATATATACATATATTGAGAAATACAAAGGTAATCAGACTGTTTTGTCATTATGCCTCATCTTTGTGTGGTTTCATATGAGAAGCGAAAAGGGTGTAGTAAACTAGACACACACACACACACATATATATATATATATATGTATGTGGAGTCAAAAGTCATGTTTAATAGACCAAGAACATTTCCACAGTTTTTCCTACAGTCTAATAGTTTTTATTCTGGAGAAAGTCTTGGGCTATTTATTTTAGCCTGGCTGGAGTAAAAGCAGTTTATATAGACCTAATAAGCTTGTCAATATAATTAACCCCCTAAGAATTTATTTGTCATGACCCGTCACTCAAAAGCATCTTGCTATAGCTACTTCATTTATAATGTAACCAAATTAGGTTTCTTGAAAGTTTTCTTGCTGTATAAGCTGTTTATTTTGTTATTCTTTTAACGTTTGTTGAATATACAGAATTATATTTTTAATACACTCTTTTAGTTAATAAGCTGTTCATCTTCTGTAATTCTGACCATCTTTTTGTAAAAACAGTGATATTTCTATTGCATCCACTCCCACATTAAAAAATACTATAGTAAGTATACTGTAGTGCTTTTGAACCATGTTATAAAATAGCCTATTTAAATGTTATAGTTCTGGTATCACAACAACTATAAACATAACCCAATACTGAATAAACATGTTCAAAAATGCAATAACATTTACTATAAATCACCATAGTATTTTTTATGAGGTCATTCGTCTGCGATTAAAAAACGCGAACGAGATCTCCGCCACTGGTGACGTTTCCAGGTGGCTTAACAGTGAGATTCGGCAAGTGTCCGACTTCTGATGTAATTTTTGAGCCCTCCTCTTACTGCGCACGCCTGCTCTCGTTTACAATGCAGTCATGGCGAGGCGCACCTCAAACGAGCCTAATCAGAATGAGCTTTATTCTACAATTGTGCACAAACACGGAATACTTTTTTTTTCAGGAGCTCAGGATACATACAAACAAATCAACACAAAAAAATAGAATGACATAAGTGGAAAAGAAACCCTAAAAATTATATATATATATACACACACACACATACACACACACACATATACATACATACATACATGCATGCATATACACATCCATTTATAACAATAAAGAGTGGCTGGAATGACTGGTCAGGCTGATAATGTGAAAACTGGCCAATTCTGGCCTTTGGCCAGTTGATTGGTGCATCTCTAGAGCAAAGGGCTGTTTTGGGAATTCTGATGAAATCACGTCTCTTAGACTCTGATCTGCCGTTTGATGTTTATCTGCAGAGCAATTCATATCACCTCAATCAAAATAGATTCTATCTGTGCTTATGTGTTAATACCTGGACATTGTGGAATCAATGGCAGAGCTGCAAAAACAAAAAAACAAAAAAAAAACACTTTTGAAGGACCCCAAGATTTGTTCACTGCTTTAATCTTAAACCAACAATTTGTTCACACATTAATAACAAATGGAAAAGAGAATGTGCTCTACATACAAAAAACAAACTTCACGAAATTAGCCCTGATGTCAGTAAAAAACTTTCCAATCGGTGTGATCAGATTGGTTTTACCACTTGTAGATTCGGTCACATATTCTTTTTGTAAAGGCACTTGAACTATGAAACATGTTTCGTTGGATTGTGCTGGTTTTTAATTCTGTGTGAAATTAATTTTATTCAGTTCATTCTTTTGAAGCAATTTAATGTTGTTAATCCAAATACAGTTTTACAGTTTTTAGCAAAAAACAAATTGTAAAACCTAATACAGTTTATGGCTCCAGTATATGTTGTCTTGCTAATGCTAAAGGCTGTAGAAGCTGGCATGGCTTTAAACACAAACAATAGCAATAATGTTTTTTTTGTTTCACTCCAGGTGTTTGACATCATAAAGAAGGAGAAGAAGCGTCAGACGTATGGGTTAGAGCTCATTGCTTCTGAAAACTTCACAAGTCGAGCTGTTTTGGAGGCTCTGGGCTCCTGCATGAACAACAAGTACTCTGAAGGTTATCCTGGCCAGAGGTGATTGTTAAATTACAGTTTAATGCTGTTGTTGTAAAGCAAATAAGATTAGCATTATGTAATGAACACATTGTACTTGTTCTTTGCCCAGACACATTTTAGAATTAGCCTTGTGTTAAACATCAGTAAAGCTTTGTTTAATGTGTTAGGTATTATGGAGGCACAGAGCATGTTGATGAGCTGGAGCGTTTGTGTCAGGACCGAGCTTTGAAGGTGTACGGCCTCGACCCGGAGAAATGGGGAGTGAATGTTCAGCCGTACTCTGGTAGGTTTGTTTCTGTGTCACTGGACTGTTGTTGCAGTTAGAGATGATGTAATCATTAAAGGGACAGTGCAGCCAAACATGGATATTTACTGGCCTTTTGCTCAATGTCCAAACCAATGTTGGTTTCTTTTTTTTATTTATTTTGTTGAACATCAAAAGAAGATATTTTGAAGAATGTGGGGAAGCGGTAGTCATTAATATCAACAAAAACACTAGGCAAATCAATGGCTACCGGTTTCCAACATTCTTCAAAATCTTTTTTTTTTTTTTTTTTTTTTTTTTTAGCAGAAGTTAAGAATTTTTTTATGTTTTTTTTTTTTTTTTTTTTTTTTTTTTTTTTTTTTTTTTTTTTTTTACTGATTGTAATTTTCAAGTGAACTAAATCTTTAACTCAAGCTCTTATTTAAACTATTATTATTACTATTGTTTTTTTCCTCCAGGGTCGCCCGCAAACTTTGCCGTATACACAGCTATAGTGGAGCCCCATGGGCGAATCATGGGCCTTGATCTGCCAGATGGTGGTCATCTCACTCACGGCTTTATGACTGACAAGAAGAAAATCTCTGCCACGTCCATTTTTTTTGAGTCCATGCCTTATAAGGTGACTTTGTAAACTGAATTTAAGTGGCTGGATGCATATGATCTGTAATTTGCAAGTACAGTGATCTCTCGCTATAACGCAGTTCACCTTTCGCTGCCTCACAGTTTTTTTTTTTTTGTGCAATTTGGCATGCTTTTTGTGTACAGCGCATTGTGTTCTGCGTCCTAATTGGCTGTAGACCACTGTCAATCAGTCTTCGTGCCGTGTCTCCTGTACTGTACAAAATGCGTTCAGCTTGACACATTTGCTTCTGCACCGTCAAAGGCACCTACGTTAGCACCCAAAAGGCAGAGGAAGATGTTGACCACCGCACAAAAAGTTGAACTTCTGAACATGCTAAAGGAAGGTAGAAGTTACACTGATGCAGGGCACCATTACGGAATAAATTGAGGATCAAATGGTTTTCATCTTGTGTCGTCTTCTATATTACAGGACTTATTTTACTACGAAGGTTTGAACTTTAGGAGTGTTCAAACAAGAGAAAAATGTGAAAATGTTAATGCATGTCTAAGAAAAGTGTATAAAGTGTATAATGAGGGGTTTTTCAGCCTTAAAACGTCTATAATAATTGTAAAAAAATAAGTCGCGCGACATGGCGGATTAAATCTTTTGTGGGTTATTTTTAGAACGTAATTCCCACAAATAACGAGGGACCACTGTATGTTATAGCTTGCTTTTTTTTTTCTTCAATTATTATGAATTATCATTTTCAAATAATAAGTGTCTTATTTGTCCAGGTCAATCCAGAAACTGGGTACATCGATTATAACAGACTTGAGGAAAATGCTCGTCTCTTCCACCCAAGACTAATCATTGCAGGTCAGTATATTTTCTTAGAAAATCTGAGGAACTCATTTTAGTTGTTTCTTTTTCCTTATTTTCTTTTTTAAACATCTTATGAGTTGTGATTTTGTTTGTCGTGTGTGTGTGCGTGTGTGTGTAAATAGAATCTATAACTTTTTATTCCCAGTTATTGGTGCATCATAAATTATTTTCAGATTACTTTGCCAAAAAAAAAAAAACCAAGTGTGACTACATAATCAAGGTTTTCTTTAAAGATTATATTGAGTGACAGTTGATGATGGACTAATGTGTAAATATTTAATAGATATTACATGCATTGATGTTGAGTGACTTCTCTTACAACATTCACAACATTGATCTTAGTCAGCGTTAATAACAGAAACAATTATATTAGAGAATAAAATTAAGTTTATAGATGTAGAAGTATTGTCATAATTATACTATATTAGTTTTTATTATAACTAATATAAGTTAATGTTAAATAATGTATTTACTGACATTATTTACTGAACAATGCCTTTATAACAGCATATAGTTAGTCATAAAGTTGCTCGTTGTTAGTTCTTGTGAACTCAAAGTGCATTAATGCTAACAAACACCTTTGTATTTTAATAATGCATTAGTACGTGTTGAATAAAGATTAATAAATACTGTACAAGTTAGTTCTTGTTAGCAAATACATTTAATTAATGGATCCTTTTGGTAAAGTATGAGCAAAACTGTTTCTGAATATTTAATTATTATTATTTTTTTAATGATACATGTTTATTACTTTGTTTTTTATAGTTTTTATTATAATTCATTGTTTTAATAGTGCTTCATACATTAGTTATTTAGCAAAAATGAATGAAACAACATAAAATCTTCTCTTTCTGCTTGTAGTTGGACTAATAGCTTTCTCAAATTCACATTACTAGTTGAGCCAGTGTTGCTTGGATGAGAAAAAGAACGACTAATACTTGTAAATATTGATATAAAAAAAAGTTGATGTGTTTAATTAATAAGGCACCAGTTGCTATTCCCGAAACTTGGACTACAGTCGGCTGAGAAAGATTGCAGATGAGAACGGAGCGTATCTTCTGGCAGACATGGCTCATATCAGTGGTCTGGTGGCAGCAGGGGTCGTTCCTTCTCCATTTGAATACTGTGATGTTGTTTCCACGACCACCCATAAGACTCTGAGGGGCTGCAGGGCAGGAGTCATATTTTTCAGGAAGGGTGAGTTTGGTTTGATTTTGTAAAACTGAATCAAGGTCAAAGATACTGTAACAACTCGCTGTCTCTCGTTTTTCAGGAGTTCGTAGTGTTGATGCAAAGACCGGCAAGGAGACGATGTACAATTTGGAAAGTCTGATTAATCAGGCTGTGTTTCCTGGACTGCAGGGCGGCCCGCATAACCATGCCATCGCAGGTAACAGCTGAGCTCCTATATGTCTTTATTGACTACATGTTTATTTATTAGATGCTGAAAACATTGCCTGCACAGTTCTCAGTAGGGTTGGGTCTAATGCTGAGCCCCGCCCCCATCGTAGCAGCAACCCACTCACGAAAAATACACACTCAGGCCCTGTTTACACAAATGCGTATTAATTTTAAAAAAGGAATTTTAGAATGTAAACAAATCCACGTCCACACTGGCATTTCATCTTGCGTTTCTGAAAAGTCCCCTTCACACTATACCGCAAAAAATGCACATCACGTGACCAAACACACACACTGTCATACTGTAGCGTATACACGCTTTTGAGCTCCAGCAGACAGCTTTGAGTGCAAAACCCCTGAGAGCAGTGCATGTCGGACAGTTTATCAAGGATGACCTGATTGATCGCGTCTCACTCATCGCAATGTTTCACATTAGACATCGAGCCATGTCAAATTGGTCGACACCTTCCAACCCTAGTCCGCAGGTGTGTTAATAGTCTGTTAGCTGTTGCAAGTCTGTATAATGACCAACTTGGGAAAATCACCTAAAAATCACTCTAATTCATCCTGTTTTACTCATGAAGTAAAATGCACGCAAATATATCACATGCATATACAACTTATTTCATCCCTTTTAAATAAGAAAAAAACTAATATGCTCAAAGAAATAAACTAATAAATGTAAAAATAAATTAAAGCTGATTTCTGGGCTTTATTGATCTTAATATACATGTTTATGTGTTGTTACATGTTTCAGACAGCTTAATTTCTGTTAATTTTACAGTTCTCCAGATATTTATGGGTTATAAAATGTGAGACAGCCAATCATGCTTGTGCTTTTGTAATTGACAACCAAATCTGACACTGCATTTTTTATTTTAATCAGTTTACGGCAAAATAAACAGAAAATAGATAAATTAATGTATTTTGGTAATTAATATTTGACACCCTCAATTTGGTTTCATTTTCTTTCTTCCAAGTATATTCTTTGTCTTAAATAAAACAATAAGTATTCATGTAATATAGGGATGTAACGGTATCAGAATTTCACGGTACGATAATACCTCGGTATAAATGGCACGGTACGGTATTTATTGAATAATTTACAGAAAAAACAAAACTAATGAAAAGACTCAAAGTGCCAAAAGTGTTTATTTACCTTATCACTGAACATATCAATGACATATAAATTAGCCATCTATCTGTAAGTTTCGAAACAAGAACTTCAATTTTAATAAACTATTTAACTATACAAAAAAATAAAGTTTCAATTTAGTATTATTGAAATCTCATCACATTCAACATTTAATCACTCACTTAGATAGAGATGGGTTTTTAAGGAAAATTATCATTTAACTATAATCTGGTAAAAGCTGGGATCTCTGGGCATATCCCCTGCAACAGAAAAAAAACCCTCTCATTTGGGACTGAGGTTTCTGGGACAGAGAGATATGATTTAGCCAAGGTTGACAGCAGTGGGTAACGTTGTGCATTGTCTTTCCACCACTTGAGAGCACAAGCCATGAGTGAGATAGAGGTCTCTTTGCGGTACAAGTCAATGTCTGCAACAATCTAGCTAGTGTGCTGTGTTCTGCAGTCCCCATGACTGTTTTTAGTCGTATTCCCCGACTTATATTTTACCAGTCTGCCAGTGCCTGCATACCGTTTTTTTTCTTTGTCTGTCACCTTTTCTTCTTTTTCGTATCTTTTTAGAAAGAAACTGAAATGCTTCCACACATCCGATTTAAAACCCGCTTTAGGTTCGATCACCAGCTCTTTTTCTTCCCCGCTACTAGCAAAACACACTCCATTTCCGCATTACTGGATCTGTAGTGACAACAAACCGCAAAGGATGATGGCCACGCCAAGGCTGATGGGAATTGTAGTTCCCGCTACCTCCCGTTCGCTTCATTCGCCTAAGCTAATTTTTCTTAGAAATATAGTTTTGAGTCATGCGCCTAAGGTAATATTAAAAAAATTGCTATTGCTGTATTACGGTATTTACAATATTGTTACATCCCTAATGTAATTTACACATTAACCGTTCTCATTCAAATTAATTCATTTTTAGAATTGTGAATATTTCTGAATGCTGATATATTTTTATATTTGTCTATACAATTTTTTTTTTCTATAAAAGATCTTTTAAATGCATTGCATCATTTGAACCAAATGTTTTCTCCAAATCATGTGCTTTAATTTGTTGTGATTCACAGGTGTCGCTGTTGCTTTGAAGCAGGCGCTGACTCCTGAGTTTAAAACCTATCAGTTGCAAGTTCTGGCAAACTGCAAGGCTTTGGCCTCTGCTCTGATGGACAAGGGCTACAAAGTTGTTACTGGTAGGTTTCTTAAGGATTTAGGTGTAAATTATAGGCAAAAGTAATGATTGGCTGAGTGATATAGATTGGATACAGAAGGGCAGCTGTGTTAAGTAAATTATTTTATTTTTAAATAAAGGCGGCTCTGATAATCACCTCATCTTGGTTGATCTCCGTTCAAATGGAACTGATGGAGGAAGAGCAGAGAAAGTTCTGGAAGCCTGTGCCATCGCCTGCAACAAAAACACCTGCCCAGGTGCACAACCAAACACTTCTTTTTGAGCTGAATGTTTATTTTTCTTCTGCTTTTCTTTCCACTTAACCTTTTACCAAATTCTGTTTCGAAGGTGATAAAAGTGCCTTGCGGCCCAGCGGCTTGCGTTTAGGGTCTCCGGCTCTCACATCTCGAGGACTGTTGGAGGAACATTTCCATAAGGTTGCAGAGTTCATTCACCAGGGTGAGCTTCACAGTAACACGACACTGAATCACTGTTTTTGTATTGGTGTTTTGGCTGTTTCAGGTCTGTCATGGGTAACAAGTATGACACTTAAACCTCTAATAGCTGGGGGAAATCTCATCTTTTATGAGGGATTCATTGATTCAACAGAGTATCCATTCAAAAGTGAATAAATGGCTCTCCCTCTGAACCAGTGTGCATAATATCTACCCTAGATGGCATGTCCGATTAGTATACTAAAGTACAGTATGCCAGAAGTTACCGGATGGTCCACTGTTTCTGGTAGGATGTGTCCATGAAAACTCTATGCCTTTGTTTTATGCATTTCATTTTTTTTTACACTAGCCCCTTTCACACAGTGATACCGCTAAATATCTGGAAAATTTCCGGACGAATGTACGGGTAAATTTAAAAAAGCACTGTTCACACAGACGAGGACGTTACAGAAAAGAGGTTTTTCCAGAAAAGAGCACTCGCACATCCTTTCCAAAATACCGGTATATTCTGACATCATTAACTAGAAATTACCTCTAAATGGCTGTACTTGTATTTGCAAACATTTGACTAAATTACTAACTCTGTGGATGGAAAAGTATTGTGAATAACTTTGTTGAAAACCATATGAATCTGCATAAATAATAAATAACATGTTATTAACCCAAAAATAAATGAAAGACACTTGACAAATTATAATTTTGACACCAGGCATGATCAAACTGTCTATACTAGATATCAAATTGGACATTTTACGTTGACTCATTTGTATTTACTCTAACGAAGACCCAACTAAATAATTACTGGCAGACTGCTCTTACCATGAAACCTATTTTGTTGGAATGTGAAAGTTTGACTACAATTAGACACAATTTACATAAGGAGAGTACTTTGATGGACATTTTAAAAAAAAAAAGTACCACCAGGAAGAATTTAAAATTATTTATCAAAAATTTAACTGAAAAATCATATAACTTTGTATTTATTTCTGTGTGAATTTTATTTATTTATATTTTCTACATTTTTTTTTTATTGTAATACAAATTTGTTTTTATCATGTAATATTTTTATGTATATCCATTTTTCCATGAAATGGCCATAAGTTGCTGATGTGGCAATAAATAAAAAACACTTTGCATGTCGAGATGTTCATAATATGCAAGTGTGTGCTGGTGCTCACAGGCTGCTTCACAGGCACACACAATGCGTCAAGCAACTGAACGAACAAAGCATTTTATCAATATTTTTTTGCACAGTTGGCATTAAGAAGGAACAGAGAAACAATCTGACTAACATCTAGCAGCTGAATGAGCCTGGAAAAATATTCAAAGGCTTTTATTTTCATAAACCGTGCAAACGTGAATGCGTCTGACTGTTCTGATTGGCTAAAGTAGACCACTCACGTCTCACAGAAGGAAGATTGCCGGAAAGAGCGCGTTCACTCCTGCAATCTTCCTTCTGCGTTCACCCAGAACAGCATTCCGGCAAATTACCGGTAATGTTACAACTTCTCTTTCCAGAAAATTGCAGGAACAAATTTACCGGTATTTTCATAAAGAACCTTTTCACACATACAGACCTTTCCGGAAAATTGCCGGTAATTTTCCAGAAATATCTGTATGTGTAATAAGGGCTACTGTCAGGTACAGGGAAAGGAATAAGGGACTTAAAAAAAAAAAAGCATTTAAACCTCATTGCCTAATTGCATTTGGGAAGTGTTTTTGTTTTTTTACTCGGGAATAAATGGCCACTCGCATAATTGGCTAACAGTTTAAATATTTCCATTTTTCAACACTTCTAAAGTTTGAAAGTATGGCTGTATGACCACTGATAAAAATTCTGCATGTGTGTGTTTGGCGGCCTACTTCCTGATTTATTTGCTGTGATGTAAGGGTAAAAAAGCATGAATATGATCATTTATTTAGTGGTTTATTTCATTTTGAATGTAAATATCTATAAGCATCCATTTAGCCTTTTAAATGCAGAGTATTCTCCTGCTAAAAGAGCAAAGGCTGGCAGATAAGTTTGCTACTTTTTTCGTTCTCCCCAATACAGCAGGAAATGAAATGTGGAGGTTGTTAACTGGGACAAGATGATTGACAGGCCAGTTTACGTGGACAGGATGCACATTACTATGAGTGTCTGTTACAGCAGGGCTGCCAACACTCATGCATCTGACACTGTTCTCACACTCTCACGCCACACGTCCAGTTTCACACACAGTGCCAGTGACGTTTGTCTGTAGGATGGCCAGACATCCTGTTTTTCCTGGGACAGGGCTGCATTTCAACATTATTATAGAAACAGTGTTTTGTTTTTCAATGTCTTTATTGCTGTAGTAGTCTAAAGCCCTGCTCACACTGTGAGATTTCAGCCATGATTTTGTCATCTGAGACAAATTTGGGAAATCCTGAAATCCTTGGCTAAAATCTGTCATCTTAGTGGTTTAACAGGTTCACAGACAGCCGCTTGGTGCCCGTTGCGATCAGATTTTTCCTCAGATGAAGTTCTGGCAGTGTCAGAAGATTTCAGACTCTTTCCTACAGTGTGACAACCGTTGTGATGAGCGTCAATCTAAGAACCAACCGAATTTGATGACGCAATTCATGCGACAATTCAAATGACTGTGGGGAAATCTCAAAACAAATTTTGATTCTTCCTGGTTTTATTAGAGACACGCCATGTGCACATTTGCTGCTACAGTTTGTTTGTTTGCTGTGAGGAATCATTTCAGAATGTGGGATATTGAAAGTGTTACCAGGTGGATGACATCAAACTCCAGGGGAGTTTTTTTTTTTTTTCGTGTTTGGTTTATCTTCATTGTCGTTCAGTCTGACTTAATGACAGCTGAGATCTTACAGTGTAACATGGGAGCCATGTTCATGCAGTCTGGCGTGCTACAATCATTCAGGATTATTAAAAAATAAGTAAAAATCGCACACTGTGGGATTTTTAGGCTTTTAGGCGAAATGGTCAAATCAATTGTAGCAAGACTTAGAATTTGTTAAAGAATATTTTTTGTTAATTTGTTAAAGAACTAAAGAATATTGAATTTATTTATTTTTTTTTTAATTACAATGAGTGTTTAATGCCTCGTTCAGACTAGCAGCGACTTTGTAGCTGCCTGTCGTCTGAGGGCGACCAGTTGTTGCTAGATCAGATTTGGTTGTGGTCGGAAGTTAATGAGAATTATTTGTATCATTTATAAAATTTTCCATTAATTGTACTTTATTAATGTCTATCCCCAACCCTAAACCCAACACACAGTATTGTAAAAACAGTAGTTGTACTGAGTATTATTTGTTATTTATTAGATTACCCGATAAATTGTAAATTTTAATGTCTACTCCCAACCCTAAACCTAACCGTGACAGTAATTGAAAAAACAGTAAATGAAGGATTCTCAACTATGTTGTGTCACTCGACATGGCCATCTGGTCACCAACGGTCGCTGCCGCACACATAGATGGAGGTCACCGGAAGTCGCTCGCTCTTCATTGAAATAAACGTTTGCCGCTGCGAGTATCTCATAGTGTGAATGAGGCTTTAGGAACTGACATGACTGTATGTTATACATTTTATATTTACTAAAGGCATGAATATAGCCAATGCTGCTGATATGACATTAAAACATAAACGGAAGATATTAGAAGACTAAAATGACCATCTTTGTTTTCAACTTTTGTTGTACTTGTCGAGTAAAGTCAATCTACCTGCAATTTAATAAGTTTTTTTTTTTTAACATGTTTTTGTGGCAAAACTAAAACTACAATTAAGATGTTATTATGATTCTTATCATCATAAGTGAAAAATATATCTTCTGATATCAAGCAAAGTTACAGCCCTACTCAGAGACTGACCATGTCAATCTGCTTTCAGGCATTGTGTTGACTTTGGAGATCCAGAAAAACATGAACCCTAAAGCAACATTGAAGGAGTTTAAGGAGGAACTGGCTCAAAATGAGAAGTACCAACTGAAAATAAAGGAAATCCGAAAGGAAGTGGAAGACTTTGCTGGAAAGTTCCCAATGCCCGGGTTGCCAGAGTTATAACACATTTCTGCTTGACTTTTCTGTCCAAAAGATTTCCTTTACATTTGATGAGCACAGAGGCTTCAGTACAGATCACTGCAGTCAGAATACACATCAATCAGATGATTTCCCAATTATACAAGTCATGTTTGTCCTCAATATCACACATCAGGGTGGTTTCTGTAGACTTTTCTTGTATGTGGGCAAACTATAGTGTAACCTGAAACTGCACAACCAAGAATGTGTACATGCTGTGCAAATAAAGCTGGAAATATTGTCAATGTGAACACGTGACGTCTTTCTTGATGACTGTGTAGAATTTACTTTAATGGTTTTACATGTGCAAGTCATTACCAATTCAGAATGAGACACATCATGTGCCTCAACCATGTAATAAAGGAAAGGATGTTTCCACCCAAACATAAGAGACATATAACGCAATGAGCAAAATCATAAATAATTTAATGAAATTGAAGGCAGAGTATTTTCACAGTGGGAAGCAACTTAGATGACCCTCAAAATTTACTAGACATAAATACCAGAGCATGAAGATTACACCTCATCCCAGACAAGCTCACAACACGGACTCGAAACAGACTGGAGAAAAGTAGCAAAGCATGATTTACAGAGCAAATAAGATTTGTTCGAGGAAACCTTCTTAGAAGATAATGTGCACATAATGGTATGGCTTATTCTCGATTTACATTCAACAGACTCCACAATTAGATGCTGAAAAATCTGACTTACAAATCGTTACGAAGGCCGATAATTACTGGGTAGCCAAAACAACTCCATATTAAAACACACTTGCATCGGAAACACAGCGGTGGCAGTTCAGATCTGTAATTTTGGACTACGACTGCGGACATGCAGTAGTTGGAATAACAATTACAGACGATGGGTTTCGACGACAACCACCATTCTCGTTCATGTCACATCCTCACAGTTATCCATGCTTGTACACAACTTAAGACAGCGGTTTATAACCCTTTTAAATATATCTAAAAAGTCTGACCAGTACAACACTCGAGATACTATGGAAGTGCCATCTTATTCGTCATCACATTTGTGTTCTTCAAACATGCAGGAGGTCGTGTAACAGTTCTTCACAATCTTGACATGCAGTACATTCATTCACTGTATCACACGATTACATTAAAACACAGAGGGCAGTTGGCTTCATTTTTGTTTGTGTAATATCTTCAATCTTTTTATTATTATTATTATAAAAAAAAGATGGAAAGGGCAGAAAAAACGATTACTTAGCAAGTTTTTCCCCTATATTAATATTAGCACATTAACGATTTCTCAAATCAAGAACACAAGTATCAAAACAACTAAATTACTGACCCATTTCTATACTCATATTAATACATATGATGCTAATGTGTTTAATAAAGGCTGTTGGGTGAAGGTAAAGCAGGTTTAGTGTTGTCACAATTATGCTTGTGATTTCCATGCACCGTCGGTCACACTCCTTGTAAAGGCAAGTATTAAATATTAAATAAGCCCCCAGGAGCAGATCAATTAAATCACGATTAGAGATCCTCCTGCTGTTTCTTTTTTCCGGGGTAGCTGTGAATGGAAACTACATGCTTAAATAATGGCCTCTTTCGAAATGAGTCTACTTGCTGAATCTGTGGTTTTTAAACCACAAGAGGAGCCTATTTCCTCTCTTTCAAACGATTTGGTAATATATCGAAATATGAAATCTCTACTAGACTAAACAAACAGTCAAGACCACTTTTGTAACACCAAACGCTCAACCTGCTGCTTCCTGGAATGCCTTAGAAATATGCACACAAAAAAACCAAACAAAATGCAAGCGATTACATTCAATACATTTGGTCTCCTGATTTTTATCTGGATTAAAAAATAGTTCAGCCAAAAATGTTTACGCACTGTCTACTGTAGTGATTCCAAACCTTTATGAAGTTTTAGTTATTTAAACAAAAGAAGGTATTGTGAAGAATGCTGAAAACTGGTAACCATTGACCTCCATTATAGGAAAAACATAAATGATGAAATTTAATGGTTTCCTGCTTTAAAATGTCTTCATTTGTGAACAGAAGAAACTCAACCAGGTTTGGAACAAGCGAAGAGACCGAACTTTCAGTTTTTGCCGAACTATCTCTTTAATTCAGCATTTCCCAACCCTTTTCCTGGAGGCATATCAACAGTACATATTTTACAGTCTCCCTTATTTGACCCATTAACTTCAGGTTTTGGAGTCCTCTAATGTTCTGATGAGTTGATTTAGGCGTGTTTAATTAGGTTGAAAATGTGTACTGTTGGTGTGCCTTTAGGAACAGGATTGGGAAACGTAATGTCGAACATACAGCGGACACATTCAGATCTTATACAAATAGCTGGTGGTGTAATTAAAAGAAAAAGACGGGTTGCCCACTTTGGCGGACCCGTGAATGTAATGCTGCTTGATGAGCTCACTCAGGTACTGGATGATTTTACTTTCCTCCACAGTGTAGCCGAGCTGCAACAAGAAATTAGTCCTGCGCGATGTTACCGAGCCCTGGTCGTTGATGTCCATGGGAAGGTGAATGTGATGGCAGAATGTATAAAGGAAGGCCTTGGCTGTAAGCTGAGTCAACATACCCTGAATGTGGAGGAAGTAGGTGCTGCCACGTTTGATCTGAGTCCTGTGGTCTGCCAAGTGGCTTATTAGTGTTCCCTTGTATGGCGGACACCGGAGGGTTTTGTTGTCACAGTCCAAAATGCTTATGTAACGGCTGTATCGATTCAAAGAGTGGAGGATGCTGGATCCAGCCGGAGAGACAGCTCTGTAATAAAAATAAATAAATAAGAATTGGAAATACAATAAATCAGACGCTGCACTTTTTGTCAATGATTTAAAGCATTGCCTGCAAACTGATTTTAAAGCTATGACAGAACACCCCAGTCGATCTGAATGAATGAGATCTTTCCAAATAGAGCTATTCAAGTCATCTGGTTTAATTATATTCATAATCGCAATATATATTGCTGCAAAACTTATATCACAATGTCAGAGTTTTACAATATTGTGCAGCCCTACACATTGATCGACTACAGGTAGATGTATGCTGAAATTCAATATTCAATGTATCAGGATAATGAAAATGTACAATATTGATTTTGTGGGCACTTGAAAAAATAATACAGTAAATATTTATGATTTAAAATTTAAGAGGATTTACATTGTATTTTCAGTGGTGTTCATAACGCTGACAAATGCATTTGTTTGCCTTATTTTTTACCTTAATATTTTAAACACTTTAATGTAAAACATTTCAAATTATTCACGTAATTATTGTCTACTACAGGCTGAATACTGACAGAAGATTTTGATATTTTCAGTTAATGCATAATGACATGTTAAAATTGTATTTGTGATTTTATTATCTTTCTACAACGTGTAATTGTTTTATTAAATGGAGTTAATAACTAACAAAATTCTGTTGTATAATAAACTTGATTTAAATCCACTAACCTTTACTAAGACCTAATTGTAAAGGAGTTTTACCTATAGTACTTTATAACCTTTTTGCAATGTAATTTGGTGAATATTTATCTACAATAAAGCAACACACAAAGTATATTTTGTCGATATTCTTGTTAAAGTAATCCTTTTTTGCAGGTCAATATTGTGATAATACAGTATACCCTGATAAAAGCTTCAGCAATTAAATCACAACAAGACAATTTGACAGGGTCATAAACCTAACTACAGTCATTTTACCTCTGCAATCCAATAAGTTTCCATCTCTGCAGGTCTGTAAGCTGAAATGGCGTTGAGAGCCATGGCTGGACCGTTTCACCATACTTTCCCAGATTTGGCACAAAAATGAATAAAGCGTTCACCAGCTTCCTCACTGTACCCTCATCAACTCCCAGAATAACAAGTGTTCGGCCACTCAGAAGGCAGGAAATGGCTTGCTGAGCAAAGGGGTATTGCCTGATGAAGCGAAGGGCGCTGTGACCAGCTTTCTTCTTCTGCTTTACGGTCAACGCACTGCCGTAGGTGAAAGGAGACACGGCTCGGTCGGAGCTGGTAGAGATGCTCATGAAGCTGGTGCGATCAAATACATCCTCGATGTTAATTTTTGCCACCTCCTCAGAGAGAACGCTAGTGTTGAGTTCAGAAAAAGTCAATCCCATGTTGGGGCTCTCTTCCAAAATGTAGTCCATCTGTAAGGCAGGATCTCCATGAAGAAGAGACAGAGGCTCTTGGTTGACCACGGTGTCGCCGCAACACTCCTGAGCAAGCTCAGGTAAAGGATCCTCAAAAATAAAACCATCCTGTCCAATACAGCAAGCTGCATCCATCTGGACTAGATTCCCATCAGATCTCCTATGTGGGACAGCAATAGAGCTAGATGCATTGTCAGAATAGGACGGAATGGATATCTTGCTTCTCCTTTCAAGGCCATCAAAGAAATTTGTTTGTAGACTGGAAGGACTAACACTTCCTAGAGCCTCTATACTCTTGTCGCTACTAAAACTGCCTTTGGTCTCAGTGTCAGCGGCTTCAGAGGTTTCCTGTGTGATGTCTGATGTGCTGGACTCAGGTGGACCTTCCCCAGACTCCACACCTGGCTTAAGGTGGTCTACGTCTATGCAGGTTGTGTAGGAGTCCAGACTCAGCGGCTCGCCGGAAAAGTTCAGGATGGGGATTGTTGGGTTGTTGGAAGGAATACTGAAGTTCTTTGAGGCTCCTCCGTCCTCCCAGTCGTGTTCGGCTTCGAAGAGAAAACTAGTAACTCTTTGTTTGCTCACAAGAGCCCTGTCGATCTGGCTGGTGTAAATGAAGCACAGATCTCCTCGGAAGGACTTCTCCACTGCGTTTAGCTGCTCTAGAGTTTGGAGGAAAAAGCTAGTGTCGCAGAGCTCCTCCAGCGTTTTCAAGCGTTTATCAAAACACTTTGCAGATTTGGCCTTGATGAGCTGCGGTGTGTAAGAAGACTTTCTACTTTCTGTTTCTACTGTGTTTTCTGCACTGTCAGAAGGATTAGTGTCCTTTAGCGTCTCGTCCATTACAGGAGGTTTCTCTGCCTCACACTGTACAAAATCCACATCTCTCTTTCTCCTGGAAGGATAGGATGTGATTTGTCTCAGCAGATCTTTGTGCTCATAGATGGACTTCTCCACATTTGCTAATTCATTCGCCTTCTCGATGGCTTGTGTGGAGTAACAGCCATTGTTCATTTTCTGCAGCTCCGTCTCTTTGTGCAACACTGATCTGGTGTACTCCAGGTCTTTTAGTTTCTTTTCCAGCTCGTTTGCGAAAGCTTTCCTATTTCCTGATTTCAGACATTCTGAGGCCTTGGAAAACTCCGATGACAGCTCCTGGAACTGCTGCATGATCTTCCTCTCGTCTGCAGAAATGTAGGCCATACAGAAGGGCCGTACAAATCCTCGAGCCTCCAAATCATACAGCGTCAGGTGATGGACGTAGGCGAATGCACCTTCCTTGGAGTCACCCAGAACCACTTTTGAGTCCTCCACAAAATTAAGCTTTGGGTAGTTACTCCCAGGAGGATGACCGACAAAAGACGCCTGGTAGTCCACAGACATGATGCGAAGCGAGAAATAGTTAAGGTCAAACGTCCCACACACCTTGGGGTCACTGGGAATGGTGAGTAAAGGCTGTGGACCCACCTGCTCTGAGAATTCAGAGATGAGAATGAAATCTTTCGAGAATTTCGCATAGGATGTCTTCGTCCATGGATTTGCATTGGCAGCATGAGTAAACAAAGGCACCGAAAACTCATCTGGAAGTGACAACGGATCTGAGAATGAGTCCCCAAAGTCATCTTCTTTGGTAAAAGCCACCACATCTGGTGAGCCAATCATGTTCTCTGAGTTTATAGAGAAACATCAGCAGAAATACCTTTCAGGTGTTAATATATCCACTGATGAAGACACGATTCCACTGATGAAGACATGATATTTCACAAGAACATCGTTTTGAAGTCAAAATCATTCATTCGAGGGCTCTCACCGTATACAGCAGGGCTGTTTAAGTCCACTGAGCCAGATCACGATCTGCTGAACATGAGATGAAGGCGATGCTCGCCAGAATGACAGACCTTTGACGTCACCTGCCATACATCCGACGCATCCATCAATGGCCACCGCCTATATAAACCGCTTTATATTCGGGCGACTACATAATATATGTCAGCGAAAACAGCGCTGTTAGACTGTAATCCAGCTGCTCAATAAACTGACATCCTCTAACAGCAGCCATATTTAAACGATCGTAACCTCCCCATGTGACTGTCCTGATGAGGAAGTGGTGGCGTTTCAAAACACAGTGAGCTTGCTAGCTTACTAGCATTTCCAGTCAGCGGACTGGGTAGGCGCTCGTGAGCCTAAATGTGCTGTCTAGATAGGTATCTACAAGTGTTTTGAGATACAGCCGATGCATTTGTTATGATGTGTTTTGCGCGTTTTTTCGAGGGAAGAACTTAAATTATTCGTATCGTATGACAAGTTTATTGTTCATTATCTATCTGTAAATTTATTATTTGGTTTTATATTTGATTCTGAAATGTTTCGAATGTAAAGTACACAGTACATCTTTCTGACACATTGCTTTACGGTATTTTTACGACAATTTCCGTCAGGCGCCGAAATTGGAAGTTTTTAGTGTTGTTACCTTCGTTGTGATCACAGTTTTACAGATTTACTTTCCGATTGGGTTCAAATGTTTTTATTTCAGTTAACGACCAAGTTGTTAGTGTTTTTATGCTAGTTTGGACGCTGTTCATTTGATGTAATGTCCGGAGTGCACCGTGATCATGCGCCGTTAGGTCACAGTTATGAACGTTTTGTTTAGGGCACTAAGAAAAACTGTCAACAGTCGATTTTATAGACATATATCTGTAAGCATGATAAGACGCACTCAGATTAAGAAAGTGCTGTGTGTGGCCGAGAAAAACGATGCAGCTAAAGGCATAGCAGAGATCATGTCAAATGGCAGATCCAGAAGAGTGAGTGCTCACTGTTGTGCTGCTATTTGGATTTATTTTGTTCATCATGGTCATAATGAATCTTGTTTTCTTGACAGAGAGAAGGCTGCTCTGTTTACAACAAAATATATGAGTATGAATACAACCTGTTCGGCCAAGTAAGTCATTTTTACGATTAATCACTTACTAACTTGTCTAAAAATGAATATAGACATGTCAGAAAACATGACGCATATTTGTTGTTTTGTGCAAAGAAAAATACTGTGAATGATGACAGTTTTATTTAATATTCGGAAGAAATGTCACCAGTAGTTGACAGAATAAAATGTTTTACTCTGATTAGGATTTATCTGAATTAACTGTGATTTAGATTATATAACAGCTTAGACCATTAATTTAAACATAGAGCATAAATGAGTCCGACACCCTGTCAGATTTCTCAGAAGGTGTACTTTCAATGGGATGATGTGCAATGAGAAAATTGTGCAAAACTGGCTTATTGGATTTACATTAGCTTAGTCAGTGGCAAGCAAAACTGTATATAACCAAATCACTTAATATCGTTGGCAAAAATGAGTACACTACAGTGAATATGTTAGGAGAAAGTCTGAACAATATTTGAATAAACCAGAAGCATCAAGAAGGTCATGCAAAATATTAAATGTACTTAAATCTTTTGTGTATTTTATTTCTGTTTCACAGAATGTTACTGTAAACATGACGTCAGTATCAGGGCATCTCTTGGCTCTTGAATTCAAAGCTCCTTTTCAGAAATGGTAAGTTTTATATACAGTTAAAGTCAGAATTATTAGCCCCTCTTTGATTTTGTTTTCTTTTTTAAATATTTCCCAAATGATGTTTAACAAAGCAGAGATTTTCTCAGTTTGTCTGATAATTTTTGTCTTCCGCAGAAAGTCTTATTTGTTTTATTTCCACTAGATTAAAAGCAGTTATTATTGTTTTAAAAACCATTTTAAGGTAAAAAAAAAAATTATTAGCCCCTTTAAGCTTTATTTTTTTTCGATAGTCTACAAAACAAACCATCGTTATACAATAACTTGCCTAATTACCCTAACCTGCCTAGTTAACCCAATTAACTTAGTTAAGCCTTTAAATGTCATTTTAAGCTGTATAGAAGTGTCTTGATAAATATCTAGTCAAATTTTATTTACTGTCATCATGGCAAAGATAAAATAAATCAGTTTTTAGAGATGAGTTATTAAAACTATTATGATTAGAAATGTGCTGAAAAATTCTCTCTGTTAAACTGAAATTGGGGAAAAAATTAAGGGGGGGGGGGTGGGCTAATAATTCTGACTTCAACTGTGCTTCACAGGCATAGTTGTAGTCCAGTCCTATTGTTTGATGCTGAGGTGGAAAAGTACTGCCCTGAGAACTTTATACCGATTAAGGTACTCATTTCCAGTCATTCAAAATATATGTATAATTTTACAATGTGAGGTTGTTGGTTTTTTTTACCAAAATGTTGTATTTACACACAATCTAGAGGACTTTGGAGAGAGAGGTGAGGCAGTGTCAAGCTCTGATTGTTTGGACTGATTGTGACAGGGAAGGAGAGAATATCGGCTTCGAGATCATTGATGTCTGCAAAGCAGGTAAGTAAAGACTTTTTTTTTTTGTGCTGTTTCTGTTTTTTGTTATTAAAGGATAATTTAACAACTTGTACGCAACACAAAAAGAAGATACTTTGAAGAATGTCGATAACAAATTAGTGAAAGATAAGACTGACCTCCATTGTGTTTTGTTTTTGTCTGTATTGTGGAGTACAGTGGAACCTGAAGCTGATTTGTTACCAGAATTCTTCAAAAAATCATTTTAAATGTCAGAAAAGTTTTGAAACAACATTAAAAGAGAAAATTACTCACTATTTAGTATTTACTATTTTCTTTAGTGGTCCCAAACCTTTATGAGTTTCATTCTTCTGTGGAACACAAAAGAAGATATTTTGAAGAAAACTGAAAACCTGTAACCATTGACTTCCATAGTAGCAGATACTATGGAAGTCAATGGTTACAGGTTTTCAGCTTTCTTCAAAATATCTTCTTTTGTGTTCCACAGATAAAAGAAACTTATAAAGGTTTAAAAACATGTAAATATTGAGTAAATGATGACAGAACTTTCATTTTTGGGTGTACTACCCCACTAACAACAGTTAAACACTGACAGTATGTATAATCAGTTGAATAATTCCCTAAACTTGTTATATCTTTTAATTAAGTGAAGCCAAACATCCAGGTCTTCCGTGCACGGTTCTCTGAGATCACCCCAAACTCCATTAGGAGAGCCTGTGAGACCCTCACGGAGCCTGATATCAATGTTAGCGATGCGGTCGACGTGAGACAGGAGCTAGATCTTCGCATTGGTGAGCATTTCACTATATCAGATGACACAAGTACTTTCTAGATAAGATAATCTGTTTAACATGTCTATATTATGCTTCTTCAGGGGCATCGTTTACCAGATTCCAGACTTTGCGCCTGCAGAAGATATTCCCAGAATCTCTCTCTGATCAGCTCATCAGTTATGGCAGCTGTCAGTTCCCCACTCTTGGCTTTGTGGTAGAACGATTTAAAGCCATTCAAGCCTTCATCCCTGAAACATTCTTCAAAATCAAAGGTACTAGTAATTTGCTCACCTAACATTTGATGGCACAATATGTAAAATATTTATTAAAACAAAAAAACATATACAAAAAAAAACTTTAATTTATAAAAAAAAAAAAAACATATTGTGTAGATATATATCTAGAACCGCGTCTTTATTTAGAGGAGAAGAGAAGCGAATCCGGATCTCCATTTGCAGCAGAGAAAAGCTCTCGGGTAAACAATGTACCTTTAGACACGTAAGTTATTGTTGTCGCACGTCGCATACACTGTAATCCATGCGTGATTCCAGCTGCGCTCTCACAGAGAAAATGAAAACAAACTTCACTTCAGCAAATTAGGAAAGCAACACTTCACGTTTGTTTTGCCAACACAATGTGGCGTCTCTGCCGTGACGCCGTCTACACTGTAACATTAATGAATGTTAATGAAGTTGCACAATAGAGCGCGCTGATTGGTTTGAACCAAGTCTTACTCATGCATTAATGCAGCACACTCTGAGACGTAATACGGTACACCCAGGTACAGTCACCCAGTCTACATGCTGGAATACACACTATGATCTCATGGCCGTGACGCAGCTACAAAAATTCGTTTCAAACCGGAAGTACGAATTTGCTCGAAATAACGCAAAAACTGCCAATCTTCACTTTTTAGTGAGATATATGTGTCCTAATAGTGTTTTTAGCAGTGTGGGACACATATATGACTGTCAACAGCTCAAAAAATGTGTTTTGGTGTTTCGTGACCCTTTAAATGAGCTAATAATTTTGACCTTAAAATGGTGTTTACAAATTTTAAAAAATTGCGTTTATTCTAGTGGAAATAAAACAAATAAGACTTTCGTCAGAAGAAAAAATATTATTAGACATACTGTGCAAATTTCCTGGCTGTGTTAAACATCATTTGGGAAATATTTAAAAAAGAAAAAAAGCAATTTTAGCTCGTGGCATGGACTTTGTCCTGCGTCACCATGCTAATGATGTCATACAGCCTCAAGTTTTCAGTTTGGTTTTATAGAAAACTAGGAAACACCAAATATGCTTTAATATGTTGTGGGTATTATTAGACTGTACAGAACAGCATTATGACAGAACCTTAAAATGGTTACAGGGTATCCGCAGGGTATTAAAAAGCCTTAAATGCTATTTTGCAAGGTATTACATTTTGTATATTTGATTATACAATGTATAGTTGTATGCTAAAGCTTGCTTGAAGTTAATCTGTGAATATTGGGATGTTATGTAGTTTATGAAATGGATAAAATCTGGTTAGATTTGATGTCAAGCTGCTTTGTTTACTGCAGTAACCAAGGTGACCCCATTATTCTTGCTGTTATAGGAGGCGCCACCTGTTTTAGTTTAGGATTAGTTTCTTACAATCAGAATTTAGTGAATACACTGCAAGCTAAAATGCCGCCAGTGTTACCAGTTGAAACCTAGAGTGGTCGATGAGGTCTTCATATGTATGGAGACTCTCTGTATATACCCTGATTTATTATGATAAAACAGGGCTACTTTTTCTCCTCACAATCTCGACAGGAAGAACTGAAAGCGGTCAACTGTGTCATAATAAAAGCTCTGCTACTCTCTTTCACAGCTTTCAGCCTTACTCTGCTTCATAATACCATGAAAATCAGTTTTGAATACTTTGAATACATCCAGTATATGATTTCTGCAGGAGTCCCATAGGATGTAACTCAGTCACAGCATCATCAAATGGCTTTTTAATATGGATATGCATCCTCTAGCTGCAGAAATAAATAATGTGGAGTTTAAATGCATTACTATATGCTTCATGTAAAAGAAAATCTGTTTTTAGTTGTCCATGAACCTAATGAAGAGGAGTCAGTGGAATTCAACTGGAAAAGACATCGACTGTTCAATCACACCGCATGCCTTGTGCTGTATCAGATGTGCATGGAGGTCAGTGCTGAATTGTATTTTTATAAACAACATAGCTTTTGAGTAGTTTTTTCATTAATTGTAAAGAAATTCATTTTTGAGTCATTACAAATGAAGTTTCTGTATTTGTTTAGGAACCCATGGCGAAAGTTATATCTGTAACAAGTAAACCAAAAAGCAAATGGCGACCTTTACCACTGGACACTGTGGTAAGTTATTCAAAACATGTATCCTTTATTCCTTTATTCAAAACATGTAGTCTTGAAAGATTTACTACATGAAAAGTAATTGAAAATTGAAGAAGAAAAAAACGTGTACTCACTGCCGTGACATATTAAAATGAGCCATTGCTTCATTCTTCAGTGTCACATGATCCTTCAGAAACCATACTAAAATGCTAATTCAAACAAGAAGCATATCTTGTTATGTATGGTGGGAAAAGTTTTGCTGCTTATTATTTTGGTGGAAATCATGATAATTTTTGTAGGATTTTTTTAAACTGGAAAGAAAAAAACAACAACATTTATAACAACTATTATTACATTTGTATGATCACAACAATGCAAAATGCCTTAATTCTTGCTTGTAATATGTTTTCGTTAACTTTTTGTAATCTTCTTCAGGAACTTGAAAAACTGGCCTCCAGAAAATTGAGGATAAGTGCCAAAGAAACCATGAAGATTGCAGAAAAGCTGTATACTCAAGGGTATGTTAGTGGCTATTTCATCAACTCTTTTGTGGTCTGCATGATAAGCCCCGTCACAAATCAGCTTGTCTGTTTCCCTGCAGTTTTATCAGTTATCCTCGCACGGAGACCAACATGTTTCCACAGAACCTGAACCTTACCCGTCTGGTTGAGCAACAGACACAGGACCAAGAATGGGGAAATTTTGCCCAGCGTATTTTGGAAAGCGGTGGGCCCACTCCTCGAAACGGAAACAAATCAGATCAGGCCCATCCCCCCATTCACCCCACCAAATACACCAACGGTTTACAGGTGAACATCCTTTTTCTTTAGAACATTACAAAAGAAGAAGGGCTGAACAATATATCGTTTGAACATCGACTTCGCTATGTGTGTGTATCCGCAATAGTCGAATCAATCTAGCTGAAATAGATTATTTATAAAGATTAAAATATAAAGATATTATAACCAATTTTTTTAAAACATCGATGAGCATGTTATATTGTTTGATCGTTAAATGTTTGTATTTGATTAGTCCACAGAAAAGCCATTGCACTGTTTGTTTAACTTTTATTTTTTCTCTCTCATATTTATTTGTTCATTTTCTTTTCGGCTTAGTCCCTTTATTTATCAAGGGTCTCCACAGCGGAATGAACCGCCAACCTATCCAGCATATGTTTTACTAGTGATGTGACGTTGTGCACCGTGGCTTCGAAGCATGTATTAAAAAAAGATACATGTCACAGTGAAGCAGTGTACCGGAGCTTGATTCGTTTAGCCATAATCATGTGATCAGTGACGTTCGTAGCTTCATTTTTGCTTATACCTACTGCTTAAAATTTTAATTCAAAGATTAAACTCTCGTGGGTTAGTAAAGTGTACAGCGAGACATTAGGCATCAATTACATACATTTTTACTGTTTTAAAGCACTGCACCGATCCCACGCACCAGTAATTCAACTAAAATGCTATAGTAATTTATAGTTAAAAGCTTTTGAACTATATTAAAGTGTATTAATGTATTTTTTACAACTATTTTTAAAGAATGCCACTGCATATTGTAGTATAGTGTGTAACCGAGGACAGCAAAAAAGTCTCACTCTCATAGCATCCTCCTTGGAGCATTCGCCTCCCATGCAGGAATCGCTGGTTCGGTCCTGGCTCGGAATGAGAGTGTGTGTGTAGGATTGGTTGAAATAGATAAATGTTAATACATATGAATACCCTGGATTGTACAACAGTCATTGGTGGTGTAATGCGATATACCTTATATGTACAAAAACTACAGTAACTGGGTAATTTGTTTATATTATTGTTGTATTACTACGTAAATGAGATTGTCAGTTGTGAACATTTGACATTTTAGCAACGCAGTGCATTCCCACACTTTAACCAACAGAGGTCCTCATTGAGATCTGATTTGGAAAGCTTCGAGTAACAAACCTTTTTTTCTGATTTTTACAATTGAGTTGAACGGTTCACTGGTTCATAAAGCTTAATTTCACCATCACTATATTTTGCGCAGCGGATGCCCTTTCAGCTGCAACCTATCACTGGGAAACCCATTCACTCTCAATCACACAGATACAATAATGACAATTTTAGTTCTCCCAGTTCATGTGTAGCGCATGTCTTTGGACTTGTGGGGGAAACCGGAGCATCCAGAGGAACCCACATCAGAATATGCCAACTGACCCAGCCGAGGCTGGAACCAGCGACCTTCGTGCTGTGAGGTGACTGTGCTACCCACTGCGTCACCGTTTTATATGGAGATCACCTGTTGAACTGAATTATTGAAATCTTTCCAAATAGAGCTATTCAAATCATTTGGTGAAATTAGATTTATATTGCAATATATATCGCACCAAAACAAAATAACGCAATGTGAAATTTTTCCAATATTGTGCAGCAGCCCTAAATCGAAGCACAATTTTTATCAACAGTACTCCTTAAAAAACGTTTGAGATTTTATCATATGTACTTGATATCATAAAAGATTTTTATCATATGTATTTTTTATTGCAGTTGATGATTTTTTCTTATTGTTTTTATTATTTTAGAAAAGTGATATTTATAAAACTTATTTGTAAGTGTATTTGTGAAATGAATCAATTTTATCTGGTTTTGCCATGGAATAACCAGAGAAGCTGATATGGCAATAAATTCAAAGATCTCTCTACAAATGAAGCTGCAGTTTGCTAGGAATTGACACCTATTGCAGTGATTTTTAATAATATTTTTTTCTTTTTTTTAAATAGGGAAATGAAAAGAGACTTTATGAGTTCATTGTACGTCACTTCCTGGCCTGTTGCTCCAAAGATGCTCAGGGTCAAGAGGTCACAGTCGAAATTGATATAGCGGAAGAGAGATTCTCTGCTAGCGGACTGACGATCATCGCTCGCAATTATCTGGAAGTGTACCCTTATGACAAGTGGTACAATAAGGTCAATACTGTTCATATCATACTTTATAAGTAAAAGTATTAAGTTTTTGTTTTCTTAACAAGGGCGCTGTATTTTTATAGTAAACTTTTTGCTTAATTTTTTTGTGGTGCATGAGTATATAACATACAACAGTATAAATGTTTGTGAATATCCCAATACTAATGGGAACAGTGTGTTTTTTTCTTCTACAAACACAATAAACAACAAAAATGACAAGAAACATTTGTTTGGAAATCATCTGATCAAGTCACATCTCATTACTATGCAGCACTTTAGATATTGTTCATTTAGATATAGTATAGTTCACCCAAAAATGAATATCCTCACCATTTAGTTGCACTCAAATAGTTCTAAACCAGGGGTGCCCAGAATCGGTCCTGAAGGGTCAGTGTCCAGCATATTTTAGCTCCAACGTCTTTCAATACACCTGCCTGGACGTTTCTAGTATACCTAGAAAGAGCTTGATTAGCTGGTTCAGATGTGTCTGATTGGGGTTGGAACTAAACTCTGCAGGACAACAGCCCTCCAGGACAGAGTTTGAGCACCCCTGTTCTTAACCCTTTCTTCTGCAGAACGCAAAAAGAAATTCTGGAAAGTGCTGGAAAAAAATTAACAATTGAAATCCATAGAAGAAGAAAAAAACTCTCCAGTTCATTTATGTTTTTACTTTTGTAAATCTGACATTGATGGACTGAACCAATGAAAAGAACTGGAGAAGATTAAAAAAATTGGAGCCTCAGAGCTATTCTTTTCTATTACAGTAGATAATCAACACTGGCCAACGTTAGTTTAAAGATATTGATCAGTTGGAGAAAACCTTTCTGCAATTATTCATTTTAGTTTGGTTTGAAACTCTAAATGTTACACCAGTTTATTCTTCAGTTTGCTTTGATGTATATTGTGGGCTTAATGATTTATTCGTTTACCTTTTGCACAGGTGATTCCATCATACAGCCCTAACACCACATTCCAGCCCACAGCGATTGAGATGGTGGAAGGACAGACCAGTCCACCACAGCTTCTGACAGAGGCAGATTTGATATCACTCATGGAGAAACATGGCATTGGTACTGAAAACTATCAGTCAAGCTTCGTTACCTTGAATATTTTACATGGTTTTTAAAGAAGAGCTAGTTATGTAGCATTCAACTTGGGTTGTTACTGCAGGTACCGATGCAACACATGCTGAACACATTGAGACCATTAAGAGTCGCATGTATGTGGGGCTGACGGCAGACCAGAGGTTCCTTCCCGGAGAGCTCGGCATGGGTCTCGTTGAAGGTAACACATCATTGGTATATTAAAGGTGCCATAGAATACAAATCAAGATATATCTACGGATAGCTGATTAAAACGAGTTCAATACATAGGAATGACATACTGTCAGCCTCAATCATGGTTTCATTTGTGTCATGTAAATCTTTTGAGTGAAAAAACTTGGTAAACGCAAAACAAAACCATCTGAACAAAAAACAAACTCTGGTGATCCACATGGGATCATTAATATGCACGCCCCCAGGCAGCGTTTGATTGGCCACAACTTTTCTAGTGAGATTACGAAGAGAAATTTATGCTTAGTTTGTCTAAACTTATATTATTCTGAAATTTTACATCTATTTTGTCTAAACAAACCCAAGTAGACTGCTGAATATAAGTTATAAAGGCAGATTTATGCATTGTTTCATTTCACTTAGCTCTTACTGTGTCATTCACAATGTTAATCAGCAACAAATTAAAGAAAGCTCATTCCTTCTAGCTAAAATGAACTTCTCTACCACTTAAGTAAAAGGCATCTTGCATGTGTTGTTTTCAGAGTACATCACGGTCTTTGTGTCTGCATGTGTGTTTGTGTGTGACCGAGACATGAACTGCTGGAAGCATCAGAGCAAAGCACATTAATATACACAACCCTTCCAAATATGGTCAAAATCAACCATATGATATTTGGGCCAATACCTAATGTTTGAAATTGACCTGTAATGGACCATTTCTGGAACATCTATTCTGTTTAGATATCAGAAAAAAATTTAACATTGAATCAATGCATTCTATCGATGCTTTAATGGATGGTTCAGTCAAAAATGAAAATTTGGCATTAATTTACTTAGTCTTATGCCATCCAAGATGTAGGTGACTCTTTCACAAAATGTAACTAAACTAGCTTGTGCTTCATCCCACTCCATTTTCGACCATGTTGAAATGTATTATTTGTTAATAATATTTTATGTATGATATTTTGTTAGAAAAAAAAAATTAAATCAAATAAACATACAGGCAAAATAAAAAAATAATAGCCTACATGGTTCTCCTGATGATATATTGAGGTCGTATAAAGAAAACAATTGATCTATTAAAGAAAATGATTACAAACTATGACAGTCTAGAGCAGTGGTTCCAAAAAGTGGGGGTCAGGGACAATGAAGGGAGGGGTCGCTAGGTGATTTCCAATAATCTAATTAATTTTATGAAACCATTAGAATTACCATATTTTATTCATAAACTTCTTAAGTTAAAAATAGTATTTTATAGTAACAGCCTTTTAATTTTTTTTTTCTATTTGATTGCGACCCGTTAGGGTGGTTACATTACATTAAATACACAGCATTAGCGTCAGATGAAGCAGATTGATTTTGTGGTACCAGATTAAGCTTTCTGGCACGTTAATAGCACTCGCATACATTAAAAAAAGATAATAATCGAAGAATAGACTCTGGGCTATTGGTATGTGTGCACCGTTGCATGCAAGGTTTCTCTATTTATATTCACCTCAGATGATATTGGGGATCATGACTCATGAGTAGGCCTACATGGAATATGTGCGCGCAGAATTCAGCAGATTTCTACAGATTTTTAGCCCATCATTGATTCTGTTTATTTACTTGTGTAAATGTGTGTAAATTTATATTTATTCAGTTTTTATATTAATATCAGTGTTATTATTGACTAATATGAAAATATTCATATGATTTTTTTTTACAATACAGTTTGTAAAATCATATTTTCTGTCTTTTAGTAGAGATGTTATATGAGAAACTTGCTTTGTTTACCAAAAAAAGTGGATCTAATTGGATTTGCATTGTAAACATTAAATAAAAGTTAAAAAGGTATTACTTTTATTTCATATATTAAGGTTTTAGTTATGATACTCCCAAAATCATTCCGCATAAATCCGCAGATTTTTAACACAATGTGCAGAAATATCAAAAAATGTCCACAGATTCTGTCTGGCCCTAGTCATGAGTCACTGGCATTGTTATTTTGGGGGTTGCAGGCTGAAAAGTTTGGGAACCCCTGGGGCCTCATGTACGAAGACTTGCGTGGAAATCTTACTAAAACATTGCGTACTTGCGTAGCTGTAAATGTGCGTACGCAGAAAAAAATTCAGATGTATGAAACACTGCGTACGCCGAATCTCATGCATATTCTTTTGTACATCTGAATGAACGTGAAACTGAGCGCAACATGCACGAGCACAAAACCCCTCCCTGCCTCCTCCCCCGTATGAATATGCTAATGACTATGCTAATGGCAAAACCCAACGAAAAAGCAATGTCAAAAGCAATCAAAAAGAGAAACTTTGAACAGAATGTGAATTGGAGGTGCTGCTTTCGGAGGTAGACCGGAGAAAAGCAGTGTTATTTGCAAGTTTGTTCTCCGGAATTAACAACAAAAGAAAAAAATAGAGTGGGAGAGTTTAGCTGATGCAGTCAACACAGTTGGGTCTGAACATCGCATTGAGTGCATAAAAAAAAAGAAATAGTGTGGTTTATATCTGTAAAATGTTGCAGGACGCTTAACAGTCTCAGTGGCGCTACTCGTAAGACGCATGTGATCATGAATTGATACATTCGAGCATGAACTCGGCTCGAATCCAGCGTCTGATGAACTCTTTCTTGTTTTTTCCCCCGCTACATATCAGATTTTGCCAACTATTTAACACGAGAAAGACAAGTAGGAATCATCAATAAGTTCATATCAATAAGCATCATATTTTATTTGCACATATATTGAATGGAAATGTTTCTTATTCACGCATGCAAATTCATCTTCAGATAGTGTCTTTATAGCGATGTGCGTGCGGTAGATCGCTCAAATTACATTGGAAAAACAGGCGACTGCTGCAAATTGTGCTTTAATGTTTAGCTGGTCAAACGTATGGTATGGAAACCTTATATACCTGCTGAACCCGTCTCATACAGCTGCCATTGCAAGGCTCAGACACTTTGTAGAGAGGAATTTAACACAACTGCCTCTAGGAGTCGCCAATGGAAATAAAACAGACACGCACAAAAAATGTCTGTCAGAAAAGCTGCCGTGAAGCTGCGCACATTCCCACGTTCAGTTCATTGTTAGTAAATCCAAACGTGAGCGATTCTGAGCGTGAAACCTGGCGTACGCAAAGTTTTTGTGCATACGCAGCGTTGATACATGAGGCCCCAGGTCTGGAGCTTTCTGTTGTATAAAGATGTAAGTTTTGACAAAAATGCGCACTTTAGTTGATGCTGTTTGTCCACTTATGTATGAGTTTGAGCCTGCACATACACTATTATCACAGTTGAAGCTCCCTTATAACGAATTCAGGATCATTTGCCACATTGACATGCTGTCTCAAACCTCAAACTAATTTTTAAAAATGTTTTTAAACTTAAATCACACAAGTTCATTCTGAGAAGCTTTCAGCAATGAAACCTTCAAATAATTGCTTAATATCAGTAATTTATGTCAGTTTATTGTTTCAGGATATAATTCTATGGGATACGAGATGTCTAAACCAGACCTGAGAGCTGAGCTGGAGGCAGACCTTAAACTTGTGTCAGAGGGCCGGAAGAATAAAGCATCTGTCCTCAGTTATCATGTGGCAAAATACAAAGCCGTTTTCATCGAGTCTGTGAGGAAGGCAAAGAAGTGAGTCTTTTATTTCTACATTAGTTACACTGCAGTCATCAGATTTGCTTTTGTTAGTTTCAACTATACTTGCACTTACATTTCTACATGCAGATTTACATTGATTTTAATTGGTGTCTTAATGTCTCCAGATTAGATGAGGCTTTGTCCAATTATCTGGGTCCGGCTCAGGAGATTGCAGAACAGGAGCAAGTCGAGTTGGAGATACCATTACCTGTGCGAAAGTGTCCTCAGTGTAACCGAGACATGGTGCTGAAGAAGAAGAAAGACAGCACAGGGTGAGATGACATCATGTGTTCATTTAACAACTGATCTCAAATGGAATGTAGTGTATTTACTAATGTTGTGCCTCTTCTGTGTTTTTACTCCAGGATGCTTCTTTCATGCTTGGGATATCCAGCGTGTAAAGCAGCCGTGTGGTTTCCTGACACTGTCCTGGAAGTCAGCAGAGACGAGAGCATCTGTCCAACTTGCCGTCCACATCCGGTTCATATGTAAGAATTGTGGCTCATATGTTGCTTTGTAATTATTTTTATATTTTTTAAGGTCGCTGATTCGAGCCTCAGCTGGGTCAGTTGGCATTTCTGTGTGGAGTTTGCATGCTCTCCCCATGTTCGCGTGGGTTTCCTCTGGGTGCTCCGGTTTCCCCCACAAGTCCAAAGACATGCGGTATAGGCGAATTGAATAAACTAAATTTGCCGTAGTGAATGAGTGTGTATGGGTGTTTCCCACTGATGGGTTGCGGCTGGAAGGGCATCCACTGCGTAAAACAAATGCTGGATAAGTTGGTGTTTCATTCTGCTGTGGCGACCCCTGATTAACAAAGGGACTTTATATAATAACAAAGGGAATTAATAATGTTAGTGATGAAGAAAAAAGCAATAGGACATTTAAATAAAATGTTATAATTAATTCCCCAAAATGTATAAAAATGTTTAATATTTTGAGCAGCACAAATGTTTTTAGTATAACATGCTAATCAGCATCTTTGAGTATTTTCTGTAAGGTCATGTGATGCTGAAGACTGGAGGAATAATGGTGAAAATTCATCTTTAACATCATAGAAATCCATTACATTTTAAAAACGTATTCAATGAAATAACAATTGTTTTATAGTTATAATATTGCACAATAGTGTTGTCAAAAATATTCATATTTGGATAAGTATCGATTTTGGAATATATAAAACGATAATATCTTGCTTTTGGTTGGTAGCGATACCGACTTTGCTCAATTTTTTTCAAGATATCGTATCGCAGTTAGACATTTCAGTATGGTGACAGTATTATTTCAGAATATTACAATCTACTATTTTGATCCAACAAATCTAGAAGAGATAAGAGACTTGCATCAAAAACCTGAATTGTCTTACTGTATGGTAAAACTTTTACTGAACGGTTTTATATGTTAACTTTAATTTGTGAAATAACTATTATAAAAAAAATTTCTAATTGGGGTGTCACAGGGGCGCATTTAGTAGCACGATTGCCTCCCTACAAGAAGGTCGCTGGTTTGAGCCTCAGCTGGGTCAATTGGCATTTCTATGAGGAGTTTTCATGTTTGGTGAATTGAATGAGCTAAATTGGCTGTAGTGTATGAGTGTTTATGGATGTTTCCCAGTGATGGGTTGCCGCTGGAAGGGCATCCGCTGCATAAAACATGTGCTGGATAAGTTGGTGGTTCATTCCGCTGTGGCGACTCCAGATTAATAAAAGGACTAAGCCAAAAAAGAAAATGAATGAATGAAATTTCCAGTTGTATATTTCGAGGCAACATGGTGGCTCGGTGGTTAGCGCTGTCATCTCACAGCAAGAGTCCCAGCTGGTTCAATTGGCATTTCTATGTGGAGTTTGGATGTTCTCCCCATGTTGGCATGGGTTTTCTCCGAGTGCTCTAGTTTACCCCACTGTAAACTGGAAACATGCGGTATAGGTGAATTGAATAAGCTAAATTGTCCGTAGTGTATGAGTGTGAATGAGTGTGGGGATGTTTTCCAGTACTGGGTTGCAGCTGGAAGGGCATATGCTGGATAAGTTGGCTGTTCATTTCGCTGTGGCGACCCCTGATAAATAAAGGGACTAATCTGAAGGAAAATAAATGTAGGATTGTATATTTATAGCATTTCATTAATATTTTTTTCTAAGCCGTATTAAAGGGCACATAGGTTACCCCTTTTTTCATATTTAATATAAGTCTTTTGTGTCCCCAGAATGTGTCTGTAAAGTTTCAGCTCAAAGCACCCATCAGAGTATTTATTATAGCTGTTTGAAGTGTCTGTATTAGAGACTGGGAAAAGGTTGTTGCTGTTTTTTGCACTGGGACACACACAGAGAGAGAGAGAGACGCGGCTGTGCTGATAAAGTGAATCTGAAGTGAATTGCTGTACTTCAGTACACACGTGCACACGTTTTAAAACTTGTTAAACTTGTAAAACTCACTCTTGATCACATTTGATGATGATTGATGATCCTAGCGAACTGAACAGACCTTTTATTCCCGGTTGCTTTGCGCTCGTCCTGTCTTGTTGATATGATTATATGCGTTACTACGGAGACATATTAATGCGCGCAGCTGTCAGTCAATATTGGTGGGCGCACTCCTACGTCAAGTTGAGGTCGATCTGAAAACCGCTCCAATTGGTCCACCGTTTTTATGTTGTTAAATTTGAGAAAAAAGGACTGGGTGTGTTTATTTCACCCCAATATGACAGTATATACACTATACTTACACACATGTATGTGCAAACAGCTTTAAAAGTAGATTTTTCACCATAGGTGCCATTTAATACATTTATACAACACAGTAAAACCGGTTCTAGTAACCCTCCAGCATGTGTGTTTAGATGGAGCAGAGTTTACAAAGCAGAGTAAATAGGTTTAAAGAGAATCGGTTTAAATGAATTAATACTACAGATCATTTTGGAAGGGTGCTTTCTATCCAAGACTTAAAAGGGCATGTGCACTGCACAGGTTGAGCCCTATGTCTGCACGTGCCTGTCCTTCAACTATTTTATAAAGAATCCTCTCTGCTTCAGTTCTGCCCCCTACAACATGCAGTCATTAATTACATTAAGATGGTCCTGGTGTCCACTATAGTGGATATTTAAAAAAAGGATGATATTTTGAAACACAAACAAGTTAACAGCTTTGAAAGCTAAATGTATTGTTCCTGACACTTTAATAAACAAATATATATATAAAAACATATAATAATAAAATAATATATATGTATATATGTCTATGTATATATATGTAATAATAATAGTAGAAAAACATTTAAAAAGCAAAATTTTACATACCTCTCTTCTTTCCATAAAATGTGCTTGTTTGTATGCCAGCCATTTTGGATGCAGTCTAAGAAGCAGTTCCTAGCATGCCAGCCAATCAAATGACATATCACTAGAAAGGATGTACTCTGAACAGTACAACTGGATTTGACAGAGTAACTAAAAAAAATCTAAGAAAATTAATGAAAACTAAATGTCCACCACAGAGGACACAAGAAACTAAATGTCCACCACAGAGGACACAAGAAACTAAATGTCCACCACAGAGGACACAAGTCAACGGGCGGGGTCTCAGGAGGATATAGTAACATTTTACTTCTAACTCATGTTGTAAGTACAGTTGAGTGTTTGAAAAAAATCCTTCTGTAAGACTATTACATAGTCGTGTTTATTAGTCACGCTGCTGAAACAATGGAAGCAGTTAAATCTTGTGTTTAGCTACCAATATTTTTCCTGGGACATTTCTTGAGTTTCCTCATGTGTATGGACAGGTTGGTGGGTTTCTGCAAGAGCGCCCTCTGGCCTTCAGATGAGATTTACTACAATCACACCATGCTTCTTTGAGAAGATGTGCATGAAATCACAGCTTTGTTCAATTGTGTTTGCGATTTCAATTAAATTAATCGCCAAACTGTAATTTAAGCATATAATTTTCGATGCTGATTCTGGTTTTATCTTTGACAGGCTGAAGTTTAAATTCAAGAGGGGAAGTTTGCCACCCATGATGCCTCTTGAATTTGTTGGATGCATCGGAGGATGTGATGACACTCTCAGAGAGGTTTTAAACTTGAAATATCTCAGAGGACGTGATGCAGAATCTGCCCCTCAGGCCAATAACAGCTCCAGATCCAGTCAACACCACATTCATAGAACCAGCTCGGCACCTCCTCCATCCAGGGTAGAGAACATTAGACCTCCAGCACCCAGACCTCGAGCTGATCCTGGTCTGCAACCTCCACCTTCAACTCAGGGCGGTGCCATTGTGTGTAACTGTGGTCAGGACGCCTTACTTCTCACCGTGCGCAAAGAGGGTCCCAATCAAGGGCGTCAGTTTTACAAGTGTAACACAGGAGACTGCAAGTTCTTCCTGTGGGCCGATCAGCCACCTGAACAGGGGGTGCCTGAAAGAAACAGAGGGCCTTTAAGTCAAAACGTCCAGCCTCCCAGGCCTTCCAATGGGTTTGGGAATGTCTCACAGCAGAGGCAGAACCACAGAGGGTCTGGAGGCGATGAAGGGGAAACTATGTGTAACTGTAATGAGCCTTCAGTCACCAGGACTGTCATGAAGGAAGGGCCGAACAAGGGCAGAATGTTTCACACCTGCGGGAAACCACGAGATCAGCAGTGTGGCTTCTTCCAGTGGGCCAATGAAAATGTGGCACCAGGTATGTTGACTCGTTTTGTTGGAAAATATATGTAGATATTAAATTTATGGTTTAAAGTTCTGTTTGTGCATGTTTTTGTTTTATTCTGTAAAGTACAATAATCTAAATGTAAAAATAAAATGTAGTTTAGATCATTTAGTTGTTTTTATTTTGCTTAAAATGAAAAAGGTGCCAATACCAATCTACAGAACATTAAAGAAATATTTGTTGCAAATTTTCTGTTTATTATGATGGGACAGTATTGATGGAGGGGAATAGGTTTGGGAAAAGGTCAGTTGTCTTGGGACAACCGCAGTGCTGTTGTGCTAAGAAACATTTTTGATTGAATAACCCCTGAATTTCAATTAGAACAAATTAAAGCATTTTGGCGGCATGGTTGGTCAGTGGGTAGCATTGTCACCTTACAATGAGGGAGAAGGTCACTGATTTGAGTCCCGGTTGGGCCAGTTGGCATTTCCGTGTGGAGTTTGCTTGTCCTCGCTGTCTTGGCGTGGGTTTCCTCCGGGTGCTACGGTTTCCCCCACAGTTCAAAGACGTATAGTGTAAGAGTGCATGTGTGTGTTTATGGGCGTTTCCCAGTGCTGGGTTGCTGCTGGAAGGGCATCCACTGTGTAAAGCATATACCTGAATAGTTGCCGGTTCATTCTGCTGTGGCAACCCCTGATAAATAAAAGGACTAAGACGAAGGAAAATGAATGAAACTATTTTTTTATTCTAACCAGTTGTCAACAATTCTCAAACATACACATATAACATATATCTGTTTATTCAGTTGCCTGTAGCTTCTGTTTTATTTAGTTTTTATTTTAAATGTTGATCTCTCTTTTGAATTTTATTGACATTGTCTGTGGTTAAGTATTATTTACAGAACTAAATCTGTACAATAACAGCAACATTACCGACAACTCATTACTCATTATCTGTACTGTAATTTGCATGACCAAACCAAAAACTATAGTTTCTTTCAAACTGCCATTCAGATTTCAGTAATAGTCACTGCACTAAACATTTCAACAGAAAAGGGTCTACTCAACTAGAAAGTATTAATAAAATGCAGATGTTTGGGGTAAGATTTGTTAAAGTAGATTTATACTTTTGGTAAAAAAAAGTGATTGAAAATGATGATAAAAAATGTATAATATTACTGGAGACTGGGATAATTAAATGAATAAAAAATCTAGCTAGTTAGAAAACATTTATTTTAAATTGTAATAATATTTTATGATATAATATGTGTAATATTATTGCATTTTTGATTAAATAACTTTCCTTAGTGAGACTTCTGTTTTATCAGTCATTTGGTTTGATGTAGCTATACAGTGTAATAAATGTATAGTATGTTTTTTGGCTTTAACTGTGCTGCAATGTGCCACTTTTTGTGACAGAATAGAGCATGAGAATGTCCTCATTTCTATATATTTTTTTTCAAATATTTCTGTTGGGAGAGATATCAATATTTCTATATTCAATTAAAAAAAATTTAATTATTATTTTTTTTCTATCACTTTTTTCAGCCACAGCGTTTTCTGGAGGAAATGGTGGTAAACCATCTGGGAACAAAAAGGCCAGTACTACCTCAGTCAAGCCTCCCACTGCCAAAAGGCAGAGGACCTGTGGAATATGTCATGAGCCAGGACACACCAGAGTCACCTGTCCTCAGGCCCACTGAAAAACTAAATTTGTAAATAAAATTAATTTGTCTTATGCATATTTAATGTTGTTTTATGAATTGTAAATTTGTAATGTAGTATGTGTAAAATAAAGTTATTTTTAGGTTTATATTGTGTGTGTGTGTGTGTGTGTGTGTGTGTGTGTGTGTGTGTGTGTGTGTGTGTGTGTGTTATTCTTGCTCAAATATACAGGGTTTCTTTGGGTCTTACAATAGTCTTAATTTCTAAGTTAAAATTGTATTAATTCAGAGCTGAAATTCATCAAATTATCATAGTTTTCCAATAGAAATAGCTAAACAAGATAAATTAGTTTTTTATTAAAACACGTTTTCAGGACAAATATTTGTCGGTGAGATGAAGCAATTAAATGCTATTTACACACAATAATGCATTTATTATGTTTGTTTATTTATTTACCTGTAAAAGGAAATGAAAGTTATGGAGACTGGTACAAAATTTAATTTACTAACATTCAAAGTGTGGCTAATACAACTCACTCTGCTTCCATTTGGAGAAAATTTGGATAAGTATTAATGTATTGTGCCCCCTTCCAATGATAGAACAGTCTTGTTCTTAAAGTTTTGTTAAACTTTATTAAGCCTCTGGAAACCCTCATGTTACTATTGAATCTTTTTTCTACATGTAAAATGTTGAACAGGTTTGAAAATGGGATGTCCCATATGAGAAATAAGCATTTTCTTCTGCTTATAAATGTTTCTTTAGAAAGTGTAAAGTGTAATAACATCCTATTTCTCCAAAACCTAGAAGGTTTCATATGAGATAAGTATATAGTATAAGAATTGACCTTTCAGAAATGGGGTCTTCATAGCCATATACATTTTGTTCTTTTCTCATATGACATTCTATAAAGAATAAGAAACTCTTTAAATGAGGACCTTTTTCAGTAGTCTGTAGAGAAATAAGGATATGTTTGTAACAAAACAATTTAAAAAAAAGTATAGTTTAAAATAGTAAGAACTGGACTGCACTGCTCCCACCCACCATAACCCTTGCAGCAGGTCCTAATACCGGCCTGCTGTGTTTCCCTGAGGGTTTTCAAAGTCCCGTGTAGCACCCTGCCAAAGCGTGCATGGGCCGCCTCACCTTAGGGAGTGTACGAACAATCTAGATGCCTGTCCATGCCGAATACCTGGAATGTTTCTTGCAAAGAACTACACAAACTGCAGAGAACTACACACAGATGGGCACAAGTGAAGCTTCACAAAGCAGACTTTGTGAAATTGGTGTGGCTCCAGTCGTACTGTCGGTGTTGAACTTACCTTGGTCAAGTACAACATTGCGCGTCTGAGAGAGAACTGAGTAAACCAAAGAGCTTTAATAGAATGCTGATGGATTGTTTAAAACAGGATGTCATGACGACGCTCATGAAGAGGTTTATATATAGGCATATATTTTTTCAAATATAATTAACATTTTTTAAATGACATTTGAAAACAGAGAATAAGCTAGCCAATATATATATATATATATATATATATATATATATATATATATATATATATATATATATATATATATGCTAATATAAATGTTCTACAATTGTAATAATAATAATACCTTTTACTTATAGGTGCCTTTCAAAAGACACCTTAAAGCAGATCACAAGCAAATCATAAAAATACAAGCAGTAAAATAACAATCAACATAATATTAAACCAGCAAGTCATTAAAAGCTATCCTAAACAAAAACGTTTTTATTTGAGATTTAAAATTGGAAATAGAGTCCACCTGGCGAATGTGCAAAGGCAGGGAATTCCATAACTGGTGCTGTACAGCTAAAAGCCCTGCCACCAAATCACATCATCTTGAAGTTTGAAACAGATAACAGAAAATGATCCCAGTGAGTGCAAAGGAGTGTAAATGAAGAAGATCAGAAAGATAATGAGGGGCCAAGATATGAAGAGCTTTGTATGTTAAGAGGAGGATTTTGTATTTGATATTTAATAGGGAGCCAGTGGAGGTGAATACGAATTGTAGTTATGTGATCAGAAGCTCACGAGTAGGTATCCTAGCCGCTGAATTCTGAATTAACTGTAGTCTATGAAATTGCTTATCAGGGATGTCAGACAGGAGAGAGTTACAGTAATCAATCTTTGATGTAACCAAAGCATGAACATTGTTTGTGTATTGAAAAACATCATTAAATACATTATAAAAATGTATAAAACTAAGCTTATAAACTTTTTAAATTACATTTGAAACACTTGTGAACACAGCAGGCCAAGAGCCTTTATGGGACAGGGCATCAATACAAATCTACCAAAATGACTGACATACTTAAAAATCTTGTGTAAAAGCCTTTGCCTAATAAATGCTTCAAAAATGTTTGTAATTTTATTTATTACCTTATGAGTTTATTATCTCTTACACATGTAAATATGAATATTGTTGACTCTGACAAATTGCTTTTGGTGCACTTATGTTGCATTAGATAAATGCAAAAATATTAATATAAATTTTTTATAATACTACAAAAAGGAGGTAAAACACAAATGGCCAGTGCCACTGGGAATGTTGTGATGGATGGACCCTGAGATAAGGGGGCCCCATCATCACTTTTGTGTCCCAGGCCAGGTTTCACTATAGCACACTTTAAATGACTCATAAATGAGTGCGTTCTGAGTCAGCAGTCAGAAACTGCAAAAAGATGTAGATTTGGGCGTGTACAAAAAGTGGAAGTAGTTGGTTTAGAGAAGCGGAAACAACTTTTACAGCGTATGAGTGGTTGTTAAGACAGTGGGCCGCACCGGGCGCGCGGGGGGCGGGGAGTGTTTGTTCCACCAGCCGCTGCCAAACAGAAATAGGCTGCTCTGCTGCCATATCCCGAATTAGACATGGCTGCGACTGGAGTTCTCCCCTTTATCCGGGGAGTAGACCTGAGTGGGAATGACTTTAAGGTAAGAGTTTTACCTTTAAAGGTGTGTAGATACAGGACGGTGTTCATAAATCATGTGCTTACTCGAGGGAAGTGATGTAGGTTAGTTAGCGTGTCGGAACTGGTTGAGATGATGAGCTAGCAGTGCTAACTGTGCTAGCTCTGGGCGTTAGCTCGCGACTTGTCAAAATTTGTTGCGGTCAATCAAGCTGTGACGGCCAGAGGAAATAACGAGAAGTTACTTAGTGGGTCAGCTGGGTTGGTTGACACCTTGTCATGGTTGTGGCCTCAATAAATGAACTGCGCTGCTAACAGACAAAACAGAAGCTCCCTACAGACTAGATAAGAGTCCAACATACTGTACGCATGACAAAGAGGTTTATTTTAAGCATTTGTAAGTCATTGTTGTTTTTTTACGTTGGTTAAACCAGTATTGCACGGTCTCTCAAGTGTGTCAGTTCACTTGAGTGAATTTGTGCTGATGCTTATATAAAGCCACTTCAGTCAGTCAGATCTGATCATCTTGAGATGATCCTGTGAGCAGAACAGAGTTTCTTGTGTTGAAGTGACATCACTCTACCAAGTTCAGCTTGTTTTACATAAAAAGTAGGATTTTATGGCATTTTGGTTGGCTAGAGATGTCAGAGTATTTTATTTTTCACAATTAAAGTGACACAAAAGGCATGGTTATCAATATTGTAATAGTTTTGTCGAAATGAGCTCAAATTGTAAGAAATGGTATACAGATAAACAGACATGAACAATTCCAGCGTTATGGATGTGAGATTTACGGAAACTCAAATTTACGAAATTTACGAAAACTCAAAACATAAATTCAGTAAGAATATAACATTATATTGAAACATCTGTTTTCCAAAACTACTAACCACAGAGTTATGGAATCAGAATATCAGTCTATAACCATTTTTATACGTTAAATGAGGAAAATAAGCATACGTTACGGATGTGGCCAAAAAAGTCTGAGAGTTTACAGTATACAACAGAATTTGTTGAAATTCTGTGAATTAAATTGCACAACCACCAAAAAACTATGCTAATCAAAAGGATAAGACTTGGCTCTCTATAGAACAAAAATGATTGATTTTATTTTATTTGACATTTTTGTATTTGTGAGGAAAAAGTCTTTGTTATGGATGTGACCGATGTGAAATTGCCACTTGTGTGACTTTGGTAAATCAAATATAATTGTTTAAAAACATTGACAGAGACATTATTGAATATTTTTACAGTCCTTTAAAATACAAGCCTACACAAAAAACTTAGAAAGGGTTTCGCTATTTTGCTAAAAAAAAATAAAATAAAATCCGGGCAAGGTTGACAATTGCAATTGCTCATATATTTAAAAGCATTTTAACCAAATGTTCTTTCCGTAACTGAACACAACAAATAAAATCTGCAGTTTTATAAGTATAAACTACAAGAGAGCTACGAGTTTTCATAGTGCAGGTTTTAATGAACTGCACCTTAAATGTATTGTCTTTAGTATGGGCATTTTTTTGGCAATTCAATTAAAATGCAATTCAATAGCCAAACTACAATTATGGTCAAAATTATTCATTTGATATTAATACAAAAAATGCTTAGAATATTAATTAACGATGGGTGGTGCAGTGGGTAGTGCTGTTGCCTCACAGCAAGAAGGTCGCTGGTTCAAGACTCGGATGGGTCAGTTGGCATTTCTGTGTAGAGTTTGTATGTTCTCACTGGTTTCCCCCACAAGTCCAAAAGACGTGCACTATAGGTGAATTGGGTTAGCTAAATTGTTCATAGTGTATATGTGCGTGTAAATGAGAGTGTATGGATGTTTTCAAGTACTGGGTTGCGGCCGGAAGGGCATCCGGTGCGTAAAACATGTTCTGGATAAGTTGGTGGTTCATTCTGCTGTGGCAACCCAAGATTAATAAAGGGACTAAGCCGAAAAGAAAATGAATGAATTGATTAATGATTACGTTTCATTAAGATGTTTAGTCAATGTCCTAACTTAGAGGGCCAGATCACCCAAAAATGAAAATTTACTCACCCTCAAGTGGTTCTAAACCTTTGTGAGTTTCCTATTTTCACAAAATAAGATATTTTAAACCATTGACTTTTATAGTAGAAATAATAAATACTAGAATGGAGCTTCAAATATGTATTCTATATATTATATATATATATATATATATATATATATATATATATATATATATATATATATATATATATATATATATATATTAATATTATGTTGTGTTTAACAAAAAAAAAATGAAACTAAGACAGGTCTGTGATAAGTGAAGGTTACATAAACAATGACAGGATTTTCAGTTTTGGTTGAACTATCACTATAATTTAGACATTTTTTTTATCTCTGTCTGTGCGTCTGTCTGTGCGTGTGTGTTTTAACTTTCAGATTTCAGAATTTCAAAGAGTTGTCTTTTCCCAATATTGTTGTATCCCTCCAAATCGTACATCAACAAAAAGCTTTTTTATTATTCGTTACTTATTACTTTATTCATAACTTATATGCATTACTAGTTGTTTCATCAGCTTTCAGATGATTTGTTAATCTGTTTCCAAAAGCCCCCACTAGATTTGTGGTCCAGGGTTACAAATAAAAACAAATCAAGCAAAGCGAAGTACATGTAATAACACAATTTTAATAATCCATTTTATTTCTTACATTGTACTCAAAAGCACACCATTGTAATACAACACTCATCTGTGCCACAGTGTTGTATCACAGTGAACATGCTCTCTTTCTTTACTGAAATCAAACGTATGGAATATTTTGAAAATAAAAGCCGAGGAATTCAATATTAAGATAACAAACTTCTCATTACAATTTCATGTCTGGATATTATTAATGATGTAGTACAAATCTGTGTTATAAATGCACATTTTCTTTAATTTTACCCTTTTTTTATGAAAGATTAGCTAATTTTAAGTGAGATAAAATCTAAACACCTATTTTGACAACATTACATGCTGCGTTTACATGAAACTGATGATGGCAGTGCAGCATTTACAGCTTGTTTTTAAAACTGCAATCAAATGCTATTGAAATGTTAATATTAATTATTAGAAGAACGTTTTCCATGGTAATCATTCCATGCCCAATAGTAGCAGTCAGTCAGATCCATCAATAACTGTCTCACTGCCTGGAGTAACTCATGTGTTGCGATTGTAATACTTGCATTCTTTGTTTCCAACAGGGGGGCAATTTTCCTGAACATGTCAAGTCTATGACCAGTTTGCGATGGCTGAAGCTGAACAGAACGGGCCTTTGCTATCTTCCAGAGGAACTAGCCTCCCTACAGAAACTGGTGAGTGTTTGTTACTCAGCTGAGTCACAATTTCATACTTTGCAACTAGGATTTGTCAATGATCTAATGTTCATTTTTGGTCTTTTTTTTGTGAAATCAGGAACATTTGTCTGTGAGTCACAACAGTCTCACAACGCTGCACGGAGAATTATCAAGTCTTCCCAATCTGAGGGTAAGTGTGATTACAAATTATTGTGAAATACATCACGTTCCTCTACTTGTACTCTATTATTTAGTGTATACAGTGGTCGGCATATGAAGTGGATCAAAACGTTTTATTAAAGTTGTCCAAAAGCTATTGAACAACATTATTCTTGGAAAAACTTTTTTAATCCACTTTAATTGTTGTCTACTGTTCCTTAATATTTATGCAACCAATACATGAATCTTTAAAGGGCCATGAAACCCCCCTCTTTCAGGTCAAGTCTACCTCAGAAATTTTTCAAAAAAATGCATCAACATGTGCATGGAGCTTTGAGGACAGAGGGGGAGTGGGCATGGCCGGCAGTGCAGGGGAAAAAGATTAAAGTGTCAGTTGGTTCACAAAATGAGAGACAAACGCGGAGGAGACGCATGGTTTTATAGTTTACAAAGTTAAATGTAAAAAAATAAACAGTAATTAGTTTAATGTCCTGCTACATTTGTTATTCGGAATTTCCTGTACATATAACCACAATTTGTTATATAATTATAAAGATTATTGTGTTTATATAAACACTATAAATTAGGAGGACTTCTCTCAATCCCCCGGTCGGAATGCAGACACAGTGGATAGCAGTGCAGCCAGTCTCTTGCCCGGTCTATTTCAACCATTAACCCTGCTGGTAATTTGGAGGATTTTAAAGATGTGCGAACGCAGCAGCATGGATATAGACAATGTGTCTTAATATCGAGCCATAGACTGTAACAAACTCAACTGATAAAAGTCTGCCATTCTCCAATTCTCGTACTGCTCTCCAGACAAATATGCTGTCTGCAAACCAACAGCTTTGCTGTATCAGACCTGACAGCATTGCGGGGGAAAACATGCAACAAACCCTGTGGATCATGGAAACAAACACATATGACCTGTGTCTCGCTTAGTCATTGGGTCTCCCAGCTTGGCAGGTCTGCTTTGCCTTTCAAAAGCACATGCTCTCATAAATAATTAAGAAGCAGGGTCTCCTCATAGGATAAGAAAACTCTGCTATGAATAATAATGAGAGAGTGACGTCTCATCACTTCACTTGTAGTTTTGTGTATGTCACTGATTTTGATCTCGCTCCAAAAATTATTTTCATTCCGATAGATGAAAATAGCTGACAAAAGCTCAAAATGATCCAGTTTTCCCTACAATTAAAGCTGACAGGTGCTAATGTTGTCTTAAATAATGCTCAACACGCACACATCTGTTAAAATCTCAAAAAAAAAACTCCTTGGTTTCTTGAACCTTTATAAATGTTTTGGCCTGTGATACTTTTGCAATAATTGAATCGTTTTAGTGAGAAAGAAGGCTTTAAGCTGATCAAAATGGATCGTTATAAAGAATTTGAGAATTGTATTTCAAAATAAATGCTGTTGTTCTTAATTTTCTAAATGAATCCTGACAATACATGCATACATGTAGCATCAAAAATATACTTAACTAATTTCAAAATTATAAAGAAAATAGTTATATTTGGTTATAAAATATTACCATTTTACTCTATATAGTGTATATTTTATTTTAATAAAAATGCAAATCATATGGGCATTCATTAACTTAAAATTATCTAATGCCAGTCTGTGTATGTCTGAATCAAATACATTTTCCTAAGCTTTATTTGAAAAACAATATTTGTATACTAAAATGATTTGAAATAAATATGCGGATTTCCAGCGTTATGGATGTAACATTTGCAGTAAAAGCTCAAGATGTTAATTCACAGAGAAAGTATATAACAATATCTTGAAACATCTGTTTATATTTTCCAAAACCAGTAGGCACAGAGTTATGGGATCAGGGAAATATCAATCTGTGAAATTTTTTTTTATATATTAAATGAGGGAAATAAACATGCGTCATGAATGTAACCAAAAAAGTCTGTGAGTTTACAGTATACAAGATTTTTTTTTTTTTAATTCTGTGAATTAAACTGCACAACCCAAATGAAATAAGACTAATCAAAAGGAAAAGAGTTGGCTTTTTATAGAACAAAAATTCTATTTGATTTAGGATTTTTGCATTTATGAGGGAAAAACTTTGTTATTGAAGTTATAGCCCTCAATTATGGATGTAACGGATGTGAGATTGCCACTTGTGTGACTTTCGTAAATCAAATACAATTGTTTAAAAACAATGACAGAGACATTTGATAGTACTGTTAAATACAAGCCTACACAAAAAACTTGTAAAATAATAAATAGAAAATAATTAAATGAAAATAAAATGCAAAATATGTGTCATTATTTAGTGTATTCATGCAATGATGGAAAGAAGTGCTTTTTCTTGTCTGTACTCATTAAAACACGCTAAAGAACGAGCTATTTTACTGAATTATTCTATTTTAAATAATTAAAAACTTAATTGCTGAAAAATCTAAAAAAATGTATTTTTTTACTTAAGAAAAATAATATGCAGAAAAAGATTAAAGCTATATTACATTTGCATCGGGTTATGCTTGAAAACCCATTTCCTCATTTGACCTGTACCTAAAATAGCATTTTTTTATGATTTACATAGCATTATCCTAATTTTTCTGTAAATATTTCTGGTGGTGTAGACCCATAAATAATCAGCTCTTGTTGTTTTCTTGTAGGCGGTTGTGGCCAGAGCAAACAACCTGAAGAACTCTGGTGTTCCTGATGATATTTTTCAGCTGGATGATCTTTCTGTGCTGGTATGTTGAGAATTGCCTCATGTTTATTTCTCACTTAGGAGAAAGATGAAGTTCCTCAGTTAAGTGCAAAACTGCAGGCATGACTTAACTTCGTGTAAGCAAGCCTGTGGTTGATCATTGAACAAAGTGTATATTTGTCTTAGATTATGTGCTGTAATGATGGTAAAAGAGATGAGTGTTTAGTTTATAGTTATCGTTTGCTGTTCTATTTAGGATCTGAGCCACAACCAACTAACCGAAATCCCCCGGGACTTGGAGAACTCCAGAAACATGTTGGTTTTAAACCTCAGTCACAATAGGTATGTTTTGTGTCTATTTTGTTCCCAAGAGAGGAACAAGGATCAATCATGAAAACACACTTTTTAAATATATATTTTACATTGTAGTGCTATTGTCCTATTTTAAAAGGTGATCTCAGAGGATGATTTTAGTGTAGTAATAATCCAGTAATAGCTAGGCTAAGTGGTTCTGATGGGATGGAAAAAAACTCCTGAGTTCTTTAGACACGTTTTTAAAAGTTGAACTATTTTTGAACTTGACTCACCATCTTAGAAATGCTTTGTAAATGGCAAAAGATGTTGAAAGCTCTAAGGCCTAGTATGGCAGTATGGTTCTCAAACTTTAGGTGCATTTAGTTGCATTAAATATATGATGCTTTTTAACCTTTCTATTCTTTATGAACTTTTTAGATTTTCTAGTGATTTTCTTTTTTATCAAAGTATCCAGGAAGAGTCATGGTTTTCCCCAATATGCTGTTGAAATGTTATTTTCACAATATCCTAAAATAAGAAATGCTGACAATAATATGTAAAGCAATGATAATAAAAACAGTAGTAATAAAATTATTATTATTATTATTATTATTATTATTATTATAAATAGTACCTAAATAAATAAAGTATGGTACTTTGAGTACCATATCAGTGATAAAAATTCTCATTGGGTTAACTTTTTTTAAAAAATTCTTTTAAAGGCCTAGAAATTAGGCTACTTTATAGAATATTTAGGTTTTTCAATACCCGTTTTTTTTCATTGACAAAAAAAAAGAGAGTAGTTATTGAGGAGTTATAAAAAGAGTACATTTTGCTGATATAATTCTGTAATAGATTTGCTGAGACCCCTATTGAGTTTCGGCCCACTGGTTGAGGGCTCGTTTTTAAAATGTTTAGGTTTTGTTATAGTTACAGTTGGCGTCCACACTACTCCGGCATCTTCAACCCATGCAAACATAGCATTTTATAAAATCCAGAAGATCCCATTTTAGTTTGGAAATGCTGATGTTCTATTTCATTACAGATTAAATGAAATGCAATCTTTTGAAATCTATCGTAGTCGCTCTCTGACTGGTCTTTCGGACTATTCTGTGTCGTTCCCTGATTCATTCCTGATCACCTCTCTTATATGACCATTTCACAACTGGTAGACTCCTAGTATGGATGCTGGTTATTTATTGTGTATTTTTGGTTGTGTAGTGTGAAACAGGGACTTTCCCCCCCCCCCAGAAACTCAGTAAAACACCACACTGGATGAGGAGCATTTTCATTCTAAAATGCTGTTTAGAATGAAAAATGCACTAGTAAATGCAGCCTATATACACAGTGCCTATAGAAAATCATTACTGTGAAAATGTATATCTTTACCCACATTGCACCCTGCTTTTAAAAGACCTTCAGGATAAAGTTGTAGAAAGGCACAGTTTAGTAGAACGCTACAAAAACATTTCAAAAGCTGTAAAAGTTATTTAGAATGTGATTTGATTTCAGGCTGTATGACAAAAATATTTAATTATTTCAAAGGGTTTGATGATGTTCTAGTGGCACTGTATGTCTGCTTGCATCTAAAAAAACAAAGCAAAAGCAATCCCATCCTGTGTACTTAAGCGATGACATTTTCTTGATGCACTGTAATCTGATACAGTTCATTGACATTTGCTCTTTCCCACAGCATTGATAACATACCAAATCAGCTGTTCATTAACCTCACTGATCTGCTGTACCTGGACCTAAGTGACAATAATTTGGACAGTCTGCCGCCTCAGATGAGACGATTGGTCCATTTGCAAACCCTCATACTCAACAATAATCCGTTGATGCACGCACAGCTGAGGTAAAATAGATAGTTTTATGATTCCACTTATTTTCATCGATGCAGCTAGCAGGCTACATTCAGGTGAGATGACATCACTGCGTTATCATCATCACCTCAGTTAAACTCTAATCTGGGTCAATTGTGTGCATTTGTTCATCACAGGCAGTTACCCGTTATGGTGTCTCTTCAGACCCTCCATTTAAGGAACACACAGCGTACTCAAAATAATATGCCCACCAGTCTGGAGGGCCTCTCTAACCTAACAGGTAAGATCTAAACCCGTTACTGCTCTAAAATCTATTTCTGTTTTTTCGGTGTGTAATGTTTTTTATAATATGTGTTTTGTGTAGATGTGGACCTGTCCTGTAATGATCTGACGCGGGTTCCAGAATGCTTGTATTCTCTAGTTAATCTCAAACGGCTGAATCTGAGCAGCAATCAGATATCTGAGCTCTCACTGTGCATAGATCAGTGGACCAAACTCGAAACGCTCAACCTTTCTAGAAATCAGCTCACATCTCTGCCTGTAAGTCCATCATTGACATATAAATTCACACAGGGGAACTTTAACTAAAAGTGTTTGCCCTTAAAAGAACAAACGCCACTTTTAAAAAAAAAATATATATTGATTTTACAACTGCTCTATGGTTAAATTAGGCTCTAGGGTTAGGGTCTACAGGTCTGTTGGAGGTACTTTTAGCTTGTCATAAATCATTGAATCTGATTAGATAATTAGCATCTCTCTCAAAAGCTAAAAAAGATAAATTTGGTATTTTAAACCAAATTAAACCAAATGGTATTTTTTTGTTTCTTCTTTATTTTAATTGTGTTCCGAGACTGACAGAAAATGAAAAGTTGCTTTTTCCAGGCTGATATGGCTATACTCTCATTCTGGCGTAATAATCAATTAATTTTGTTGCAATACCGTGGCTGTAGAAGGAACAATGATATAATGCAGTGCTTGAAAATAGTCCCCACCTAGATAACTAGGTAGCAGTGCTGCGTGATATCATTGTGCCTGCTGCAGCCATGATGCTGTAGCAAAATCCCTTGATTATTACGCCAGAATAAGAGTGTAGTTTGTAGCCATATTGAAAAATAAAATATAGCATTCTTAAAAAAGAAAAAAAAAAAGAAAATAGCAACTTTTCATTTTATGTCAGTCTTAGTACTTAATTTAACTACAGAAGAGTGAAGCTTTAAATAGGAAAACTATCAAAGTTCTTTTTGTTGTTGTTGTTGTTGTTTTATTTGATTTGAGATGCTAATGGTCTAATCCAGGGATGTCAAACTCAATTCCTAGAGGGCCGCAGTTCTGCACAGTTTAGTTCCAACCCTAATTAAACACACCTGATCAGACTAATTATGTCCTTTAGGCTTGACTGAAACCTACAGGTAAGTGTGTTGGAGTAGGGTTGGAACTAAACTGTGCAGGGCTGCGGCCCTCCAGGAGTTTGACACCCCTGGTCTAATCTATTTTAATGATTTATGCCAAGCGTGTCAATCCATTTCAATGGTTTATGCTAAAGTGTTACCGCCAGCCCTGTAGATTAGCTGAATGTTTTCAAAAACTGTAAAAGTCAACTGTTTAACTCTAGGGGAGATGTAAATTATATACTGCCTCTTCTTTTTCCATTTTTAATGCAGTCTGCCATTTGCAAGCTGTCCAAGCTGAAGAAGCTTTACGTGAACTCCAACAAAATCGATTTTGATGGCCTTCCATCTGGTGTTGGGAAATTATCTAACCTTGTTGAGTTCATGGCTGCGAATAATAATTTGGAGCTTGTTCCAGAAGGGCTATGCAGGTGAGAACTGGCATAGTTCATTTTAAACGCCTATTCATATTGTATTGAAAATGGTAATATGTGTTGTTTTGATTTGCTCAGGTGTGGAAAATTAAAGAAGCTGGTTTTGAACAAGAACCGGCTTGTGACATTACCAGAAGCTATCCATTTCCTCACTGAGCTGGAGGTAAAACTTAATTGTTGTTGTAAGAATTTTCCAAACCTTTGAGTTTCTTTTTTCTGTTGAACAGAAAAGAAGATAATTTGAAGAATGCTAAAAACCTGTAAGCATTGACTTACTTTTTTTCTATGGAAGTCAGTGATTACAGGTTTTTAGCTTTCTTCAAAATATCTTTTTTTTGTGTTGAGCAGAAAAAAGTAACTCATAAAGGTTTAGAACCATTTGAGGGTGTGAAAATAACAAGTACATTTTTATTTTGGGGTGAACTATTCCTTTATTCATAATTTAATTGAAGATTGGAATATTTGCTGCTAAAAAGTAAGCTTCACTAGCACAGTAATATATTAGTCTTGAAATATGTCGAATGAGAAAATGGCTATTTTAAATGTTAAAACTGCAGTTTTCCATTTGTAAGGCATTTATCCGTTTAAAAATTTTTTGGGTGTATGTTCAAGACTTGTGGAAAAAATGTATTGCAATGATTTGCATTTTTAAAAATTTTTAAAAGGCCAATGCCCAAATATATATTGTGATTCAGTGTACAGTCTTTAAAAATATTTTTCCATCTTATAGAATGCATGCAATGTACATATTCATTAGAGAAAGATTCATGCTGTGTCAGCATCTGTGCTCTTCATCGTGGATGTGACGTTGTATTTGTGATACTGATGATTAGGTTTTGGACGTCCGTGAGAATCCAAATCTAGTCATGCCCCCTAAACCAGTGGACAGGACAGCTGAGTGGTACAACATAGACTTTTCATTGCAGAACCAGCTACGATTGGCTGGTGCATCTCCAGCCACTGTAGCAGCAGCTGGTGGAGGTAAAGAGTGCAGCATTTTATTTGATCTTTCTTCTGAGTTATGTTATTGGATCATGAGTTATCACCGCCTAATGATTGCTAGCTCATGTTGCTGGGTTTGCAGTAACAAAACGAAAAATATGTACACTTTTGTGTGTCTTTGTATACAGGAAATAGCCCACGAGACCATATGGCCAGGAAAATGAGGCTGAGGAGATGCAAGGACTCTGCCCATGATGATCAAGCTAAACAGGTGCTAAAGGGAATGTCAGATGTGGCTCAGGAGAAGAACAAATCCATTGAGGTGAGGAAATAGACCGAAACGAACAGTACCTTTTAGTTTATCTACAAATGATAATGGTGTTCATGTGGGTTCACTTTAGGAGAACGGAGACTTGAAATACTCTGATCTGAAAACCAAGCGCTGGGATAAGAACCTGGAGAAGCCTCAGCTGGATTACTCTGAGTTCTTCTTGGAGGATGTGGGCCAGATTCCCGGCGTTTCGGTTTGGCAGATTGAAAACTTTATACCCATCCAGGTAGACGAGGCCTTCCATGGGAAGTTCTATGAGGCAGACTGTTACATCATTCTCAAGGTCAGTCCTGTGCAATTCTAAATAGGCTTTTCCTAATAGCTGTTTTGTTTCTAAGAACACGGCTGTTTTCAAAATTGCACTTTTTTTAATATGTGTTTTCGCTGTTTGTCCAAATGTCCATTTTTTTTCTAAAGCCTGGATATAATGTGGTTATGTGGACACTACAATCAGTAGTTTTCGCCTCATGAGCATGCATGTTGTTGTTTTCTGCTTTCAAATTGGCCAACAAGGCTGGGTTCACACCAGATGCGAATGAGGCAGCAAATGTATCGCATTGTTCAACCATGGGACTGTAATCCTTCTCTGTTCAGATGTTTGCATTGACTTTGAACTTTTGCACATTTGACTTGAATTTGATTGCGTAATACTTAATTCCCAGTTTGGTGTGAACTTTTTTTTTGGTTTGTTTTCATGTGGACTGAGATTTGTGTTTTAAAACAAATGGGGGAAAACTGTTTATAAAAATACTTGTGTACACATGCACGTGGCCTAAGAGCCGGTTACAAAGGTGGTTTAAAATTTTTAAAGTGTCTTTCTTCTGAACACAAAACAACATCTTTTGAAGAATGCTAGAGTAAAGCAGCTATTGATATTTATAGCAGGAACACAAAGAATAGTCAATTGCATTTACTTCCAACAATCTTCATTATTTCTTCCTTTGTGTTTAACTGAAGAAAGAAACTAAAATAGGGGTGGAGGTAATTCATGAGAGAATTCTTTTTTTTTTGCGTGAACTTTCTCTTTCTTTAAGAAAGATTGTCTGGACTCCCATGTAGTTTTATTACAAATCATTATAACGCCCACCTGCAATCTTCATTGGCTGCCTACAAAAACAACAAGCCTTGGTTGCCTTTAAAACACTGTAGTTAATCCGTTTTGTATTCACTTCCAAAAGACTTGAAGCCAAACTTAAACAGTAAAAGAAACTCTTCATCATTACTTATCTCACTTTTTTTTAAATTTTATTTTTTTATCTCAGATGTGGTAATGGGTGTTTGGCTTTCAACACATCCTGTTAACTGATATTCTGATCCTGATATCAGTCGTAACAATAGGATCAGAAAAAGAAGAGTTTAGAAACACAAGATCTTTTCAGACAGAGAAAATAGTGATTTTTGCAGTGTAAATTGAGATAAGTGTTTTGTTATTTTGTTTTTTGTCTTTGGTTAATACTAAATCAGTAAACTTTACAATAATACATGCGAGTGTCACTTTAAATGAGCCATAGTTTAAACAATGTTTCCTAAATTTTGTAAGATTTTCTCCCAGTCTGCATCTTTAATGAATAATAATTATCTACCAATTAATCTACTGTAATGCACTTTGGCAGACATTCTTGGATGAAAACGGAGCTCTAAACTGGCAAATCTTTTATTGGATCGGGCAAGATGCTACTCTTGATAAGAAAGCCGGCGCTGCTATCCATGCTGTCAATCTCCGTAACTATTTGGGGGCAGAGTGCAGGACTATCAGAGAAGAAATGGGAGATGAGAGTGAAGAATTCACTGCGGTCAGTAAAACAACCATTTTCCTGCACTAAACATGCAGTTTTTTTTTTGCAATCTCAGCACATACTTAGCTATATTTGTCCTGCATTTCAGGTGTTTGATCATGAAATCTCCTACATTGAGGGTGGAACAGCCAGTGGATTTTACACGGTAGAGGACACACAATATCCAACCAGGTGCAACACCAAAAACAACACCCAGGACGGACTTTATGCTTCATCCCTGTTCTGACTCGCACTAATCCTGTTTGTTGTGTATTTTGGGCAGGTTGTACAGGGTTTATGGGAAAAAGAACATCAGATTAGAGTCCGTGCCTCTAAAAGCATCCTCACTCGACCCACGGTGAGTTTAGTCTGCTGTTTGATCTATTTTATAAAAATATTCTGATGTAGATGAATCATACTTATGATCACCCTCTCTCTTTCCTTTTTAAGATTTGTCTTTTTGTTGGATACTGGTCTTGAAATCTATGTTTGGAGAGGAGGCAATGCAACACTCGGTGGTACTACAAAAGCAAGGTAATGTGCAATATAATGAGAATTATTTTGATTCATCTGTTTGTTCAGATTTATAACAGCGCCTTTGCTATTTACAGGTTATTTGCTGAGAAAATCAACAAAAATGAGCGAAAAAGCAAAGCAGAGATAACAACTTTGATGCAAAATCAGGAACCTCCTGAATTCTGGGAAGTTCTCGGAGGACAGCCGGAGGAAATCAAGAAGCATGTGCCTGATGACTTCACTCCTATCAGACCCAAGCTCTATAAGGTGAGGGAATGATCTGTTTGGTGATGTATTTCAGAAAGATCAGTCTGTGTAAAATAGTTTGTGCTTTTTGTCTGTTAGGTTGGCTTGGGCTTGGGATACCTTGAACTTCCTCAGATCAACTACAAACTGTCTGTGGAGCACAAGGACAAGCTCAAACTAGATGTTGTTCCAGAGCTCAGACTGGTAATTATTAGTTTTATACATACCTGACATTAACATCAACGTTTAACATCAATTTTAGCCACTATAGATAAATTAACATTGAAAATGTACACTACGATTCAACAGTCGAGTCAGCAAGATTTTTGTTATATTTAGTGATGTTCCGAAATGAGAATTCTAGGTTAAATCTGAAGTTCAGGATACATTTGGCCATAAACAAAACCTTAGAGTGACTTTTTAAAATACAAAAGTCAGTGTTTTTATATCATTTGTAAAACTCAAAATACATTTTAACTTATTTACTGTCAAGTATTTCTGTTGATTGTTTTAATAAAAAAAATAGTTTAATTTAAAATCAAAATGCATTTTATCAAATTTAATAGTCAAGTATAATACTAATAATAATAAAGGTTTACTTAATTCTTTGTACACATTTTAAGTTGTAATAATGGTATTTTTTATGATTTAAAATCTTAGTCTACTATTATCTTAGTAAAATAATTATTTATTGTTTAGTTCAGGGTTCATACGATCCTGGAAAACCTGGTAAAGTCATGGAATTTTGGCAAGGCATTTTCCAGGCCTAGAAAATTTTGGAAAAATAAATAAACACAAAGTTTTGGAAAAGTCATGGAAACGTGTTTAACAAATTTGTGTGTGCTTCAATATATTTGAGAGGATAGTATTGGATACGCTTCAAATACAATTGCGATGTGTATCCCTGGCCTTCACATGATATTTAATTTATGCACTCCTTAGGAATCCCCTCGAAAATGAGATAGTTCATCTCAAGGGGTTATCCCATTCAATAAATTCAATTCAATTCTCTGTGTGGGGCAAAAAGCAACTGTTTCAGCTTCACCTTTCTTTTACTTTCATTCATTGTAATTCAAGATACATTTTGAGTGTCATGTTCAGAAACAATCTACAGAGGTAAGATAATGTGGGTGCTAAAGGCTAATTTCTAAAAGTCTTATGAAGACAAGCCAACATTTCTAAAAATATACCCACGAGACATTTTCTAAAAACTATTTGACAGGTATAAAATAAACATAAACTACATAGATTGTCACATATTTTTATATATGCTGTAAAAAAATTGAACATGCATTTTTTTCATATTTACCACGTGTACATAGACATTTCATGAAACATTAGGTCATGAATATTAACCTTAAAATTTTGGAAAAGTCATTAAAAAAATCCTGGAATTTTAGTAATAAAAATGCGTATGAACCCTGTTGGCAAATATAGTTTACATTGCAAAAATGTTTACAAATAGTCTTTTTGAAATAAATTCTAATCTTTCTATCGTTTTATTAATGAAAGAATCTGATAACAAAAAAAATGGTTGCACAACTTGAGAATTGTTTGATCAAAACATCTTATTAGAAAAATTTCTGAAGAATCATGTGCTACTAAAGTCTGTAGTAATGAAGAAAATTGAGCTTTAACTCACAGGAATAGATTGTATTGTAAATATTTTGTAATAATATTCAGGTTTTCAAATGCAGCCTTAGTGAGTATTTTAGACTTCATTTCATTAAAAAATCTATGATGTTATATAAATTTATTATTATTATTTTATTTATTTATTTATTTATTTTTTACCTAAATTTACTACCCAAACTTTTGTATTTACATCCAACTCTTGGAATATGGCTTTGTTTTAGGTACAAGGTCTATTGGACACTAAAGGTGTCTACATATTGGATTGTTGGTCTGATGTGTTCATTTGGATTGGCCGTAAGTCTCCACGTCTCGTCCGGGCAGCTGCATTGAAGCTGGGTCAGGAGGTTTGCGGAATGCTCCATCGGCCAAAACACGCTGTGGTCATCCGTAATCTGGAGGGCACCGAATGCCAGGTAAAATTGACAAAATAAGAGATAAAAAAACAAACCTGTTTATACAGAGATAGATGATCACATCTCTTATTTCATGTTACACTCGACAGGTCTTCAAATCCAAGTTCAAGAATTGGGATGATGTGCTGAAGGTGGATTATACCAGGAATGCAGAGAGTGTAAAGCAGGAGGCGGGTTTGTCTGGTAAAGTGAAGAAAGATGTAGAGCAGAAGGACCAGATGAAAGCTGACCTGACGGCTCTGTTCCTGCCTAGACAACCAGCCATGCCCCTTACAGAGGTGAGACTTCAGATATCTTTGACTTTTTCATCCTGTTGAAGTGGTCATGAACTGTTGAGTTTGTGCTGGATTCCTTCATTTAATACCCTCATTAAATAAAGGACCAGGATCCTCTCTTTACTACTAGATTCACATCTTACCACAAGGTATGATGGATTCTGCAAGTGAATCAAATGTCCACTCCAGGAAGCAGATTAATAAAATAAATACTCTTTTATTAACAAAACGAATCGGTGAAAAAGATGAATAATACAAGAACAAAACGTTTTACTTTATTCTCTGTTGAGAAAGCCTCACAATATACAGAAGTCTGATTAAGCGTGCTGCTGGTCTGCATGTTCCAGCCTTTTATACAGTTTCCATGCTCATGAACACAGGTGTTTGCAATCATAGGATATGTTTCATGAAGCACAGTTAAGCATAGCAAAGCATTTGTTTATCAGCACTTGGGCAGGCAACCCAATGTCTCCACATCCAGGGTCATGGCTCCCAATCAGTGAAGAACTCCTTACTCTCCTGATAAGTCTCCCAAACATCCTTCCGTCTGCGATTGCAGTAGTTTGTTAGGAGCTTTGATTGAGCCATGTTCTTTTTTTATTACAAGCATTTAACTGACCAGCCTCAGTAAATCACCCTGACTCAGTCGGAAACATCTCTGTCGTCTCTTATGCTTCTTCTCATCTCTAATAGCTGCTTTAGCAAGCACAGGGCTATCAGAATATGTAAGTGATGTTTTGTGTCTTACAATTAATGTCATTAAACCACCAGGAATTTTACTTGCTCTTAACTGGTGAGGTTTAGAAGGGCGGTCTAGTCGCAAAGTCCGTAATATAAATACATAAACCTATTCGGTCCCACTTTATATTGTGGCCTTAACTAATATGTACTTACACAGGAGTTAATAGTTTGTTACAATGTACTTATTGTGTAAATACATGTATTTACTGTATACTTATGCTTGATTAAATACCTGTATGTAATTACATCTGTAATTAACTTTTGTAATTACATTTGTAAATACACTGTTGACCATCCCTTACACCTTAACCCACCCTTAAACCTACCCATACCACCAAACCTGTCCATAACCCAACCTCTATCCCAACTCAAAAGCAGCACAAGTGTTCTCAAATACATTATAAACACAGTAAGAACATTGTATTAATTTTTTTCATTTAAGAACATAGTTAAAGACACTTAACATAAAGTGGGACCACCTATTCAGACAGATCTCCACCCGAGAGCAAATGCATGACGGTCCTCTTGGTGTGACATGCTTGTTAGGCAACGCAGCTTCATTCCACTCCCCAATCAGCAGTACAAAACCAGCCACAGGTCACACCACCATAAACAAACCTGAGAGCGCAGGCTGCGAGTTTACAGTTTAGTCAAAGACTATTATCAACCTTGAACATGCAGAGGATAATAAGAATACTTTTTATTTGTTTAGCACTTTAGTACCACTCAAAGTGCTTCACAAGCGTAAGCAAATATAATAAACAACATCAATGTTGGGAAACTCAAATATAGAAACAGAGATACGCAAATATATGAAGCAAAATAAACACAAAACAAGTATAAGCAAATACTAAGAGCAAAAATAGGCCACAAATATAAGCAGATAAATGCATACATTTATACATGTATACATTACATAAATAATGATAATAAAATTTGTATGCAGTTTTTGGACTAATAAGAAAATACTGATGTAGTTCTGTAAAATTAATAGCATGTTTTTTCTGTGGGTTGGTTGTAACTCTTGACAGGCGGAGCAGATGATGGAGGAGTGGAACGAGGATTTGGATGGCATGGAGGGATTCGTTCTGGAGGGGAAGAAGTTTGCCCGTTTACCAGAAGAAGAATTTGGTCACTTTCATACTCAGGACTGCTATGTCTTTCTCTGCAGGTTTGTCAGATCCCTGCACTAATATTAACTGCACAATTTGTGGCCACATTTAGAAATCTGTATTGGAAATCATGTCTCTACTAGTTTTGCTGGGTTCACACGTTGTCCTTTACCTTACAATTCATTACAATGCAGTGAAAATGAATGGGAAGCAATGAAACGATGGGATTTTTGTGTCTGTCCCAGGTACTGGGTGCCAGTGGAGTACGAGGATGATAAGGAGAAAGGCAAAGAGAAAGGAGAAGAGGGAGACGATGAGGAGAAACAGCCTGAAGAAGACTTCCAGTGTGTGGTTTACTTCTGGCAAGGCCGTGAAGCCTCCAACATGGGCTGGCTGACCTTCACCTTCAGCCTGCAGAAGAAGTTTGAGAGCTTGTTTCCAGGAAAACTAGAGGTACTGCATGCTTGTTTGGTTAAAGCTTGAAGTAAAGTCAGACGTGAGCATTTAGGAGACCTCATATCTCTTGTCTTTGTCAGGTTGTGAGGATGACGCAACAGCAGGAGAATCTCAAGTTCTTGTCACACTTCAAGAGGAAGTTTATCATCCACAAAGGCAAGAGGAAGCTGAAAGTGGACAGTGTGCAGCCAAGCTTATATCACATCAGGACAAATGGAAGCGCACTATGCACCAGGTAACTATATAACTTATGGCCAGATGGAATCTGTGGAAATTTTTTGCTATTTCTGCTGATAATTTTGTGAAAAAATACGCAGGTTTATGCAGAATGATTTTGGGAGCATCATAGCTAAAAACTTAATATATGAAATTAAAAATAATACCTTTTTAATTTTAAATTAATGTTTAAAATGCAAATCCAATTCGATCCACTTATTTGGCAAGTCTCATATAAGATATCTAATAAAAGACAGATAATATAACTTTACAAACTGTATTGTAAACAAATCATATGAAGATTTTCACATTAGTCAATAATATTACTGAAATTAATCAAAAAAAAAAAAAATATATATATATATATATATATATATATATATATATATATATATATATATAAATGTAAATACATAAACTTAATGATAGGATAAAAATCATGTGTTGGACTATTTATGACCAGGTAGTATCTTTTTAACTGCTACAGATGAGGGCAAACTTATTAGCCCTCCTGTGAAATTCATTCTTTAAATTATTTCCCAAGTAATGTTTAACAGATCAAGGGAGTATTTTCTATGTATTTTTTTCCTCCAGAGAAAGTTTAGTTTTAGTTTAGCTGGATTTTATTGTATTTTATTTTATTTTATTCTATTTATTTTTTATTGTATTTTTATTGTATTTATTATTTATTTTATTTCATTTATTTTCCACTTTATTTTATTTTCTATTTTATTTTTTTATTTTATTTATTTTTTGTTCTATTTCTTTTTCATTTTTTTATTCTATTTTTTATTTTATTTTATTGTATTGTATTTTTTCATTCTTTTATATTTTTATTCAATTTATTCTATTTTATTTAATTTTTTATTATTATATTTTTATTTTCTCTTTCGGTTATTTTTTTACTTTCCTCAATTGGCTACAAAACAAACCACTGTTGTCCAATGACTTATTAGCCTAGTTAAACTAATTAACCTAGTTACGCTTTTAAATTTAAGCAGTTTAAGCCAAATCCTAATATCTTCAAAATAACTAGTCAAAAATGATGTACTGTCATTACGGCAAATACCCAAAAATGTTACTATAACGTTTTGAAAAAAAAAATCATCCCTATTAACAGCACTTGAGGAATATTTGAAAGAGAATTAAAATTTCATAGGAGGGCTACTAATTTCTAACTAACTCTATATCTATACATTATGTTCATGTGTTGTTGTTTTTCTTTTTTTTTTTTAAAGGACTATTCAAATAGCCACAGACTCCAGTAACCTAAACTCTGAATTCTGCTTCATATTGAAGGTAAGCTGGCATTTTTTGTACATTATTACAAATTTCTCATGTATTGTAACTCCTCATGATATACGTGCATATCCATATGCGTAAACTTCATGAATCTAATGTTGCCTTTTGTGTAGGTGCCATTTGAAAGCACAGACAATCAGGGAATAGTGTACACATGGGTGGGACGAGCAGCAGACCCAGATGAAGCTAAACTGGCAGAGGAGATCATGAACACCATGTTTGATGACACTTACAGCAAACAGGTACACACCAGCTGTAGAAATCAGTAGCTTCCTCTTTTAAATGCATCTTGGTTTTAACAGTTTTAAGTGTTTTTCCTATTTTCTTCAGGTTATAAATGAAGGAGAAGAGCCAGAAAATTTCTTCTGGGTTGGCATTGGCTCACAGAAAACGTATGATGAGGATGCCGAGTACATGAAATATGCTAGACTGTTTAGGTAAGGAAATGAATTTAAAACACTGCACACTTTTTTTCTTTTTATGAACGCACACTAAAATTATATTCTGTGGAAGAGTGGTTTATATACTAGAAAATCTTGTTGGGTTGATTGACCCTTCGCTAGGCCACACCCGAAAACCGCCCCACACCAATTGTGGCTTAGCAACCGTAGCTAGATGCGGAGGTCTGTCAAGCTAAAAGAGCAGAGTTGAAATGGTTTTGCTTTCGATATTCCTGACACACTCAGTGATAGAAACCAATAACTCACACTCCTCCTACCGTAAAAAGATCTAAACTGTGTTTCCTACAAAATTACAAAACAGGTGATGTTTCACAAGTGTCTTTTTCTTTTTTCGCTCCATATTATAAGCACTGCTCTGTTTAAGCCCTCGCGATAGCTGTAAGAGCAAGCACAATCTAGTCATATTTCCATTTGTTTCAAGCTACGAATATTTGAAATCGCATATAAACAGAACAAAACCGAGATGTGATCACAAACTGAGCACTTGCGATCAATATACTTCATCCGCAGCTGTTTTTCAGTCATTTATAATCCCATGTCCATTGTCAGAGCTACATGTCACCGTTGTTTTCGTCTGTGTTTTAGAGATTTAGGCTGCGTCCGAAACCGCATACTTCCATACTATATAGTACGCTAAAATCAGTATGCGAGCTGAGTAGTATGTCCTAATTCATAGAATTCGAAAATCAGTATGCGAGCCGAGTAGTATGTCCGAATTCATAGAATTCGAAAATCAGTATGCGAGAAGTACCCGGATGACTTGCTACTTCCGGCGAGATTCTAGAGTGCGCATCCCATGCACGCTGCGCTCTTCCATGATGCTCTGCAAGCGAATTCATGAATCGGAGTAAAGCGACGCAATTGACGTAGGTAGGTCACGTGATCATGACAAAATGGCGGATGTAGTACGTCGATAGTATGTAATACTTTTCACGTTCATACTGTATAGAACGTACTTTTCTGACGGCCGAGTAGTGCGTTTTAATTCAAATGCAGTACCTATCGAGTAGTAGGCGGTTTCGGACGCAGCCGTTGTCATTTGTGACGACGGTATAGCAGGTTAGAGCCTGCTTTCATATTTGATGTCGGATTAATATTAATATAATCCCCTTTCTGGCCTTTTCTTTCTGTGAATGAATGATTTAGAAGCACTGTCCATGCATGTTACCTCGTCGGTTAGTAACGCTGTATTTCATTGCCCAACAATTAATACATTTTTAAAATTTTTATTATAAGATTATTTTTACATTTCCCCTATCCTGCTGTGCATGAACTAAGCTGTTGAATGCTCAGTGAATGAGGCGGCTAGAAATTATGTTTTGATTCAATTATTTTCTAATCGGTTGCGTATTATGTCGTGAATGTACCCCTGTAATGCATAATACAGTCCTTTTTGTCTGGCTTTCTCGGATATCCCACCAGTTCGCCAAAAATGACTAATTGTATCCCTGGGAATGTCTGACACTGGCACAGACATTGTTATAGACATGCCAGGCACGAAAGCTTGACAGACACAATGACAGTAACTAAGGGTAACTTAGCGAAGGGTCACACAGTGCAGCCCAGAAATACAAATTAATTTAATTTTCATTTAAAACAAAATATACATTTTATAAACATTTTATACCTGTTTGGAAAAGTAAAGAGACAGAATTAATATTTTTACATTACTATTTCTGTTAGGCTACATGAGGACAATATATCCCTGAAATTGAAATTTACTGAAACTGAAACTGAAATTTAACACGCTTTCTATATATAGAATCACTTTGGTACATTTTAATTTTTAATTTTATGCACATCTCTCCATTTACAATAATCTTTTATGTTTTTCATAAAAAAACATGTTGTTAATCAAATTTTTCCCCCATCTCAGGTGCTCAAATGAGAAAGGCTACTTTGCTGTATCAGAGAAGTGCTCAGACTTCTGTCAAGATGACCTGGCTGATGATGACATCATGCTTCTGGACAATGGGAAAGAGGTAGAGCTTTGTGCTTTCTGTGCTTTCAACCAAACACAGTGTCTCCTTTAAGTGTGTATTTTTATGGCTAAAATATTTGTTTGTGTTTTGCAGGTTTACATGTGGGTTGGCACACAGACAAGCCAAGTGGAGATTAAACTGAGCTTGAAGGCTTGTCAGGTTAGTTTTACTGTACACGAGAGGCCTGTTTCATAAAACCAGTTGACCAAACCAAACAAATCCAAACAATGGAACACCCATTTGATTTTAATAATGTAGATCCACAAATAGCTCAAAGGAATTGAATTAAATTGTGGACTTTGGATTAAAAAGTAATAAGCGTAAATCAAAAAATTGACATCACATGTAAAATTATAACACATAAAAATGAAAACTTAATGCAAAATAAGAAATAATGAGGTTGCGTACTGAAAGATGATGAACGTGAATCAAAAATTTAAACATGTTTAGAATTTCATTGCACAAAACAGAAACCTGAATTAAAGATTTTCCTAATTGCCAACAAAATCAGTTTTTCTGCTCTTATGTGAATGTTTTTCCACATTCTGTGCTTGCGTTTCCAAAAGATGCAGAGTTTGATGTAAAATCATGGGCGGGCTTTAGCATAATCATTGGTCCATTAGTTCAGATTGACAGGTGCTCCTCCAGCCCATTAGATGAAGGGGGAGTTGACATCACTCTAATGCAACTCATGACTGCTCAGTGTGCCACTTGTTTCCAAGATTTTGAAATAATACTGATGCCTGTCTGTGATCGCAGGGATTTCATACAAATTAAACATATGTATTTCATAAATTATTCATATAAATGTATTATTTTTCAGTCCACAACCATGATATATTTGGCAGGAATTTAATCCCATACAAAGGCTTTATATAGCAAAGCAAATTTATATCTTAATATCTGAATGTAGATATTTATTTAAAGCTATTATTAATATTACTGACAGTTCAAAACAATTTGAATAAGTAATATAAAATATAAATAACTATAATTTAGAAAATATAAATTATTAGCAACAAAAGACAAATTTGACTCAAATGCTTTTAGTGTAAAAGCAAAAAAAAGCTGAGAGATTTGGAGTGGCTTTGTTGCATCACATATATTTCCCTTTACTCACAGCTGATTGGTCCAGTTTAAGTTTGCAGTGTTTAACCCAGGGTGGATTCCATTCAGAAGGGCTCATCCCTATGCCCTAACGCCTTTGGAGGGTCTCTCTGAAGAGATAAGGGCATAGGCATGAGCCCTTCTGTGTTACAGTGTGTGACCCCATAAAAACTTCCCTGCTCAAAGGATAATTTCCCGAAGTGTTCATCAGTTGTATTTATTTAAAATCCTTAATTTTAAAGGGCCCTTCGAAGTGGCCAGTTGCGGTTTCCCCTTGGTTTGGAACGACACTTCAATATGGTGGCTATTATTTTTTTTACTCTGAATTCCCCTTTCAGATGGTGATATGTCCTGTTTTGGAATGCACCACCAGATTAAATACTGCTTCAGAGCAGGTTAGCTGTGTAGTGTACGTTACAATGGCAACAAAACCTAATCGCCACAGCCATATCACCCTGCAGCCCAAGACCGGTTACTCACTGAAGCTAAGCAGGGCTGAGCCTGGTTAGTACCTGGATGGGAGACCACTAGGGAACACTAGGTTGCTGTTGGAAGTGGTGTTAGTGAGGCCAGCAGGGGGCGCTCAACCTGTGGTCTGTGTGAGTCCTAATGCCCCAGTAAAAGTGAAGGGGACACTATACTGTCAGTGGGCGCCGTCTTTCGGATGAGACGTTAAACCGAGGTCCTGACTCTCTGCGGTCATTAAAAATCCCATGGCACTTCTCGTGAAAGAGCAGGGGTGTAACCCCGGTGTCCTGGCCAAAGTCCCTCTATCGGCCCTTACGATCTCAGCCTCCCAATCATCCCCTTCCACCGAATTGGCTCGATCACTGTCTCTCCACTCCACCTATAGCTGGTGTGTGGTGAGCGCACTGGCGCCGTTGTCCTGTGGCTGCCGTCGCATCATCCAAGTGGATGTTGCACACTGGTGGTAGTGTGGAGAGACCCCCCTCATGATTGTGAAGCGCTTTGGGTGTATGGCCATACACAATAGATGCGCTATATAAATACACATTACATTACATTACATTACATAATCAAAACCAGCCCAAAAGCTCAATCTACGTGTGTTCTTAAGTGTGAAAAAATTCATTCTAGCTTTGTGGAACAGGCCTCTACACTTCAGACTTCCATTTTTGGACACACAAACACATACTCTCCCCTCTGTGGCTTCTAAACATTTGTGTCCCCCTCAGGTCTATATTCAACACATGAGGTCGAAGGATACGGAGAACCCCAGAAAACTGCGCCTGGTGCGCAAGGGCAACGAGCCTCACTGTTTCACCCGCTGTTTCCACGCATGGAGCGCCTTCAAGACGGCACCCGCATAAATCAGCAAAGTCTGTCTGAATACAGTACGAGCATTCAGAAAACAAACAGCACACTCACAGCAGACTCTCCATTATTAATGTGCACTGCATCACTCTCTTTAAAAAGCTCACGTACGTGTTTGCTAGTTAAAGCAATATTATCGAATTTTTATATTTCTGTGTAGATTTAAGAGTCTAAACGATACAGCACTGGGGGGTAAGCCCCAGCAAGCATTTTTGTTTTTTAAAAGATGTCAAATAAATGTCTAATAGACGTCTAAACATAGTTGTCTTGGCTAAAACAAGAGTAAATTTCAGTGAAAATCTAATAGATGTCTAAGAATAGGCCAAAACTAGACTAGTCGTCAAATAAGCAGAAATGAACGACTACACGTATAAAGTCTGTCTATTTGAGGACTAGTCTAGATTTGGGCTAATCTTAGACGTCTATTAGATTTTCACTGATAACCCAAGTTTAGTCTTGTTTTGGTCGAGCTATCTACGTTTGGATGTCTATTAGAGGTCTATTAAACACAAAATTGTTTGCTGGGGCATTTTCTCGAGAGAACGGATGCTGTATTTCTGAAGGGACGAGTTTTAGAGGAACATATCGATTGAGGGAGAGTCTACTTTTTGTTTTAAAAGTCATCTGGCTGCACAATTGTTGTGAATTGTCATCTGTTTACATTTTCTAAATCCTGCAGCAGATCTCTTCAAGATGGCTCATATCATTTGTTTTGGGTTGACGTTCTTAAGTTTTATTTCGTAGATGCATATCACACTTATTGCCAAGGCTTTCAGGTATTGGAAGTTCAACACCCGGGTCAGTTTTTATTGCTGATTTGGTGCCTATCACAACAGTTTTTTTTAAATGATGTTTGCCTTTGAATGTTTGATTCCATCAGCCTGATCTATATTTTGCTTCACTGTTGGGATGTTGACTTGCCAATGCTGATGGAACAATGAATTGCACAGTTCATGTGGGATGTTTTTTCATTTATGATCTAGTTTATGCTTTTATGCCCTTAAACTGCCCTGTATATCCATACCAATGCAGCAGTCGGCTAGGTTGAACCTGGTGATTTTTAATTCAAATCTCAATCTGTAATGGCTAAGACTGGCGCTACAGCTTGGTCTCCACATATCAAGGCTGATTTCGCTGTTTAGCCAACACCGTTTCATCAAACACAGATTGTGCTTTTTTTTTTTTTTTTTAAAGAAAAAAAACTTTAGGGTCCTGTGTGTGGATCACTTTTTGCTTTTTGAGTATTTGTTGATCTTGGACAGGGAAATTGGTTTAGCCAAGGAAATGAATATTCTTATTTTAATTATGCTAATCAAATTTGTTATGACGGTCATAAAAGGGATTAGGTAGAGGTAAAACGCGTTTTTGCTATTGAAGGCGAGTTGCCCTGTTCTGTTTCTTCTCGTCACAGCAGCTTTTTTGTCTGCATAATATATATAAATGTATTTCTATGTGTACAAATATTTTCTGCCACTTATTTCACCTGCAGATGCTCTATTTATGTATTTTGTATTGAATAAAGTTTCATCGCACATCGGTATGGAATCACTTTGTAAACTTGCAAACCTGTCACAGCTTCAGTTTGAGTTCAACTGTTGTTTTATTTTAATTTTTTATAAAACGCATATTTCTTATACATTAAGTATTTCACTCTTCAATTCCTTTTTGGCTTAGTCCTTTTATTTAATCTGGGGTCATCACAGTGGAATGAACCGCCAACTTATCCATCATATGTTTTACGCAGTGGATGCCCTTCCAGCTGCAACCCATCTCTGGGAAACATCCATACACACTCGTTTACACACCACAGACAACTTAGCTTACCCAATTCACCTAAACCATGTATAAACCCACGCTAACATGGGGAGAACATGCAAACTCCACACAGAAATGCCAACTGACCCAGCCAGCGACCTTGTTTTTAGTATTTACCAAATACAGTAATTTGAGTAATGGGGTTAAGTTGAGCTAGGTGTTTGTAGAAGACATTTTACTTTTACTTTTTTACTGCTCACAGCTACAAGGCATTTCTTTAATTAGTTATGGCTTTTATTTTAAAAACATTCACAAAGGTTTTTGATTCTCATAATTGGGAAATCGTAGTAATATGTTTTTAAATAAAAATGAAATATAAATTTTATAAAAAGAACATTGTAAGTAAAAATGCAAACAAATGTAAATTCTTATATTCATTTATAGAATATGTTATTGTTTTTACATATTAATGTTAATTAAATGTATATTATTGACTTGGGTCATGGTTATTTTTAAACTAATTTGTTATTTGTAATTTGTAGTAATAATAATTATCTAATCACCCAGTCAATATTGTTTTGAAATGTATTTACATTTTACATTTACATTTAGTCATTTAGCAGACGCTTTTATCCAAAGCGACTTACAAATGAGGACAAGGAAGCAATTTACACAACTATAAGAGCAACAATGAATAAGTGCTATAGGCAAGTTTCAGGTCTGTAAAGTTTAAGAAGGAAAGTATTAGTAAAAATTTTTTTTATTTTATTTTATTTTTTAGTACAGTTAGTGGTATATCCAGAGAGGCAATTGCAGATTAGGAAGGATAAGTGGAGACTAAACAGTTGAGTTTTTAGTCGTTTCTTGAAGACAGCGAGTGACTCTGCTGTTCTGATGCAGTTAGGGAGTTCATTCCACCAACTGGGCAGATTGAACGCGAGCGTTCGGGAAAGTGATTTTTTTCCCTCTTTTGGATGGAACCACGAGATGACGTTCATTCACCAAACGTAAGTTTCTGGAGGGCACATAAATCTGTAGAAGTGAGAGCAGATAAGAAGGGGTGCAGCCAGAAATCGCTTTGTAAGCAAACATCAGAGATTTGAATTTGATGCGAGCAGCAACTGGCAGCCAGTACAAACGGACTAGCAGCGGAGTGACATGTGCTCGTTTAGGTTCATTAAAGACCACTCGTGCTGCTGCGTTCTGGAGCAGCTGAAGAGGCTCATTATAGTTAGCTGGAAGCCCCGCTAGTAGAGAGTTGCAGTAATCCTGTTTGGAGAGAACAAGAGCTTGAACAAGGAGTTGAGCTGCATGTTCAGGTAAGAAGGGTCGGATCTTTCTGATGTTATAGAGTGCGAATCTGCACGATCGAGCAGTTCTAGAAATGTGGTCAGAGAAGTTTAGTTGGTCATCAACCGTTACTCCAAGGCTTTTCACCATTTTGGATGCAGCAATGGTTGCCCCATCCATCTGGATTGAAAAGTTATGGTGTAGAGTCGGGTTGGCAGAAACTACAAGCATTTCCGTTTTTGCGAGGTTCAGCTGAAGATGATGATCTTTCAACCAGTGTGAAATATCCAACAGGCAGGCTGAGATGCGAGCTGGAACCGAGGGATCATCAGGATGAAAAGAGGTATAGCTGGGTATCATCAGCATAGCAGTGGTAGGAGAATCCATGTCTCTGGATGACTGGTCCTGGAGATGATGTGTAGATGGAGAAGAGAAGTGGCCCAAGAACAGAGCCTTGAGGTACCCCAGTGTTTAGATGCTGTAGGTTGGACACCTCTCCCCTCCAAGACACCCTGAATAACCTGTCAGAGAGGTAAGATCTGAACCATTGTATAACAGTGCCCGCAACGCCCAGTGACTCGAGTGTAGATAGCAGGATCTGGTGGTTGACAGTGTCAAAAGCAGCTGACAAGTCCAGCAAAATGAGGACTGATGGTTTAGAGTCTGCTTTAGCCAGTCTGACATCCTCCACGACCGAGAGCAGGGCAGTCTCAGTTGAGTGGCCTTTCTTAAAGCCGGATTGCTTGTTGTCCATGAGATTGTTTTGAGTAAGAAAGTCCAGGACTTGATTGAACACTACTTTCTCCAGATTCTTGGCCATGAATGGAAGCAGGGATACTGGTCTGTAGTTTTCAAGTAGCGTATGGTCCAGGTTGGGTTTATTTAGCAGTGGGGTTACCCTAGCCTGCTTAAATGAAGTGGGGAATAAACCAGAGTCAAGAGATGTGTTAATTATGTGAGTCAGTGTTGGTATGACTGCAGGAGAGATGGCTTGCAAGAGATGAGAGGGAATGGGATCGAGTGGACAGGTGGTTGCATGGCTAGATAGCACAAGTTTGGACACCTCAGACTCAGAGAGCTGAGAAAAAGAGGTGAGTGTGTGTGGTGTTGGTGGTGTATCTTGCGTGTTTGTTGTAGGTGCAGCAAATTGAGCGCTGATTTTTGCAGTTTTGGTGCAGAATAATGTAGCAAAGTCATCAGTAGTAAGTGTGGAGGATGCGGGTGGAGGAGGAGGATAGAGGAGGGAGGAAAAGGTTTTAAAAAGTAGGCGAGGATTAGTGGCATTGTTGATTATCTGACGGAAATATATCTGCTTTACAGAAGTAACCTCAGCCGAGAAAGAATTCAGAAGAGTTTGGTATGTTAAGAGCTGTGCAGGATTTGTAGTTTTCCGCCAAATTCTCTCTGCAGCTCGAAGTTTTGAGCGATTCTCACGGAGAGCATCCGAGAGCCAGGGTGCAGGAGGACTGGCATGGGCTGGCCTAGTTGCAAGAGGACATAATCTGTCTAGACATGGTGCTATGTGTAAGAATATTTTTATAAAAATGTATCATTTGTAGTAAGCTTTTTATCATAATTTATATATTTTAGATCTTGTTATTGACTAACCAAAAATATATAACGTTAATTAAATACCAACATTATTATTTTTTTTTACATGTTTTTACATTCATGTTTTATTTTATAGCAATGAAGGTGATGATTATGTGGATTTTTGTTTTCTTTCAATTTAATATAATTATCCTGTTTTAAAATTTGTAATTATTTTCAATCATCTTTGTTATGTTAAAAACTTTAATAAAATGGTATAATTTAAAAAATAATAAGCACGTTTTGAAGTATAAAAGTCCGACGTATCAAAATAAAAGCTCTTCCTGTCAACGGAGAGTCGACCGGTCCCCATAATGCATTGCGCAGAACGATTACGCACAGAGGAGCGCGCTTCTCCCGGCCTCATTGCCTGTACTGCCGTTCACAAACCCTCCAAATCCACCCGGATTAAACCGACAAAACCACACCACACGCCTTCGAACAGCATGGAGTCTGCCCTGAAGAAAGACACGGAGAGCACCTGTGTGCTGTGCTGCCAGGACATCGACCTGTTCGCGGTGGGGAAGTGCGATCACCCGGTGTGTTACCGCTGCTCCACCAAGATGCGGGTGCTGTGCGAGCAGAAGTACTGCGCCGTCTGCCGGGAGCAGCTAGACAAGGTGCCGCCGCCTCTCCTCCTCCAGGCCTCGGCTAATGCACACAGCAAATAAACACAGAAACCCGGCCTCTAGGAAGCGCTGAACCAGCTCTCTTTACGCTAACTTAGCATGGCGACTTATAATGGGAGCGGCCGCGTCTGTCACGTTGTTGTTGTCATTACAAAGTTTAGTTGAGTTGTGTTTTCTTTTAAAAGTGAAATGGGGGTAGTTGTTCTACTTACTGTTTTGTGTTGGGTTGTTGGACTTCTAACTGTTACATTTGATTCGAGCGTGTGTGGGAGGCAGTTTAGCGTGGTAGTTGTGATTTATTACCTGACGTTTCCCGGGACGACCAGTTCCCGTGTTGGCTTTGCGAATCATGACAGCTGTGGAAACTGAACTTTGTTCTCTTATGTATCCGAGAAGGTTTGATTACTAGATAGTACTGCTTTCGGAGGACTGTTACGTAACGAGCTTTCAGATAACTAACCGTTAGAAACTACTAGACGTGTAGCTTTTCTGACAGACTGTCAAAGTGTGACGTCATGTTGACAATGAGTGGCTCACGTGTCAATCAGTCAAGAGTGCACACTGATCCGTCACCCAAGAATGAGACTTTACTCCTCATTTACTCGCCCTTGTTCCCAAACACGTTACAGTTTTTTCTGTTGGTCGCAAAAGCTATATTAGTTAACTATTGACATGGAGAGAAGTGAAACATATGTTTGTCAAAGCTCTTTATGTTCGACAGAAGAAGAAAGACTCAAACATGTTCATTCATTCATTCATTTTTTTCCGCTAATGCGCGGCCGGTGTGAGTAAATGAATGATACCAGAATTTTCATTTTGTGTGAGCTGTCCCTTTAATCAGTAAATCTGTCACAAGCTTGTGTTGTTAGTTTAGATTAATATGCGGGAATTGTTTGTACAGTTAATTTCATGTAGAGTTTATTCATCAAATGTTGAGATCTGCTGTAAGTAAAATGTGGTTTGTTTGTTTTTTTATATATCTCAGGTGGTCTTCTTAAGGAAACCAGAAGCGTTTGCCACTCTGAACATTCATCATTATCAATGTGAGAAGAAATATGACATTTATTTTGGAGATGGAAAGGTTCATGCACAGTTCAGGTACTTTTTTTTTTACTTTTCTTTTTTTTGGATGCTTTTGACAATGTTCAATTGAAATGTGTAACTGCCCCACCAAGAAAAAAAAGTTTTTGATTGCATTTAAAACACTCAATGCGTTCTTTTAACACATTCTATAATTTCCAAAATATCAACCTCTAGCCATAAACATACCAACCATTTGGTAAAGTATCATAATTAATACATCTACTATAAAAAAATTGAAATTATTTAGTATAAGACTAATTTAATTAAAAAATATCAAACTAAAGTATTTTTTAATGCTAAATCATCTTTATTTTTTGAAGTATGCCATAAAATATTTCAGATTCTCATTTAACACAGTAATTTAGACGTTTTCTTGTTTTTTACAATGAAAGCAAAATCAAGTTTAGTGAAGAGTAGGATTATGTTTGTTAGATTTTAAACCATTATTTAAAACAAATCATTCTTTAAATGACTTTAACAGTCAATATTTATTTGGTAGAGCAGGCAGTTAAAAAGTTATGTTGTTTTGCTATAAAATCATAGGAAATATCTTTGTCAAACATGTATTGTTTACTAAGTATTTAAAATGATTTATCCAATAATACATTTTTGGACAAAATAAAGAAGAATGGTATATTTATTTTTTTATATTTAACCACCAATATGCATTGCATCACAGCAGTAATATAAAGCAATAGCTCCAAAAATGAAAAATACTTTTAATTTTTTTCACCCTCAGGCCATCCAACAAATTGGTGACTTTTTTTCCCTTAAACATAGTTGAAGAGTAGATAAGTTGTCGGTTCATTCCGCTGTGGCGACACCAGATTAATAAAGGGACTAAGCCGAAAAGAAAATGAATGAATGATATTGGAAGAGCTCAGATGCAAAACCCTCTAAATGCTGTCTAAAATTTCCATTAAAAAAAAAAAACATTTTCCCAGCCTCCTTTGTTTATGTCGAGATATTTAACTTTAAAATCCAGGAAAAGGACGTATTCTTTGCCATAAAAGTGATATTTAAGGTTTTTGCCTCTAAACTCTTCATTTGTTATTCAAAAAAACTCAAGTCGGTTGCTACCAACACTTCAAGAAAGAAGAAAAAACTACTGGCAAAAGTAAATTAATTTAATTGGCTTGTAATGACACATAAAGGTTTTATGATGTGAATATTCATAGATAATTTATCATAAAGCCCTGCTTGTCAGATGAATTTCAATAATAGATCTCAACAATGAGACCCCTTTTAACAAGATTGTTTTGATGCGTTTAACAGTCATCCGAATCTTAAATCCTTAAAAGTTTTTAATATATTACAAAAAACGAATTGCTGCTTATGCAAGGTGTTTCTAATGCAGCGTATGTGTGGCTGAGAGTAAATCTGACATTATTCTCTCCTCTGGCTGCCGTCATCAGTCTTTTTTTTAATGTTTTTTCTGAAAGTCTTGATAACACCATCGGGACGTTTTTCTTATATTATTTCAGCAAATAAGATTGTAAAAAATTAATTGTAGTTCTCTCTTATTCACTGCGTTCTAAGTTTATCAAACTATGACGACTTCTGCTGCTGAGAAACCCTGAAATGTGAAAAGGGTCTATTGTTAAATGCAAGCTCTTTTTATCTTTTACATCAAATGCAGGAAGATTTTGTTAAATGAATGTCCACATTGCCCGGAACCGAAAGTGTTCTCCAAATTTGAAGAATTAGAGCAGCATATGCGGAAACAACATGAGCTCTTCTGCTGCAAGTTATGCTTGAAGCACTTGAAGGTAGTTTATTACATTTTAAATGTAGTCATTTATTATTATGTGCTCTTCATTCCAACGATGACTGATGTGCTCCAATGTTTACAGATATTCTCATATGAGCGCAAGTGGTACAGTCGTAAAGATTTGGCTCGCCATCGAATGCAAGGGGACCCGGATGACACCTCGCACCGCGGGCATCCGCTTTGTAAATTCTGTGACGATCGATACCTGGACAACGATGAGCTGCTGAAACACCTGCGCCGCGACCATTACTTCTGCCATTTCTGTGATGCAGATGGAGCTCAGGAGTATTACAGGTAGGTTTTGTAGGGATGGTATACAGTTTGATCCAAAGAATGTCCAGTCTGATAGACGAAGAAGAGCCGGAGTCAGAGATTTAAATAAATAAATCAAGTTTACTGAAGATAGTTTGGAGTTTCATCAGCAGAAGCCAGCTTCAACACTCGCAATGAGTTCCTAGGCCGCTCTGCTTACAATCACCAGTCAATAACAATTATACTCTCACATAACATCATTAACTGCGTCAAACATATAGATGTTCTAACCTGATTGGTTAAAACACAGAGAGACTAGGAAATTTCCATGTGGAGTTTGTGCGTATATTCTGAACAATATCTTAAGCATAAACGTCAGACATCCCTTAGACCAGGGGTGTCAAACTCAATTCCTGGAGCGCTGAAGCCCTGCACGGTTTAGTTCCAACCCTGCTCCAACACACTTACTGTAGGTTTCAAACAAGCCTGAAGGACTCAGTTAGTTTGATCTGGTGTGTTTAATTAGGGTTGGAACTAAACTGTGCAGAGCTGCGACCCTTTTGAAACTGAGTTTGACACCTGTGCCTTAGACTGATTAGAGCTGACTCCAGACCTGTGAAACGGATCAACAATCAAATAGAACACAGACACTTAAAGTATAATTTGTTTCTTATCCAAGGCTAAGTGTATTCTCAGCCGTCTTTATCAAAACTGGTTAAAAACTGGTATAATCTACATTCAGGCAGTTATATTCTTACTTTACAAAGTCTGTCTTGAATAAAAATAGAATTACTTTAAAAGAATTAACCGTAAAAATAGCAAAATCACTTTAGACATTTTAGATAGTAAAAACTACTAGAAATTACAATAGAAACAGTTGATTCCAGTCCTTAGCCCTCAGTTCCACTCAAGGTCTCAGTGACCTCTGACCTAGTTTGGTGGCTTCTGAAAATAGTTATAAATAGACAGGCAAATGCACTGAACATTCTTATATTAATCAATTCACAGTTAAATACTCCATTCAAATGATCAAATAATTATATTTAATAAAATGAATCATGAGAAACAAGATGATGAGAAAAGGATAAACGTTGGTCCATGATGAGACGGATTGGAAAGCAGAAATCCGAACCCTTCAGTTTTGACTCATTTCCAGTTATGACCCAAATAATTGCAGGATTGGACTTGGAATCCTTCGGGTAAACACTTCAATTGATGCAACCATGCTTTATACACCTTAAATTTATCCATTGACACAAGTAACATGAAAACAAATAAATTCAATTCAAGGGATGATCACGGTGTTTTTAGTAGGTGCCAATTAACAAAACAAACACATGGCTGTTTATTGAAAGTTAAAGAAGCACCCTCATTGAGAGCAGGGATTAAAGTCCAAAACCTGACTTTAGTAAGCCAAACTACATGTCTATGCTTAAATTGGTTCCAACAGCAAATTGAAGATCATTTAATCTAACTAATCTGAGTTCAGTTTAAATAATCTAGATAACTGCTCTTGCACGTTACTGTCGTGAAACCCTGAAGGTCGAGCATAGGTGCATCGATTATGTTGTATTCAACCATGGCAAGTACAAGAACTGAAAGATCTCTGAAATTAGGCGCAGCTGTTCACACCGACTGAGTTGCGTTAGTATTTTGTTCAAACATTTGTTCAAGAGTTCAAACATATAAAAATTTAAACATAATATTCAAATCTACAGTACAACTGGCAACAAAGCAAGAGAGAAGGCTTACAGGAACTTGCACATAAAAAATAGGCCAATATTTAAACCTATTAACATTCAATTAAATATTTGTCACAATACATTGGAATTGAGCTTGAGCACGCACAAGAGAGAGAATATGCGCTTACTGCCAATTGTTGCTTTCAAAAAAACAGTTTTATTGCATTGCAGGCTCCCGGTAACATTCAAAATGAGCTTAACATCATCATATTTAGTTTAAAATAATGGCTACAAAGAGCTGTGCACGCATAAGGGGCAGGATTTTTAATTTGCTCCCAAAACCACTGCAAATTGCTGCTTTCCCTTTGACACTTGTGTTTCCTGCCCCCTGTGGGAAAATATCTTTATATTAAAGTGAGGCTACTGCTTGGCCCAGACATATCTCCTGATTATTAAACTCAGGGTTTGATGCTTTAAACTCATTCTTTAATAAATGTCCCCTTCTTCTTTATGTCAGTCAGTGCTTTTTTAATATTATTTTCTTTATCACACACTCGGATCACAGTTCAAAAACTAGTACACCCTATACACCCTAACTAGTACACCCTATACACCCTAATTAATATGTTTGGGGAAAATATATATAATATAAAATAAAATTTTAATAAATGGGGAAAAAAAAAGACTCTTAAACATTAAAAATATCAAGTTTAGTTAATGTTGTAGTTTTTATTTGTAATAACTTGTGTGTGTGTGTGTGTGTATGTATATATGTATGTGTGTGTGTGTGTATATATATATAATTTTTTTTTTTTGTATAATTTCTTAAACGTGTTTGGTGTATATAAATTTACTTTTAACTTTCTTACGGCAGGTGAATGTTAACATTACCTTGATTAAGTTTGAACTTAGGCTGAGAGTTAACCTGCCCCAGACCAGGCTAGTTTCCCAGCATAAGTTGCCAGAGGAACTGAGTTTGAACTGTCATAAATTTGATTTATGAAACCGCATCCACCATTAATAATCCTGACTTACCAAAATAAGTGGCTTTTTCTCTAAGCTTGGTTTATGAAGCAGCCCTTTGGAGACAATTGGAGACTTGGATTAAACTTTTACTATAATAATAATAATAATAATAATAATAAGAAGAAGAAGAAGAAGAAGAAGAAGAAGAAGAAGAATATTTAATATTTGGTTTAGTAATTGTTTTGTGTAGTATGTGCCTGGTTATTCAATATATATTGGCCACTGTGTTTACATGAACATGATTGTCACCAACATTATAATTGATTATTCTGCTACTATAATCTTGTTTGCTCTCTGTGGCGGAGACGAGGCAGGGCCTAAAGAAGCTGCTTTACACAAACTGCCAATAACAAAAATTATCAAAATATAGTTTATTGTATTTCTGGCAACTTCAGTCAGTTTGGAAGAATAGATCCAAAAGGGGTGACACGGTGGTGTAGTAGGTAGTGCTGTTGCCTCACAGCAAAAAGGTCTCTGGGTCAGTTTGCATTTCTGTGTGGAGTTTGCATGTTCTCCACATGTTGGTGTGGGTTTTCTCCGGGTGCTCCAGTTTCCCCACAAGTCCAAAGACATGTGGTACAGGTGAATTGGGTGAGGTAAAATTGTCTGTAGTGCATGTTTGTGAATGAGTGTTTATGGATGTTTCCCAGAGATGGGTTGCAGCTGGAAGGGCATCCGCTGCGTAAAAACATATACTGGATAAGTTGGCGGTTCATTCTGCTGTGGCAACCCCAGATTAATAAAGGGACTAAGCCGAAAAGAAAATGAATGAATGAATGAATGAAGATCCAAAGGCCTCTAGGCACTACAGCTTTGGTGATAATACAAAGGTAGCGTGAGGTAAAAAATTCAATGGTGGTTCAGTAGTTTAGATTTTTTAAGCTACTCATTTTCAATTAAAAAATGGTTTTAAGAAGAGTATTTTTTTTAGTTAAAAAATGTTTATTGTTGTTATTGTTTGGGTTAGATATAAGGAGGGTTTATTATACATTTATTACAAAAGCAATGCTGATATTTTTCATGTTATGTAGAAAGTATCTATTGTTGTTACACTTTGCGTTAATAAAAATATTGTTATTGTAAAATAATGTTATTGTAACAAAAATATTCTTATTGTTAATTTTGTTTTTAATGCTTGCCCAGTTTTTTATTTTAAGATTGTTGTTGTTTGTTCTTTTTTTCTTTTTTGTTGATTTTATGATTTATGTTTTTTGCTTTGACACTATTAAAGAAGCCTTGTTGCTGACATGACAAAAAATATATACATTTCAATCAGATGCGTAGTCAAGTGGTATAAACCTAATGCAATCTAAATGAAAGAATATAAATACACCTCCTAATAAGTCTTCCATTCTATATATTTTTAATAATGTTAATAATGAACTTGACTGTGCATGTTTTTACAATATATATATAGGGCCATATATATATATATATATATATATATATTTTTTTTTTTTTTTTTTTAGTTCAATCTGTTTTGCTAAAACAAATTTTAGAAAAATTAGTGGATATAAACATACTTCGTGTAAGCTGAACTACAGAATTATTACTCCATCTTAATGATTACTACCAGGGCTTGACAATAACACCTGGCTACCCACCAAATGCGGGAACATTTTAGCTTTGGCAGGTTAGACAGCTGCTCCCACTTCCCACTTTGGCTGGTTGAAGATAATTTTTTAATTGTAGTTTTCTTAAAAAGCGGAGTTCAACAATAAGGATTTCCCAATGAGTGGCCAGCGATAGAGTTGACAATAATAACTGTGTTCACGTGAGCAAAAGAAAGCAGTTGAATATTGAATGAAAGGATGATCATGCAGATGGCGAGACACAGGTAATCCTAATGCACTGACGAGGGCTTCCGTATCAAGGCTGATTTCAGTTGATGTGATGCGCGTGAGTGTTCAAGTTTCGAAAAGAAACGTTTACTTGCGTGAAGCATCTGTGCTTTGAAACACAACTGGTGGGATCAGTCTTTTTTAAAAGTCTTTTTGTAAGCAGCAGGTTGCTTTCACTTTAACCTTTCATGTGATCATCCTTTCATTATCGCACAATATTTTTCTTCTTCTTTTTTTTTGCTTGGGTATTTCGGGCTAAGAATAATATATAATTATTATTATTATTATTATTTTTTTTGGTGTTGCTAGAGAAAAATTTGGCAAATCCTAAGTGTTAAACCCTAAAAAGCCATGTGAAATTAAAACTAATTGCAATGCGACACTGAATCCACAACCCATTGGCTCGCGCTTATTGAGAAAGGTCATACACAACACAAACCATTGAAATGAAAGAGGCTTGTGGAAATAAAACAAAATCTAAATCGAGTAATCTAAATCAATTTTAGCATGTCCAAGTCAAATTTTATGCATATAAAATATATTTTCCCAACTACAAGATTGTGGCTAATAAAAATGGCGAGTTGCTAGTAATGTTGGAAAACTATTAGCCAGAGTGGCTGGTGATCAAAAAAGTTAATGTCAAGGCCTGACTACCACTTATATAACTGCATTTTTTTGTTCTACAGTGACTACCAGTACCTGAGTGAGCACTTCAGAGAGAGCCATTATCTGTGCGAGGAGGGCCGCTGCAGTACAGAGCAGTTCACTCACGCTTTCCGCACAGAAATTGACTATAAGGCTCACAAAGCTGCTGCCCACAGCAAGAACAGGGCAGAGGCAAGGCAGAATCGTCAAATCGACATTCAGTTCAACTATGCACCCAGACAGCAGCGCAGAAATGATGGTAAAGCAGAGTGTGCACATTTATTATTTTTGAGTTGAATTAAATAATTTAATCGATCTATAATAAAGAAATGCATTTTAATACCTTAAGATTTTTTTCTAATGTCTGATAGTTGGTGGCGATGATTACGAGGAAGTGGACCGCTTCAATCGACAGGGAAGACCAGGAAGAGGAAGAGGCCCAGGTGGACAGCAGAATCTCAGGAGTTGGAGATATAACCGGTAGGTCTTCATCACTGCTGTATTCTGACACATATAAGAGCCCTTCTGGAGGACTAAGAGAGTTGTTTTCTGCAGAGAGGAAGAGGACAGGGAGATGGCTGCAGCCATGCGAGCTTCAATGGCCAGTCACCAAGAAGAGAGAAGCCACGTGCAAGAGAGAAGCATGCTGAAGCCACGCAGAGAAGAAAAGTTGGAGCCGGATGAGATGAGGAATAACAGGAGCACAGCAAGACCAACTAATGATATTCAAGGTATTAGAGCTGAGATAAAATGTATGGGTTTTATTTATTATTTTATATAAGGGAATGAAAAATGCATGTTTATATGCATTTCAGCTCGATCGATGAAGAGTAATGGCTCTTTGGCTGGTCAGGACTTTCCTGTCTTAGGGGCAGGTGCACCTCCTGCGCCAGTTCAAAGGTATGTTTGTCCTGTTTTTAGTATAATGAATATATAATTTGAAAGAAAAATGTAACTGATAAATGATGACAGTTTGCTTGTAATTGAGGCTCATTAATTTTGTCTAGATTGATTCCTTAATTTTGCATTTAGTGACTTTAATAAACAATAAAGAAACTTCATTCGTGTCTTCAGACTCAGTTAAAAATAAACAGATTTAGGTGACATTCACCAATCAATAAACACCAACAACATAAATCTGAATAAACAGTGCAGGCCGAAGCTTGACCATATTAATACACTAATTCATTGTTGTGTTTTTAATGTGTATGTAAATTATATACATAAATTATATATATACACATATAGATATGATGGTCAGAACAGCAGAAACCTACCTGCTACTTCACAAACGTCACTTTAGAGCTAGTATTTGAATGATCCTCCAGCATAGTGTCTAAACTTACTGCAAAACAGGTGATTTTGCTGACATTTTTAAGATTATAAGGTTGAACGGCATGAAATGCCATCAATATATAGAGATTTCTCAGTATTTCTCTGTTGCAATCAGGATTTCACAATAGTTAAACCCGAAAAGCCAAAGCAAAGCAAACACTACCAGACTCTGGTATGAATACAGCACTACAAAATACAAAAGAGAGAGGTCGACTTAAAATGTCACGTACCTGATTTATAATGATTTGTTCAGCTGTAGTTTGAAACTTAAGATGAGTAAATGCTGTTTTCCTGTCTAAGGACTTATTATGTGGTCTCTGTCACCATCTTCTGATAGAACGTCAACCGTCACTTTCTTTGGTCTGCTCAGACAGGCTGATTGCGGCCGATGAACTGAATTTCCAAAATTATATATAGTTAATTATGGGCAGTATCCTTATAAATAAACTGCATAGTTGCAATCTAAACAACTACTTTCACAAGGTAATACACAGGGGGAAATGTTTAAAAGGCTAGATTAGTGCTGTTATTTGCAGAATATGGCACGGCCATCAGCCAATCAGATTCAAGAATCGGACCGAACTGTTAATATTTTCTAAAAGATGTTTAACAGAGCAAGGAAATTTTCACAATATGTCTGATAATTTTTTTTCTTCTGGAGAAAGTCTTATTTGTTTTATTTTAGCTAGAATAAAAGCAGTTTAAAAATTTTTTAACACCATTTTAAGGACAAAATTATTAGCCCCTTTAAGCTATATTTTCTTCAATAGTCCACAAAACATATTTATTTATTATTATTTTTTAATAAAGTAAAATATATCAGGCTAAGACAGCTGTTCTGAAACCAGTGTTATTGTTTTCTAAAGCTGAAATTATCGATAATATTTTTGGTTAAATTTAAATAAATTATGAGAATTAGATAAACTTCAAAATTTCAAAGTACAAAAATGTACAAATTGAATAAAACAAATAAACTAGAGATGATAGAATATATATTTAGGATAAGGAAAATAAAAAAGCTAATTATAAAATATTCATAATATAAAAATAGTAAATAATAGGCAAGAACCACTTAAATCTAGCATATTAAAAACACCTAGTTTAAATGAACCACATCAATAATTATTAATGTCTTTTCTCATTATTACAGCATGATTCAAAAACCTTCTGTCTCCCTAAAAGAAGATGACTTTCCAAGTTTGTCTGGCTCTGTCGTTTCTTCTCCAATGACACCAGCATACACCAATCAACCCAGGAAACATTCTTCCTTCCAAGAAGAGGATTTCCCTGCTCTAGTCTCCAAGATCAAACCACTGAAGCCCCAGTCCAGCGCAGCATCTGCCTGGTCTCAAGCTGGAAGCAAACCTGTCGTGGCTCCCAACAAGCCTGTCGTTCTGCCCACCAAAATGACCCCTATGTCCTCCTCGTCCATATTGTCCAGCACTGACCCGCTTCCCAGTGCAAGTGTTCCTCAGCCTCTCACTGCCTCCTCGTCTCGCCGCAAAAAGATGCTCACTCTTACTGAAAGCCACAAAGATCCACCAAAAGTCAGATGTCCGTCTTCATCCGACGACGAGGACCCTCATAGTGGTAAAACAGCCCTGGAGATTCGAACAGTGCCGACCATGCTGGACATTTCCACTCTGTTAACGGTGAAAGGAAGCTCACCTCAGGCCAACCCCAAAGCCAGTAAGAAGAAGAAGCAAACTACGGCTTCTTCTTTGGGATCTCCTTCACGTACTCCAGAGACTGTTTCCAAAATGGCTCACAAAGAGAACGTTCCTGAGAAGAAGCCCCCAGAAACGGGTCTCAATAAAGCTCCTACAGCCCCTAAAACAAACTCTATTGTTAACGGAGTTGCAGAGAAGCCTGCAGAAGCACTGTCCTGTACATCATTTCCTGAAAATATTACTTCCTCAAAGCAGCCGGTTACTGATCAAGCTCCTCCATCTAAGGAAGAAGAGTTTCCTGCTCTTATCTCCAAAAAACCTCCACCTGGTAAGAGGGTTTCTTTAAAGGGAAATTACACAAGATGTTTTCTTTATTGTTTTTTTTTTTTATGAACTGCATGATGGGGAAAAAAGGGAAATCAATGTGATATGGTGGAATTGTCAAATGTCATGTTGGCAATAAGGTAAGTAAATATACTGCTAGTTTCTTTTATGATAGTGTTGTAAAATCTCAAAGTCTCAAAGACATCGTTGGATGTGTTTTCTGCTGAAGATACTGTTGTCCTTAAATAAATAAATAAATAAATAAATAAAAAAATTACATGTACCGTAGGAATGACATAACAGAAACTGTTGTCAGTTTTAAAACCTTGACATTTTCTAATCCCGGTATACCTTGAAAACAGTTATCGTCCCATGTCTACTTGGAATTAGATCAGATTAAAATTGCTAGTAAAATAGTTAAATAGTTATATTGCAAGAAATATTGTCATCATAATATTTGACAACAATATTTTTATTTGTTTATTTATTAAACTGCACAGCCATTAAATGTATACACCCATTTGATAGTGTACATAAATGCATGTTCACAAGAAAGATTATTGTGATACTTGTTTAAACATAAAATATTGTTTAATTCCTTCACAAATCTACTTATAACTTATTAGTGCAAAAATTGGTTGCATTGTTAGAATAATAAGCTGAATTTTGTACTTAAATGATGGGGACTAGTTTCTCCGTAGTATATACACCCATATAAAGACAATATATCAAAATATCTGTTGTTTGTTGTTGTTGTTTTCAGTATCTTGCAGCCCTACAGTGTTCCCTTGTGTTTTCCAGGTTTTAAAAGTGCGTTTCCGTTGAGGAATTCTCAGAGTGCTCTTCCTCCTCCTCCTCCTCCTGGCCTCGGGCCTGCTGTCAGCAAACCTCCTCCAGGATTCACTGGTGTCCCACTCAATAGTAATGTGGAGGATTCTTCAGTGTCCGCTGTTAACAGGTGTGTGATTTCTGTCTCCACTCGCTGTTGCATTTCAAATTGAAGTTTGACTTAAAGGAAAATTTAAATTACCCCAATTTTCTCACTCTCAAGCCACCCATTATGTACATGACTTTCTTCTTTCATATGAAACCTCTAAAAGATTAAGGTATTATGCAACCTTTAAAGGAATAGTTCATCCAAATTCAAAATTTCCACATACATTACTTAATTACTTCAATTCTCAAGACATCTTCCATGTATATGACTTACACAGTCAAGAGTAGTTTTACATTTTACCCTGACTCTTCTATGTTCTATAATGGTGTGGGGTAGTGGCCATTTGGTTGGCGCCTTCAAAAGCTTCATTATAAATCCTGTCAGACTAACCCTTACAGTGATTAGAGTTTCTAACATTAAATATGGGTTATTTTGACCCGGGATTTATGTGCTTCTGGAAGCAAAATAATCCAGATAAATGTTGGATAGCCACTATTACATAAGTTAAATAAATTAAATATAAAAAAGTATTCCTTTAATAGTTACACAATAGCTTGGTATTCTTGATGTTTCAAACTCAGTATTTTAGAGAATGTTGATAATATAATGGTATGCTCTATGAAGGACAGTACATATACTGCATAAATATTAACATAATAATATCGAACAAATAGTGTCAGCTTATTAATTAAGTTGAACAGTTTTTATTATTTCAAATAATAGTTTTCACATTTTTAGTCAAACCATTATAATAAGTGCTTGACCTCACTAGTCATTGTGTTTTCTTTCAGACCAACACCTGCTATTGGATCCTACCTCATACCTGATCATTTCCAGCAGAGAAACATGGACCTTATTCAGTCTATTAAGAATTTCCTTCAAAATGATGAAACCAAGTTCAATGAGTTTAAAAACTATTCAGGCCAATTTAGACAGGTAACTGTTCTCTTTCATAAACGTATAGTTGTCTCATTGTGTAGCACTATTTAAATCTTTTAGTGAAGGAAAAAGATGGTGGCAACTTGTTAACTTTAATTATAATACTTATATTACTGACACAATCTTTAAACAATTTTAACCTTAAATCTTGATGTATATTAAAATCTACTCACCAAATGTTTTGGAAAAAAGTCACAACTGACCAAGTTGCACTAGGTCAAAAATTGCATTGATGGGGAGAAACAAAAATACAGAAAATTTGCATCAGCGTTATATAGCCCTAAATAAAACCACCTTCAAAAATGTTATAAACACATTAGATTAGTTGTTTAAGTTCTATTAATTTGACTGTATTCAAGCAGAAAAACAAATGAAAAATGAGCAAAGCAAATAGAAATTATAGTAAAAGTCACTATAAACCACATTTATTCTTACTCTGAAGCCTTACCAATAAAGTCCTTTTCTACAAGTACGCTCATCTCTTATTCCGCTCCAGTCCAATTATGTATCACTGGGCACATAACCAATCTTACGTTGCACGTAAATTTTTGGCAATAGAAAAAAATACATTGCATGGGTCACAATTATAGATTTTTCCTTTATGTTAAAAAAAAAAAATATATATATATATATATATATATATATATATATATAACTTTTTGATAAGGATAATGCATTGTAAAGAGCTTAATTTGAATTACTTTTAAATGTAATTTTTCTGTATTTAGATTCCAGATTTTCAATTGGCATTTCATCCAGATATTAAACTATCCTAGCAAACCATAGATCAGTGGAAATGCTCCTTATTCAAATTTCAATGAATGCATAAATCTCTATTTCTAAAAAAAAAAGAATGACACTTATGACCAGGGCTTGACATTAACACCCGCCAAATGCGGGTAGATTTCAGCGTGTTAGACAGACACTACCACTAGGCACTTTGGCTGGTTAGAAATAATTTTTAAATTGTAGTTTTCTTAAAATCAGGGTTTGACATTAAGGACGACCCAATATTCAAGCAAATGCGATCTTAGAATCGAGAAGCAGCACGACTGACAAAAATAATGTTCGCGTGAGCAAAAAAAAAAGCAGGTGAATACTGAATGAGAGGATGATCACTCGCGCTAACAGCTGATGTGAGGTGAGCGACTGTTTAAAAAGCGCGACTGTTTACTGCCATGAAGCAACCGTGGCTAGAAATACAACTGATGTTATCGGTTCTCTTTCAAATAGACTGGAATAGACATAAAATGTTATGCTCATGCACCCAGTCTTGCAACTTTCAAGAGCTCCAGATTTGTCTTTTTGTAGACAGCACCAGTTGATTTCGCTTTAACCATTCTTTGAACAGATTCTTGGCCTAACGTTAACCGTGTGCATGTGATCACTTTTTCAGTATCACACACGGTATGTTTTTCACCTGCTTTCTTTTGCTTACTGTTATTTTTGTAATGTGGTTTAACTATCATTTTTTACAATAACATTGCTTTTAAGAAAGAATAACTTGCCATTTATGTGTAGTTAACTGTTGATCTGGGACTTTTAGCCAGGACAGATTTCTGTGCATAGTTTTAGATGCATGATAATAATTAGTTTTTAAAAGTCAATTGTTTTTTTGTTTTTTTTGTTTTTTTAAAGAAATATTTTGTTAAATAAAAAAGTATAGTAAACGGCTATACTTTGTTTTGACACATTTAAAAGTTGCGGCTAAGAAATATTAATGTTTGGTGTGGTCAGAGATAAATTTGGTAAATCCTTCATTTTGAGCTCTGGAAAGTGATGTGAAATGAAAACTAATTGTAAAAAGACACTATGAAACCATAAACCATTTGCTCATAGTTATTATGCAAGCTCATACACGACACCCAAAAAGTGAAATAAATGAGGAGGCATGTGGACATAACAGAATCTGAATCAAGTCATTTTAGCTGTCAAATTTATGCATATAAAATATATTTTCCCAACAACAAATAATGGTTAGTGAAAATGCTGTGTGGCTAGTAATGTTGGAAAACTACTAGCCACAGTGGCTGTTGATCAAAAAAATTAATGTCAAGCCCTGCTTGTGACTTGTTTTGTGCTCATTTTGCACAGGTTTCCTGTTAGATGTAATTGCAATATATGAGCCTCGTTAATGATGTAACCCTCCACTGGTCTCAGTTTATATTAGGTGGTCTTAACTAATGTGCACGTGCATGAAAAAATAAATACAATGTATTTACTGTGTTTATAATTTATTGCAGAACACTTCTGGTGCTCTTGAGGTGGGATATGTGTAAGGTTAGGGACAGGTTTGGTGGTATGGGTAGGTTTAAAGCGTGGGTTATGGTGTAAACAGTGCAATTACAGAAATTAATTTCAGATGTAATTACATGCAGGTCTTTAATTAATCTTAAAAAAGTACAATGTAAAACATGTACTTGCATGATAAGTACACTAACGAATTATTAATTCCCATGTAGGTACATATTAGTTAAGGCCACCTAATATAAAGTGAGACCCATACACTTGGACTGATCACTCATATTTAACATTGATCTCCATTTGTTTGTTTCGTATGCAAATAAACTCTCTTTCCTCTTGACAAGGGTGCACTTCCTGCTGTTCAGTACTATAAAAGCTGCCAAGAGCTTCTGGGAGAGAATTTCAACAGGGTCTTTAACGAACTGCTGGTTCTCCTACCAGACACTCGCAAGCAACAGGAGCTCCTCACTGCCCACGGAGACTTTAAGGCCCTTGAGAAACAGCAGCAGGGCTCCAAACCTAAAAAGAGCAAGAAGAAAGCCTGGCAGACGGGCACCAGCAGCAGCAGCAGCCTGGATCTGGACTGCCAAGTGTGTCCCACGTGTAAACAGGTGCTGGCGCTCAAAGACTTCAACACCCATAAGACCCTTCACATTGGTGATGATGACTTCCCTTCTCTACAGGCCATAAGCAAGATTATCAGCTAGCGGACGTTCACGGCTGTCCACGACAAACACACACACACACACAAGCCTGGTGCTGCACCAGAATAATAAAGCAGGATGCTTGAGAGGATGATGATTATGATGTTTACTCTGATAGTTCAGGTTCAGCAAGTTTTGACGTCACCTTCGATTTTGGGGCAGATTGATCAACCCTGGACGCACGCAGGTAGAGCTTGTTAAACATTTCCAAGAGGTTTCATCTACTTGAAAAGCTTGAGTTCTAACGTTAATTCCTTTTAATGCTCCTCCAGTTGATCATCTTGACTTGTTCTCTTCATCAGGTTTTCCAATGCTGTTAGCATGGTCATTTTTCGTTTTTTTTGTAACGGTAAGGTTGGCTGCCTTTGAAAAATAACCTATTTATTTCAGAACGCTCCTGCCGTGTGATTTGGAATCAATTCATTTCTCATCTCTGTTTACAAACTTTGCAGCGCATCAAAAATAAAATGGTTAATACGTCGAGTTTTCTTACGGTAAGCTATGTTGATCTGTCAACTGGTTCTTGACAAATGACGTTTCTGAATGTTTGTTCGTGCTTTAACACTTTGCAATTAAACTATCAAGCCAGGGAACAAAAATGCATTGCTCAGAACTTTTTAGGCCATCGCGTGACTGTCTTTCAATGTTGTGTTGGTCATTTTGTTGACAGATTTGTGGTGATTCGTGAATAATAGCCATCAATTCAGGACACGTCAATCAGTTATTCTATCTTGTTTCGTCCGTGATCAACATCCTGGCAATGTCTAGCATGTTGTTGTTGTTGTTGTTTTTTTTTCCTCTAATCCTGATCAAATCTGTGCCATTCACAAATAGGACCAACAGAAAATCTTCCAAGCACATCTTTCAAACATGGGGAAACAGAATGACACAACAGGGCAGCTTTTGATAAGAGAGCCTACAACAACAACAAAAATTAGCCTTTTTTTAGCTGCTGTCTATTAATGCTTATTTACAGATGTCGATTTCATTTTTGATATCAAAAATCTGAATGTCTCTAGTGACTGTTAATTTCTGATATCAGGAATGTGATTGTTACTAGTAAAATAAGGAATGGTGGATATCAGAAACACATTGTTGGATATAAGAAATAATGAAATTAACATGTTGAAATATAATTGTCATTTTACTAGTGACAATAAAAAAAAAAAAATTAATTATTGATATCAACAATTCAATTGCACCAGGAAGCCCTTCGGTGTGGAGTTTGCATGTTCTCCTGGTAGCTGCGTGAGTTTTCTTGTATTGGTTTCTAAGGGTTGTACTCTTATTTCTGGGTTGCAGCTGTGTAAAACATATATCAGAGTAATTGGTCTTTCCACCTAGTGATTTCTGATAAATGGAGTCAGCTGAAGGAAAGTGAGTAATGTACTCCTCCTGCTATCAATCAATTTCTTCTTAATATCAATCAGAATTTATACTAATCTGTAATTTTTTTTATATCGATAATTCAAATGTCACTAGTGACGATGTTAATTTCTGCTGTCACGCATGTGATTGTTACTAATAAGAAAGCAAATTTATATCTCAAATCATATTCATATTAGAAATGCACTTCCAGATATCAGTAATAATAAATGTAACATGCTAAAATCCATTTACAGAGATCAATAATTTAAATATATCTCATAATTCACCATGTTACATTTGTTATTTCTACCAGCAGTTAGGAGAGTATTTTCTGATATCAACAGTTACTTGTAACTCGTAAGTCAATTTTACTCGTAACAATTACAATTATCAGAATTGAACATTGTCACTACTGACATTAGAATTATATAGTAGCAATTTATTTTTTACGTCAACAATTTAATTCTTGAGCTAAACAATATGACTATGATGATCTTTAACTGTTAATAATAAAAATATCAAGAATTTTATATTTTACTAGTTGAAATATAATTCTGATATGATGTCAACAATTGAATTTGAGTCAAAAAAGGTTTGTCAAAATGCTAGCTCATGAAATTAGTAGCACAATGTTTGTGCTGGGCTAACATGAGTACCACATTTTATGAACATTGTCTTTTTTGTGTGTGAAAAAGGAAAAAAAGCCATGCGCTTTCAAAGAACAACACCAGGGTGAGTAAACGATGATTCAGTTTTCATCTTCGGGTTGTGTTCTCACAAGTTTTAAAGTTGATAATTCAGTGTCATTAACCATTTAGTGATAGAAGAGCATTGAAAATTTTAAAAGGTGCAGCTTCTAACATAAAAAAGACATTATATGATCTTATTATGGGATGTAAAATAAGCATCGGATGTTCCAGTGTGTATGTAAAGTTTCAGCTTAAAATATCTCACAAATAATATTTTTATACCTCTTTGAATCGGTCCCTTTTAGATTTGATCCAAATTATGCTGTTTTGGTGACTGTCGCTTTAAATTCAAATGAGATCGTGCTAATTAAAAAAAAAGAAGAAAAGGGCGGAGCTACAAATGCATACGTGTTCATCAGAGCATCAGCTGTTGGGCAACATAATGAATTTTTAAGGCTTTTATAGTTGAGAATGTTGCGGTTTAGATTGCAACTATGCCGTTTATTTATAAGGATACTGCCTATTTTAGAATATTCATAGTTTCTGAGAGACAGCGCGTCGGCAGCCATTAGCCTGACCAAAGACGGTTGACACCATCCACAAGATGGCAACAGAGACCCCATAATAAGCCATAAGGACTCCTTTCTACTGCACACGACAAACGACAAGCAACAGTCCGGGAGCTGCGAGAGGTTCCGATCATCTCCATACGTTCGTTCATCTCCATACGTTCGTTCGATCATCTCCAAAATTCGTTGCAACTAGAAAAAACTCTTGCAACTAGACCGTATGCAAACGGCGACCGGATGTGATGTATTCCTGTATTGTACAAGCAGGTCTGTGCGCGCGAGATGAGAAATAGGAGTTTATTTGGTTATTTTTTTTAATTATAAAAAGTCAATATTATAAATAAAAAACATTTCTGTTCATAAATGTAAGTAAGAAAGTAATAAAAATATATATTTTTTAATGTTGTCCACATTCCCCTCCAATATTTTAGCGGTCTATGAGTTTCTAGTATTCATTCATTCATTAAACCATATAATCGCACAGAGAATAAAGGTTCTTGCTTTTGCACTCCTTTATTTTGGACACTGAGAATCAGCTTCTCTCCCATGGTGCACGACAACACTGAAAATACTGTGTGACTGCCGCAAGGGGGCGTATTCCGACAGTCGTGTGCAGTGGAAAGGCCCTTTAGAGGAGAAACAAAATCCAGTGTAATTTTAAACTACAGCTGATAAAATCATTATAAAACTGGTAAGTGATTCTCTAAGTCGATCTCTCTCTTTTGTATGTTGCAGTGCTGTATTTGTACCATAGTAATTGTACAGTGTTGAATGTGAGATGGGACTCATCTTAAAACCGGAGATGGCCATATGTTTTTAACAAGTCTCCTGTTTTTGCTACTGCAGACAAGTTCAGTAAACAGAAAAAAAATGCCTGCTTCTGTTTAGCGTGTTTATCTGCTAGAGTTTGCTTTGCTATGGCTTTTTCGAGGTTAATTATTGTGATATCCCAATTGCAACAGAGAAATACTGGCAAATGTCTGTATAGACTGATGGCATTTCATGCCGTTAAGCCTTGTAATCTTAAAATGTCAGCAAAATCCCGTTTTGTCATCACTTTAGACACGACGATAGTGAATCATTCAAAGAGCTCTAATGTGACGCTGGTGAAGTAGCAACGGTTTCTGCTGTTCTGATGTCAGCTGCAGATGTGAATAAATGGTGGAAAAAAGTAGTTCATCTTACAAAAGTATTTTGAGACTGTTTTTTTTTTTAGACGAGTATGCCGTCGAAATGTTGAATAAACACAATATCACACTCATAGTAGTGCGATGTTGCTGTATATCGTCACTGGTGGGACACTAAGACACAGCCTGCGCCTATTACCAGTGCCAATATACAGCCACATCGCACTGCTACTCGTGTGATATTGCTCATATATATATATATATATATATATATATATATATATATATATATATATATATATATTTTTTTTTTTTTTTTTTTTTTTTTTTAATTTGAGTTTTTTCACCCTCCAGAGGCTGGCTTTATTTAAACACTGTTGCCACATAACTGCTTAAACCACCTCTTAAATTGATTTTTGAATAATAGGTCTCCTTTAAAACAATCTTGTCCGGGTTATTAAAGAAACACATTCAGGTAATTCATTCATGAAAAACATGTCTTTATTTTCATAATGTCTGACAACTGCAGTCCGAAGACGATCTGACTGACGACAACAACAACAAATCTTTTTGTGTACATCTTTCAATCACAAGATGGGATATATTGCCTGCAGATACAGTGTTTAAAAAGAGCCACGGACAAGGTCAAGGCATTTTTTTTTACTGATGCAAAGTTTGCTCCTTCAAAATAGAAAAACCAAATAAATTGACAACTCATTTATCACCTATGCTTTTCAGAGGTGCAAATTTTGACCCAGTAAAACATACCTCAGTAAATGACTGTGAAACTGTCCCGTAACGTTGGTCCATGAAGCACTTTTTTATTTTATTTTATTTTATTTTTTTAACAGGAGTGCAGAGTTACAGGAAACACAAGACCCTGATCACTTTCACAAACATACTCCATTTATATGAACTGAAGTACAATCACTATCATTTGTGTATGCTGCCCTATATCTCTGAACACAGAAACATCACCAAAATCTACCACAGATCAGACAAAGCACTGATGATGGTCACCAAAACACCTTCTTCTTTTTTTTAAACTACAGCCAAGTGACGGATTGCTGAAGGGTGTCCAAAACGCATCACTTTGAATAAAACTCAAACGTACACTGCTCTTCAAAAGATTGAGGTCAGTACATTTCTTTTTTCATTTATTTCATCTTAAATGCAATAAGAACAATGCAAAATGTATGAAATTTAGAAGAATGGCTTTCTATTTGTCACATTGTTTCTTTTTTTTCAGCATCATTAATCCAGTCTTAAAGGTCTCATAAAATTCAAATAAAGTTTTTTAATTGTTAGTATCAGTATTATTCGTTTTTAGGATATCTGGAAGCTAGGGTGCTCCAAAACAGTGACAAAAATTCTCATTTAGAAGATATAAAACTGATATCAACATGTAAAGCTTGTAGTTCAGATGTCACTTCCACCTAAATGTATCAACTTTTTTTGTCAACTCATAGAGACTCATAAAAAAACACATATTTCAAAGCACTTTATGAGATCTTTAACTGTCACACAATTCTTTAGAAATCATTTATATCATGTCATAATATCATGAGTTTAAGCTCAAATAAAACATTTAAAAGAATAATGCTGCAAAAAAATAAATAAATTACATTTATTCACCCTCAGGCTATCCAAAATTTTGGTGACTTTTTTTCTTTGTCAGTAAAATATTTATGAAGATTTTTTAGCTGAAATTGATCTTTGGGGATTCAAGGAATGCAACTCAAAAGCTAAAAAGCACTTTGAATGTCAAAAAAAAAAAAAAAAACATTCAGGCAACACAAAATTAATAGCCACGACTCCTGATTTTACATTGAGGATTAATGCTAATAATGTTGTTAATAGTGTTTAATTCCTTGTTCAGACCAACTGAATTTTTTTTTTTTTTTTTTTGATTTGTATGTATCACTATCAGCAGCGATCTAGCAGTTAAAGATCCCTGGAGAACTACAAATACCAACATGCACCTCACACACACACCAGTTTTAGTTCTCTTCCTGATTGCACACACACAGATGGAAGTTCATCATAGACCCCCTTTCTTTTCTCCCGACTGAGAGTACTGAGGGTGGACGGAGGAGCTGAACACAGTGCCGAATGAAACTTAATGAAGTTTCTGAACAGGTAACAGGTACTGTATGTAGGTCAATCAGGAATTTAGTGTGTATAGTGTCAATTGTCCGCTTGAGAGATAAGAGGTAATGTACGTATTAGGGGCCGATCACATCGAACGCTTTTTTGCCTTGAGAGCACCTTTTTTAAATGAATTACTGACAGCAGCAATTGTTTTGCGTGCTGCTTATGCGCTCTGCGCGCCTTGAGTTTTAACCGCCTGCTGCGCCCCTCATTTTCGCCATTGCACGCTGTGCGCTCGCAGTTAAAAAAAGTAAACTCTGAACAGAAAAGTGCAGTGTTTGTGTTGTCGAGACAACTACGGAGACTTTTGAAGACAGAGGAGAGACTAGTGGTTACTATTTTGAGTTATTCAGTGCTGAATGACTTCACTAATCTTGAACATAACAATATTAATACATTTTTAAATTGAAAAACCATCGACAGCAACACTTGCGCACAATATGCAGCTGATTCAGTTGTTGCCTAACGACATAAAAAGCACACCTCACTTATTTATTTTGTCAACAAAAAGGCATTGCAGTGCGCCTTGTGTTTTTGTAACGTAAAAGCATGTTTGTTGTGATCAGCCCCTTAGTCTGCAATCCGTCGTAAACAAGAAGACACATTGCTATGTCTTTTTCCCCTGTAACATTTCTACGGTTTCCTTGCCTTGTCCTTCCGTGGTTTTTGATCTTTGCTTTGCTTATTGTTTTATGTTGTTTTGCCACCTATCCCGACCATTCACTGCTTCGCTGATTACACTTTTAGATTATGCTACTGTTTGTTCCTGTTTGATCATTGTCTGTCTGACTAAGCTATCAATAAAGTCCATTTGGAACCTCAACTCCATTGTACCCCAAATCCTATCTTACAGTAAGACTGAACTGAGTGTGGCCAGAAGCTATAGTTATTAAATTTGCCTGTTTGTTTTTTGACTCTGAAAGGAACACAGATTAATCTAAAAATCATCATTTGTGTTGGAATGAAACAAACAAACAGAAACAAACTCGCATATTGTATGGTCTGAATTAAATTAACAGCATTTCGTTTTCTTCAGATTTTGATTGAACAATACTTTTAATACATCTACGCTGAATATGTTTTATATACAGTACTGACCACAAACGTTCGAACAACAGTTCATTCAAATTTGAAAGATGTGTCATTGTCCAAGGTTGTGATAATCATATTTGTAACTGATCAATTGTAAAGTGTCATCTTTTAAGTGCGATAAACTTAATTTAATCTTAATATTTTAATATTATAATATTAATATTTCAGACATTGTAAGAAACAAAACAAAACAATCCATTAAAAATAAAATCCCGCTTCATGTCTGAACACGTTTAGTGGCTTCACTGAATCAACCTCTTCTTATACACACTTTTATTACATAAGACACCCTTATCTACAGCGAACTCTGTTCTCTTTTAGGAAGACCACCTCTCGCAAGTGTTTAACTGGCGAATATTTCAATAAATGTTTGGTGACTCCATGTTTCAGATATTGCACTTTATATACAGTACCCAACAGCGGAACATGGAAACTGAATATATAAGTTATAGATTGTGATGCATGGCACTTCATAAGCTCTCTAAATACAACACATGCAACCCTTTCTCGCTTTGAAACAACACTGCTAACCCCCTCCCATCATCGGTTTCATTCCGGCTGATAAATTAACACATAATATTCCAAACGAAAGTGAAATCACAATCAACATATTCTTGTACAGAAGTTCACAGAACGGTTACTACCTATGAACATTGTCACACCACTTCAGTTTGAAGACCAGGGCCTGTGGCATCGCACGGGGGACTCTGGCTTCAGTAGATTGGCACCTGGTAGGTTGGCGCGGTGGTGTCCAGGTTTTCGGTAAACGGTGCGCTCTTGTATGTGTCGTTGGGTATGGTGTCTGGGCCGGTGGGATACGGCTGGATGGGTGGGTTGCCGTCAATGTGCTCAGTGGTGAAGAGGGTCATGTCGGTCCCTAGCATGTACTTCTGCACCGCTCTTACAGTCAAACCAGCCTGAAATACAAAGAGGAGATGATTAAAAGTCAAATAATACACTGAAATTTACTGAAATTTCAACATGTCCTCCAACTTGCTCTGTGGAAGTAAGCTTTTCTTTGTGACTGTTTGAAAAGTTCAGATTTAGTTGTCTACATAAGACTAAATGACTAGGAATAACTAACAAATTATTCTACAAACAAGTGTTTGTATAACAGTATATATAAATAAAAATACCACAATTACAAAATACCAGTTTTCAACATCAAGTGGCATAATAAGCTGGTTATTAAAGCTAAAAATCGATGGACGTGAATGAGATGGAAGTCTAAAGCCAATAAGGTTCCAGAATAAGGTGAATAGGGCCCCTAACACAAACAATAAATACCAAAAATAAGACTTAAAAATAGTGCTTTTGTAAATGCCTAAATTTGTGTATCATGTTGCTCGATTATTAGAGCATTGTGTTGTAGACGCACAATAATCATTAGTTGGCGGTTCATTCCACTGTGGTGACCCCAGATTAATAAAGGGACTAAGCCGAGAGGAAAATGAATGAATGAATAAGTCTTTGCTAAATAAAAGTACCAATTTATAATAAAAAAAATTACTTTATAATATGAATCACTGAATTATTCCAAACTTTTGATTCTTAAACATGAATAATTTATATATAAGTTAATAAAGATCCAAACAAGATCTGAATTTAACTCTTGTTTTTATTCTAAGAAATGGCTTAGCTTCTTCATGGTTTCGTTCACATCAGGACACTCCACCAAGCACTATTCTCATCCTCATTGACGGCCAGGGAAAAGGAAGTAATTGTATTATACGTTCCCAAATCCCCCGAGGACTGAAAGCCGTATGTAGAGCAAGCTAATGTCGATGAGAAGGGTCACGATGATGTAACAACTTATACTCAAATGGACTGAAATGGCAATTACTCTCATAAAAAGACAATAAATGTGCTTTTATTTGTTGAGTTACCCAGGTGAAGATGGAGAAGAAGGAGAAGGTTATGGCAGCTCTGGCAGCATCCGCTCCCTGATTTAAGGGCAGCTCGTCTGTGGTGGTGCGTTGCCACTGGTTGGCCAAGAAGCAGAAACCAACAAACCACAAAAACGCCCAGAAACCTGTGAACATACAAAAAGATAAGAACCATGCAGTTTAAAGAATGACAATAATAGACTGCTTATTAAAATAACACTCCACTTTTTTTGTAAAAGTCTCATTTTACAACTGCCCTATGGAGTTAAACAGTTAAGTTTTACAATTTTTTAATCCATTTAGCCAATCTCTGGGCCTGTACTAAGCACTTTTAGCTTAGCTTAGCATAAATCATTGAATCAGATTAGACCATTAGCTAAAATAAAATAATAATAATAAAATAAAATTCCAAAAAGTGTTTTGATCATTTTCTTACTTAAAGCCTGATGGAATATACTAATGAAAATTGAAAAGTTGCAATGTTCTAGGACGATATATGGCTAGGAACTATACTCTCTTGATTACTGCGCCAGAATCAGAGAACAGTTCCTAGCCATATCGGCCTAGAATTTTCTGCTGCTAGGATTTTAACAGGCACAAGGATTGGATGTCACATGTCACCAGTATTAGAATCCTTGTAGAAAGAATTGGCTCCCAGTTAGATTAAGCATGGATTTAATAATTATAATGCTTGTAAAGCTCTACATGGCCTAGCACAGGGGTGGGCAATCTCTGTCCTGGAGGGCCAGTGTCCTGCACAGTTTAGCTCCAACCCTATTCAAACAGATCTCCCTATAGAGTTCAAATGATCTTAAAGACACTGATTAGTTTGTTCAGGTGTGTTTGACTAGTGTTAGAACAAAACTCTGCAGGGACACCGGCCCTCGAGGATCAAGTTTGCCCATCCCTGGCCTAGCACCACATTACATCACTGAACTGTGCATCCATACACTCCTAGCCATAGATTCCATTCATCTCGAGCTATTGGTGATTAGGCTTTTTCCACCTATGCCCCTGTCCTCTAGATTCTAGAATTATCTGCCTCCTGAACTTCAATGGGAATTCAGAATTATGATACTTTTAAAGTTCACTAGAAAATATATATACTTTTAAGCTTACTTTTACTGGTGGATTTTGCATTTTATTGTTGTTAGCAGAGTGCTCAGCACATTAAGAAACTGCTTTTAAAGGTGCTATGAAAAAAAGTTTATTATTATTATTATGTAACTACAGAAGAGGTAACTACAACCTTTAAATAGGAAATGTATTATTAAACACTTATTTAAAATGTTAACAATATGCTAATGGCCTAATCTGATTCAATGATTTATGCTAAACTAAATGTGCTGAGTACCCAGAGATCAGCTGAATGGATTAAAAAGGTTATAATTCAACTGTTGAACTCTAGGAGAGCCTATTTTCGACAAACCACAAAAATGCCCAGAAAAGATAAGAATAATTCAGACTAAATAATGAAAATGACAGACTGCTTGTTAAAAGAACACTCCACCTTTATTGTAAATAGGCTAATTTTTTAATCCCAAAAACATTTGAGCTTTACAGTTTTTTAATCCATTCAACCAATCTCTGGGTCTGGAGTGAGCACTTTTACCTTAGCTTAGCATAAATCATTGAATCAGATTAGACCATCAGCAAAAAAATCCAACGTCTTTCACATATATTCGGAATATGCATGTGTAAGTAATATGAATCATTCAGCATCATTGCAAACAATCATGTTTACAGCAGTGTGAGTGATAAATATGAATTTGTAGCTAAATCGTTAGCGGTGCCAAACAGCATTTCCTGTTGTTTACATCTTTGCTACAGCATACTGTAACGCTAGACACTGTACAAGTCATGATCATTTTTAACAAATAAAAACACTTACAGGTTGTGGCTATGAATCTACAGCTTCTGCTTGTTGGAGCTGCTCCTTCTTTGAGGAGATTTTAACTGAATCCAGCACTGAACTGGGAAAGATTCTGGAAGCTGTTTTGTCAAATCATGCTTGCTATGTATTTTATAATTCTCTGGAACATAATTAATATTGAACTGTTAGCACTTCTGTCTTTATGTCGTGTCCTTTGGAAGCCCAAATACAGAAACAGATAAGCTCTGTGGAAATAGCAGCGTTTGGACAGCATTTCAGCTCTCTCTGCTGTAACATTACAGCGCCTCTGGCCACGCCCCTTAGCTGTGCAGTGTGTGTGCTCTTTGTGATCTCACTGGCCCGGAAGTATTTTTTTGTAGTCCCCAAAATACGTTCATTGTAGGCTTTGCTAAGCTAACCCTGTGAAAACCAAGGTCTCCCTTTGCATTGAACTTTGAGCATTTTACATTCAGAGATGCTGTTTATGTCCACACAGCTACATTACACATCAACTAAAGTTTAAAACATGATATCGTAGTGCACCACCCCTTTAAGAGTGGTAATCCTGGAATAAAGATGTTATTCTCTAAGTGCAACCGAACCAACGCTGATGAAAGCAATGTAGTTTAATCAAAAAGCAAACTGAGCATGTGCGCAGAAAAAAAACATAACCGCACGCCCTAGGCATGCACCTCTCCTGCTTGACACTGACATGCTGCTCTGCTCTCAGTGTAAAAGTCCCGTTTGTGAACATGGACGCTGAAAATATAGCCGCGCCGCTCATGCGTTGTGAAGCCGGCGTAATAGCCTTTTATGCAGAGGTGTCGGCACATAGTGAGTTTTGCAAGTTTGCAAAACAAAGTTTAAATAATATGATGGTGATCTTATTTAGATTAAGCATGCCTCCTGATTTTTTTTTGCATGAAGCTAAAAAGAGGGAGGATGGGTCAGGGAGGACAGACTTAATAAACCTAATTCTCAGCCATGAGTCGGGTCTAAGACAACACACAACAGATAATTCTAGAAAACATTATAAAACTTTTTTTTTTGTATTCTATAGAATTGTCTAATCCGATTCAATGATTTGTGCTTAGCTAAAGGTGGATCTCCAGATCCTGGAGATTGGCTGAATGGATTTAAAAAAAATGGTAAAACTCAACTGTTTAACTTTAGGAGAGTTGTAAACTGATCTGAAAAAAAGAGGACTTTTGCTTTTGATGTACTGTGATGCTGATTTGGGTTAAAGCCTCTACTCAAATGAATTGAGAAAACTCTCCCGATAGCTGTTGATGATTACTGTTTAGTAGGGATGTAACAATATTGTAAATACCGCAATAGCAATTTCTTTCAATATTACCGTGGTTGTGACTCAATAAAATCATAGGTCTTTTGGTGAAACATTTGCTCAGGCGAATGGAGCAAATGAAAGGTAGTGGAAACTACAATTTTCATCAGCCCAGGCGTGGCCATCATCCTTTGCGGTCTGTTGTCGCTACAGATCCAGTAATGCAGCAATGGAGGGTGCTGCTAGTAGCGGCCAAGTAAAAGAGCTAAAAATGGTCAAACCTAAAGCTGGTTTTAAATCAGATGTGTGGAAGCATTTCAGTTTCTCTCAGAAAAGAAACAAGAAAGAAGAAAAGGTGACAGAAAAAAAGGGTATGCAGGCACTGCCAGACTGTGCTGAAATACAAGTCGGGGAATACGACTAACATGATGGGGATTCTTTTAGTCAAGGGGACAACAGAACACAGCACACTGCTCAGATTGATGGAGACATTGACTTGTACCACCAAGAGACCTCTATCTCACTCATGGCTTGTCCTTTCGAGTGGTGTTTTTTTTACATGGTTTAATATTTTTTGTTATTAAAATTCAAAATTAAAATTTAAGTTCCCGTTTGAAAGTTTACAAATAGATAATTTGTATGTCATTGATCTGTTCAGTGTTGAGGTAACCTGAACATTCTAGCACTTTTTTTGAGTCTCTTCAGTAGTTTTGTTTTTCCTTTAAATGATTTAATAAATACTGTACTGTGCCATTCATACCGAGTTATTATCGTATTGTGAAATTTTGATACCGTTACATCCCTACTGTTTAGTCATGTTGCACATTAAAGCTAATCTTTTCCAGCATGATGTTTACTACAGTCACCAGACTTGTTGCATTCCAGACACCAATATTAAAATGGTTTAAAAAGATGAATCACTGTGTGACCATCTGAAAATATACATGGATATAAACATTACAATCATATTTTATTCTAATCATGTGTCAATTTTGTTGTTTTACATTAAATTAAAGTGCAATACAGTACAGAATTAACGCCATGAATTATTGCCAGATAGCACACTGTGAAATCCACCAGTCAACTTTATCACATGAAATGAGTGTAGTTAACTCAAAATTGACTGAAAGTTAATTCTACTAATTTAAAAAGAGTTTTGAACTCAGTGTTGAAGTTAATGAGTTCATTAGATACCTCATTACTTCAACTCAAATGTATTAAGTTCATAGTACTCATTAAGATTAGCTTTTGAACCTAAATGGTTTGTTGCAATCGGTTTCCTCAAATGGTTTGAGTTGCCTTAACTTATTGGGTTTTACAGTGCATGAACAATTTACATCTTAAAAATAACACACACTTACAGAGAGTCTGAGTGTGATTTGGCTTTGGCTCTCATTGTTTACCTGAAAATCCAATGTCCAGCATCACTGCCTTCTTCCGGTCTTTAATGCTGCTGATTTGCTGGAACTTGATGTCAAGGATAATGAAGAAAATACAGGCTAGAAATGCTATGAGGCCAATGGTGGTGCCGTAGTTGCAGGCGTTGTTGTTCTTGTTGAAAACGCAGTAGAGCCTCTGACTGCCGTGGTTGACGTAGCCTTCATTTATTATAGATCCAAACACCACCATTGAGAAGATCTGCCATGAGAAAGATATGCATGCATGATCCGTTAAATACACGTTACTGTAAATGACATTCAATCAATTACATTTTGTACTCTTGGAGTTTCAGACTGTGACAGATGCATCCTATAAAGTCACTTTAGACTTCTAAAACTACTTTTTTTGTTGTTGAATTTTTATGTTTTTTTAATTTTTACACTTTTGTCTAATCTTTAACTACATATGAAGAGTTCAGATGCAAAAACCTCTAGGTGCCGTCAGAAATTTCTATCGAAAATATGTATTCTCAGCCGCTTTTGATTAGGTTGAGATATTTCACTTTAAAGACCAGAAAAAAAATTATTCTTTCCCATAAAAGTGATATTACTGAACATTCACACAGGAGCCTGATAAAGATACTCATTTTAGAGGAGCATTTTAGACGCCAGTTAGAGGTTTTTGCATCTAAACTCCTCACATTTTCATTTAAAAAAATATTTCTTACTATAGTCTGCAGGACTATTAGGTGAAAAAAATAAACTTGACTTAAACAGTGAAAATTAAAAAATTACAATCCCTAAATTGTGCACAATTTAGACAAGAAAGAATTTTTTTTCCATTTCACTCTTTTATGCTATAAAATCTTTCACTGTTCCTCCTTTTTCACCCACAAAAAAGTTAATCAACATACATACATACATACATACATACATATATATATATATATATATATATATATATATATATATATATATATATATATATATATATATATATATATATATATATAATGTTCAAGAACATCTAATCATCTGTGTGCAAATATAAATAATAAATTATAATAATACATTTCAGTTACAAATTGAAACATGAAGCTGCACAGATCTGACCAGCACATTCAATGAACATAATGCATTGTAACAGCTATCAATCAATATTTTCCATTTGCAGGGCCAACATTTCCTATAACTATATTTATAAAGATTATAACTATATTTTTTAAAATACATAAAGACCTCTGACTGAAGAGATGCAATGCACAAAGCAAGGTCCACGTGATGTGTTTGTCTGATGCAAATAAAATCAAGTGGAAGTAACAGCGCACGAGCGTATAGTAATGCAACAGCCAATCAGAATCGAGGCGCCGGTCATATAGAAGCAGACTGTGGCTGTGGCTAAAAACCCAAGCGTGCTGCCTAGCTAGACAGCATGAAGGGAATCAAGCTCAAACACACTCGATGCTTCAAAATGAGGCAGCTTATTATGTTTGGAGACACACTTTAATGATGTTCTTACTGGAAAAAAAACGTATTGCATAATAAGAAACGCTCACCCACGACAAGAATATATGTTTCTTTAATATTGACATATTGCTTTTATGGCTATTTAAATTATCATTTCTGTTTTGAAGTCACGCCTAGCGATAAGTAAGCAAATTGAAAACTATAATACACAATATCATAATGGAATTATTAACGATATAATCTCAAAATAAGAGTCGAAACATCATGCAGTAGCGCGTGTGTTGATTATATTAATGCTTTTATGTGTTATTATTCGGGCATGAATCACATGAGTAACCTCGTCACCGGAGGCAAATACGCTTCATGACATCAATACGCCGATATTTCCAATATAAACGAAATTTCACCTTACATCCCCCAAATCTATCCACATTCATGCGAGCGTCAAATTTCCCAGTGACCCCATTTAATTATTAAATGAGCGCGGCTAGATTTTTGATATGCTCTGGGTTGTTCTCACAGACGATTAGTCTCTTCTAGGCTGTTATTATCATGTGTGGGTGATTAAATGTCTTACCCATGACAATATTCTGAGGATGGTCTGCGGCTGTTGGATGAAGGCAAAAGGGTCGAACGCAGCCCCGGCTCTCCCAGCGCCAAATGAACCCACTCCGTCCATTTTCCTCCTACTGTTATTCAGGCTCTGGGCTGTGGGTCGAGGTAGGCACACATACACACATTTACACAGACACACACACACACACCCCGCTGCCTGTCAGAGGCGTGCGCAATCTCTCTGTGATTCTGAGTGTTATATTGTCTCAACAGCAACATCTACCGACTACATCGCTTCCTCAGCTGGGAGACCGCTGACTTCTCATGGCAAGACTGGGTAACATCACTACTAGCAAGTGGGCCAGCCAATAGGAGATATTTGGTGAGTTTGCAGAATGTTTTGACAAGGATACTATTTTAATATACTGCTTTTAAGCAAGCAAAATATCAGGTGGTGACTTTGTGGAACAGATATTTTGAAGAAAAAAATTAAAAGCCACATATTTTACCCCTTTTTCAAGATTTAAGAGAAGTCTTTTGTGTTTTCAGGATGTGTCTTATAGTTTCAGCTCAAAACACCCATCAGATTATTTATTATACCTTTCAGAGTATTGGAATTTTCTGCTCTGGACACCATGTAGCTGTTTTTGTTGCCTGTGCCTTAAATGCTAGTTCATCCGGCCCACCGTTACCTCGTGCCTGTCAAGAGTGTGCCTCAATCTCCGGCTGCATTGGATAAACAGCACAGTGACAGACATGAAGGAAGCAGATCTCATGTAAAGTTTGTGAGAAATACTACAGTAACAACTTTCCCAGTGATTATTATTGAATGTATTTGTTGTGGAGTTATTTCAAGCCTTTCTGCAATGATGAGTCACACACAATGTCATTACAATGTTCACGCTCACACAGTGCGCATGTTTAACTTTGCACTGTTTTGACTTGACAAATGTGACAGGATATACATTAATATCCACTGCTGTATGAATATATCGTGATGTTAATGTACAACATAAACCTGATTTAACGTCCACAAACCAGGATTGAAGCGCCTTCTTTTATAATTGTCCTGACATGTGGCTGTGGTGATAAAGATGATATAATCGCTGTAATTCATTACAAACATGCACTGTTATAAAAACTTTTTAAACTTGTAAAACTCATTCTTGATCACATTTGATGATGATGAATGATCACAGAGAGGTCAACAGATCTTTTAATCCCAGTTGCATTGCGCACTCCTGTCTTGTTGATATGATTATACACTGTCAATCAATTTGGTGGGTGGTAAAACTGCAATCTTAATGGACCCACCCTCAAAATAGGAGGGATTTGGATTAACGTCAGGTGATTATAAAGAAGAGGCTTATTGAGTTTCTGTCACCCCAATATGACTTACACAAGATGATTTTCATCATTGGAGCCATTTAAGAGATTTTTTGTGCAAAAAAAGTCGCTAGGGGTTCAATGTAGTTTGGATTAAAAAAATAAATTGCTTCTTTCCTCTCTTCATGAGGAAAGCAATGTTGCTTAGACACAAGCACAACTGTTTTGTTTAGGAATGTGATCTTGATGCAATTCGACGTGGCCAAATTTACTTGTTTCACCCCTTCCTGTATAATTTAATAATTCTGTAATAATTTATTGAGATCTCCAAGCACACTTTTAAGGGACCTGTAAAATGGCTTAGAATGAAAAACAAGACAAAACATCTTAAATATGTTTTGACAGATATACTTAAAGTAAAGAAATAAGCATTCTTTTCATTACTGCATAATTTTCATTATATAATAATATTTAGGACTTTTCATCATAGCCTAATTGTCATTATTTGGGGGGGGGGGGGGGGGGGGGGGGGTTCAAATATTTTTGACAATACAGGAGCTTGGATTAAAAAAAAAAAAAAAAAAGCTGTTAAGAACTGCTTTAAATAAATAGACCATCTTTATTTCCTTCTGTGGGACAGATATCAAAGTTTATACAGTCTGGGCTATTTACTTCCACTTGAGAGCTCCACAATCCAAAAACAAGGTGTTCACACCATACCGTACTCTTGATTAAAAGCACAACATAGACATTTCTATACTGCTAAATCATTACATCAATTAGAACAAGTATAAAGTGCGATGTCAACATATGTCTGATTCCTGATTGGCAATTCAGCCTGCACTCACTGCATCAGAAATACCAGGTCCACAGAATCAGCATGTGAAAGCATTTCACTCGTGTTCATGACAGTGTCGGAGGTTTCAGTCACAAGATCCGTCCTTCCAGCCGTCTCTCCATCGCTCATCCACCCTGCTGCAGTCGAACTCCGGCTTGCCCAACCGGATGTTGATGTCATTATGGAGGCGACACAGCCACTGTGACAGCTTGTGCCGGCTGCCTGCATCTGGTCTATTAGTTTTCAATCTGACAGGACAAAATCAATGAGTACAATGACATCAGTAATCGAAATATTTACCTTATTCGGAATAAGAAAATATCAATGTGTTTACATGAGTTGCTTTTAGAATATTCATTTTAAGGGTCTCCAAGAGAGCTCAAACACACTCCAAGTTAAGAAAACAAATGCATATAGAATAAGACAGGAGAAAACTACTTCATCAGTTTGACAACACATGCAAATATAGAAACATGCTCCAAAATAGACCAGACCATAAAACAGAAATGTGTAGGTCAGAGGTGTCCCAAGTCTGTCCTGGAGGGATGGTGTCTTGCTGACTTTAGCTCCAACTTGCTTCAACTCACTTGCCTAGAAGTTTCTAGTAAACCTAGTAAGAGCTTGATTAGCTAGTTCGGGTCTTTGATTAGGGTTGGAGCTAAACTCTCCAGGATTCTGGCCCTCCAGGACCGAGTGTGTACACCCCTGGTGTAGGTGGACACTAAAAAGTGACTGCTGCTTCCTGTTTAGAGTCAGTGGAACTGTCAGAGATCTCAGAGGTGATGTTTTTGTTTATTTGAACACCCAGGTCATATCATTCATTCATTCATTTTCTTTTTGGCTTAGTTCCTTTATTAATCTGGGGTCGCCACAGCGGAATGAACCGCCAACTTATCCAGCATATGTTTTACGCAGCGGATGCCCTACCAGCTGTAACCCATCTATGGGAAACATCCATACACACTCATTCACACCCGTATACTACGGACAATTTAGCTTACCCAATTCACCTGTACCGCATATCTCTGGACTGTGGGGGAAACCGGACCCTGGTCATATCATTCCTTGATATTTGTAGTTCTGAGTAGCTCTTGTTGACATGGCATTACAGTAACATTTCATTTAATGTTAATTGTGCACTTTGACAGATCATTAGAGCTAAACACATACAAACAAGGGACAGTACATTTATGGAGTTAACTCTGTGTTGTTTGCATGTGTTGTTAAGAGTTTGCTTGTGCATGTTGTCAAACTGATGAAGATGTTCACTCAATTTGTGAATGTTGTTTTATCTTGAAAATTGTTTGAGCTCTCTCGGCCACCACACGTTGCAGGTTATAGTAAATACTAGAATGGCACATGTCATTATGTCCCTATGTGATGCCATCTGACTGATTTTCAAATATCAACATACAGTTCATCATCTTTATGGTACCATATACAGTTTTTAATTTTAGGAAAGCATTTATATGTGGAGTGAAAAATGTGTAAACTAAAGGCCAAAAATCTAGCTGTGATGATACAGTATGTTAATGCTTTGAATGCTGTCAAACCAAGCTCATGCAGCAATGATGGAATTAAAGCACTGTGTGCTTGTGTTTGAAAACTTGATGTGATTTATTCCTGTGTGATGTGATTGGATAGGACTGATTATTCTACTAAGCCAATCACAGTAGGCAAGAAAAAAATAGAGTAGTTACTGCAGGTTGAAGGAAAATACGACAGTAAATGTTCTAATACAGTACTAAAAATGTACTTGGATAAAAGTACACATTTTAAAACTACTCGGTAATTAATTCCTTAGAAAAACTATGCAATTACAGTGATTTGTGCATTTGCAATATGTTACTTTACACCATTGGTCATGCTATACATGTAAACCAGGGGTGTCCAAACTCGGTCCTGGAAGGCTGGTGTCCTGCAGATTTTAGCTCCAACTTGCCTCAACACACCTGCATGGATGTTTCAAGAAAGCCTAGTAAGAGCTTGATCAGCTATCCCAGGTGTGTTTGATTGGGGTTGGAAGTAAAATATGCAGGACACCGGCCCTCCAGGACCGAGTTTGGACACGCCTGATGTAAACAGACCTTAGTAGAAACAAATTCTGCCCTCTCAGCCATGTCGTCAAACTTTTGATTACTGCTGTATCACTGTGCTGTAACCAAAAATCCTACATGACAGTAATAAAGTGATATATGCGTACATGTCTATATACCACACTTTGATAATATGAGTAAAATAGCACTACTCCAGATGAGTGAATTACACTTGTGTTTACTTTGAGTATAACTTTCTGTATTAATGTTAATAAAAATCTGTTTACATGGTAGAGATCGTTAATCAGAGAGCTACATTTAATATCAGAATTGTTGTCCATGTAAACAAACTGACTGAATCATGTGCTGCTGAAAACAGCAATGGACAAACATGAAAACCACAGCAATTAAAGATGAAGACCTTGTTCTCAGGTCTTCTGCGCATTCATCACATGGGAAAACCTTAGAGAAAAGGTTGATGAACTGCGTCATCTCGAGCTGCTGTTCTGTGCTCGGTGCATCTGGATAATACGCAGCCATAGTGTGAAGAAAAGACCACGAGCTCCTACCCAGCTCCTCGCGGTCCAGCGGACATTCAACAGGCTTCAGCTCCTCCACCGGCCTGCTCTCCTGTACAACATATCACGTTGCATTTTACGATTATATTCATGTTTTATATCACATTTATTTTAATATTGTTGCTGAGACTCTGAGGTTCCCTGGTTGAAAACCACTGTTAGAAAAAACAATATTAAAATAGATTTTATATAGTGCAGTGTTATAGTAACCAACGTATTAAATTAATGATTATTTTTACACATCAACTACAACTGACATGATTGTAATATCAATAAACTCCCTCACATCCCCAAATAGGTCATTTAATTTAAATAAACAATATACCAATTTAAAGGGTTCATAAACATTTGACTATTAAAATTAAATGACTTTTCCATGACTATCAAGTACATTTTCATAACCTAATGTTTCATGTAATGTCTACGTATACATGGTAAATAATAAGAAAAACAATGCACGTTCAAAATTATTACAGCATATCATAAAACATGCAACGATCTATTTATTTTAAATGAATCTTTATATCTATGAAAAATGTATTTAGTAAATGTTCACACAGCACTGATAATGTGAGAGGATGTGTTTGGCCATGGACAGAAACGAAGTAAAGACCACTAACCTATATTTAAGTATACAGATATTTGTTAAACTAATTTCCATGACTTTTCCCAATCTTTGTGGGTTTTTCTGATTTTCCAAAACTTTTCCAGGCCTGGAAAATGCCATGTCAAAATTCCATGACCGTCTGAACCCTGAATATATTATATCTTTATGCTACATGTTTCTTTAGCAAAACTGTAGAGAAAATATCATATGTCATATTGATTTCATGTTTTTTTTTTAGCATTCATTATCTAAATTGTTTTAGTGTTAAAGTGTATGTTTCTACATTTATATCCTATACTTAATCAATACTTAATTCCCCAACACTTATTTTTCATTTATATTCTATACTTATTACTTAAATACTTGTTAAATATTTATTACCCCACTGAATAAACATTTTATAACCACATCAACCATAACTTTAATAAAAATATTACCCCCACCGCCCGAAACAGTTGTCAGCCATATGAGCATATGAATATGAAGTTAGGGAATACTCAAATACCTTCTGACATGTCAAATCCACACCTTTACAGAGGCAGCTGTATTAAAAAGTACAAGTCCAAAACACTGCTATTCTTTTGATTGTTCACAATTAAAGCAGACATCGTGTTGGACATTTTAACGTTATATCTAAACAGAATTTTCTTGACTTCATTCATAATTGTTCACCTGCACCGAGGCTGAGGACGCCTGTTTCTGTAACTTCATCCATGACTTAAAATCCGTACAAGCTCGGCAAGGTTTCTTTTTCGTCTCTCCGGTAGTGGTCTGGTCATTACTCGTACTGTCCTCGGGTGGTTTGCCAGCCACGGGGAACGGGAAACCCTCCATACCCGCGCTGCTATGTGGAGACGACCCGTGTGCAGCTGCCATGTTGTTATGTAGGAGGGTTGCCAGATCTCTGTTAAATAGCCATCCTTTGGGCGTGGAAAACTTGCATAAAACTAGCCCAATCTTGACTAAACAAGTCAAAACTCGAAATATGCCTCTTCACATACACGTGCTCATAATACACAAGTATATATATTTTATAGTCACACGCGAATATTTCAATGTATGTAATCAGAGTTAGTCAAAAAAGCATCTTGCCTTATTTTTCATCAGAATATTATTAGATACAGGAGTTTTATTTTATTTTACTGACACTCAAAGAGCCAGTTCCAATATATGAAAAGGGATCATGGTTTCAACAAAAACAAAATCGTATTTATTTACTTATGAAACAAACAAGTCATCTACATCTCAGATGGTTTTAGGGTGAGTAAATAATTTTACAATTCGTTTTTAGAATTAATTAATTAATTTTTCACTTTTGTGTGAATTGTTTCTTTAAGATGAACAGTTTAGTGAATACAATATTTTGGAAAAAAAGTGGTTATTCTTTTTCAATAAGTTAAAATGTAGCTTTAAGATTTAAGAACATTATACTAAAGCTAATCTTTTACTTATAATCACACATTTCTGCACACATTTTAACTTTTTGCTGTGAAACATGTTGAAGTTAAAGGGACAGTTAAAGTGAAAATGTTATTATTATTATTATTAATATAATTATTTTTATTTACTTGTCCTAAAATGGTTCCTAACCCCTCAATTTGTGTAAAAAAAAACTTTGTACTTCAAATTGGTTTGGAAAAGTGCAGGATGAGTAAATATCCTCAGATTTTTTTCGGTGAAATATTTCTTCAAAATGATCAAATTGTGTTGTGAAATAGCAGATTTGGCAACCCAGCGTACGAATTGTTCATTTGAGTCGGATCTTATCTATGTGCATTATTAACCGGTTCTTTCACACAGCAGGACAGAATTGTAAAAAAAAAATTTGTGTCGATGTTGTGTTGTCATGTTGATTTATTTAAATGCTACACTACAAATTGGACCAAAATTACGTATTTAATTGTTAATTACGTGCAGTTGACCAAACAGAATCATTAAATCGGTTCCTTGTTCAAATGAACCGATTCGACGAAATTATTTCCAACCACTGTGCATCATTGTATGAACATCTGTCATTTACAACATGTTAACAAATGGTGAAATACCATGACTGACATATCGCACTAAATTTAGGTGAAATTTTAAATTAAGGACAACATTAACACGCAAATTCAGGAATGAATCGTTAAAGAAATGGTTTCATGCCGGAGAGGTTTCTCTGGCGCACTGTCCGACAGCGGGTGGTGACGTCACCAGCAGTCCATGCTGCATTTTTCGGGCTGCTCAAAACTGTAATTATCACCGCATTCCCTCATTAAAACACACGAGTGACAATGTACAATACTTTCCGGAGTGCTGAGTTTACATAAATAATAATTTGCTATGATATTTGTATGACAGCGCCGTCTGCCGTAGTGTTGGATAAGTTTTTAAGTGTCTGCTAGCTTAGCTTACTACTGACAACGCAGTCCGAGAGCGGATGGTCTGTACAGTATGACTGACGAGCCTCTGTATCTTCCACAGGCTTCATATTAGGATATAAACACCACACTTCACCAACAATGGGGATTCTGGAGAAGATCGCGGAGATAGAGAGAGAAATCTCCAGAACACAGAAGAATAAAGGTGAGAGATCCTGCACTAAATGTGCCACGGGCCTTTTACTGCTCTGAATCATTGAGGTAACTTAACGTTGGTTTAATATTCACACATTCGTTCATTTCTGAACAGTGACAGCGTGTGACATGATCTCTATATTGTTTACCATGCTACTTTGAATACTCGGTCTGAAATCGCATGTAGGCATAACTTCAAAACAACATTAGCTCTGTTTAATTGACTGATCAATGTTTTAATATGTTGCTCTTTGGCTGATAATATGATTTCCCTACTCAGAACACACTGTCACCACTGGCTTGCTTAACTTGGTTCTTGCTTGTGGAGCTGTGTATAGATGGATTTGCTCCTCAGTGAAAATTAAACCACACTGAACTGAACTTCAACTCTGAAAACTGGACTGACACCCTTTCAGTTTACTAGAACTTCTATGTCAAGCTGTTTCGAGACCATCTACATTGTAAAAACGCTCTAGAAATGAACATTAACTAATATGGATACTTTTCTGAAGTTATATTATTAATGAGAAAGTCAAAATGTGCAAATATAAAACCAACTTTACATTTTTTTTAAAAAGTCCGTTTACTCTTTATAAACTCTGTTATCAACTTGTTTTGCAGCAACTGAGTACCATCTGGGTTTATTGAAAGCCAAGTTAGCCAAATACAGAGCTCAACTTCTGGAGCCCTCAAAGTCAGCGGGGGCCAAAGGTGAAGGCTTCGATGTGATGAAATCTGGAGATGCCAGAGTGGCACTGATTGGATTCCCCTCGGTTGGCAAGGTAACAGTAATCACAATCTGTGTAATATTTGTGATGGTCGAGGCATTCTCTAATCAGTCTGATTCATGTTTTTACAGTCTACATTTCTCAGTTTAATGACAAAAACAGAAAGTGAAGCAGCTTCTTATGAATTCACTACCTTGACCTGCATCCCTGGTGTCATTGAGGTATTTTTCAGTTGAACTCCATTGCTTTTGTTTTCTTTAAAAAAATAAAATCTTACAATAAGATGTCTTATTTTGGTGTTGACATTAAATGAAATCTACATAGATGCAGATAAAATGCGAGTAGTGTTTAATATGTGAAATAAAATTTGTAAACAGTTCAAATCTGAGTTTCATAGTCATTCAGCACAACTGATAAGTTTGTGTAAAATAAAAAGCAACAACGAGATTATTCTGACCGTTGCTTATTAAAACATATTAAAGAATAAGTGATCACACTGATCACACAATATGTTTATTGTTTTAGTCAGTTAAATTTGTTTATTGTTTACAAATAAATAAAATCTAATAGCTTGAATGATAGTGGCAGTAGTAAAGATTTAGATAGTGGAGTTTAAAGTATGTAACGTATGTATTGGAGGTGTATTGAACAGCTTGTTGTTGTAAAATATCTGGCAAGATTTTTTTGGTATATAAAATGTTGTTACACTGAATGAAATTTTAGTATAGATCTTTTGTAAATAATGGTAAAAATGTGTAATTGTCAATATTTTTTGTTCATTTAAAAATAAAAGTACATGTGCTGTATTCTCATATTGATTAAATATTAATGGTCTTTTCGTATTTTAATGACTTTAATAACTGGTATGCTAATAATTTATTGTAAAAAATTCAATTCTAGTACAAAGGTGCCAACATACAGCTGCTGGACTTGCCTGGTATTATTGAAGGGGCCGCACAAGGTGTGTTCATTAGTATTTTGAAGAGTGATACACATTTTTATGACCATTTGAAGATATGAAAATCTTGTGACATGCGTGTTTGTGTTGTGAAGGTAAGGGCAGAGGTAGACAGGTCATCGCTGTGGCCAGAACTGCAGATGTGGTCATTATGATGCTGGATGCGACTAAAGGAGACGTTCAGAGGTAAGTTGGAGCATCTCATCTTTGGAGAATGTGAGCATTATTTGCACTTTTGTTGTTTTAACGATCGTAGTTTTGTTCTTCAGGGAACTTCTGGAAAAAGAGCTTGAATCTGTTGGCATCAGACTCAACAGACCCAAACCAAATATCTATTTTAAGGTCAGTGGTGAAGTTCTGAATGAAATGTGTTTTAAATGTAGTGTTTTGTATTCATGATATTTAGGATAAATCTTTATTTGAAGCCACTTTAGATTGATGGTCTTGTGCAAATGATGAATAAAACAGTAACCGGTTTTTCATTGTTCAAAAGAGGCCAGATTTTTTTTAACATTTTGGTTATTTAAAAAGTGTACTTTTATTAAGTTAGAACGCATTGAATTGATTATAAGTGACAATATGTTGCAAATGCTTTATGTTGCAAAAATTTCGGGCAATGCATTTTGGTGCATTTAAACGAAACAGATTTATTAAACAGTCATATTTATTAAAGTAATGTTTTACTCACCAAACAGATTTAGAAATTGAAAGATAATTCAAGCAAAATATTGCAAAACAATGAAGTAAATTACAGCCTACAAAATTTTTTTTGTGTGTTTTTTTTTTTTTTTTTTTTGCTTCTCTTGATTTTTCCTCTTTAAAATTTGTATTTAATATTTTTCTAGAACATAAATTTGGGTGTACAAATTTTGAACTATTATTCTAAATTATCTTGTTAGATAAGCTCCAGAGTTGGCTTCTTTACTGACTAATCTAATGTAATCCAGCGACCTTCTTGCTGTGAGGCGACAGCACTACCTACTGCGCCACTGCTTCGCCTGTACAGCCTCCTATTGAAAATATTAATTTTAAAGATAGATTTGTGAGGGGTGTACTCATGTGCTGAGCTCTGTATGTATGTGTTTTAAAAATAGTAAGGTTTTTAGCATTAAATGAGCACAATTGACAGATTTCTGAATGTGACGTTGAAGACTGCTTCAGTCCAGCTTTTCAATCACATGAATAAATGGCACTTTGAAATGTATATTATATATGTAAATGTTTTAAATTGTGTTGTAATTTAAGAGACCAAATCAAAATCAAATCAGTTTATTATCACGTTTCACATATAAATATAGTCTGTAAATGAATAGACAAAATAAGCAATGTGCATGCGTTACACATAGAAGCAAATATATCTAAAATAAGCTTAAAACATTTCTACAAACCCAAAACTTTTGTACAGAATTCAATTCAAACTTATTTGTATAGCTCTTTTTACAAAAATTATTGTTTCCGAGCAGCTTTACATTATTGCATTAGAATCAGATTAAGTTAAAGTTACAATCCAATATAAGTTATAAATATTATATACAGACATGGTTAACCTGCAATCTTATAGCACATAGGTGATGTCTATGTGTACATGGGTAATGCTTGTATTAAGTGTAAATGTGTCCTCAAAGACCTTGATGGTTGGCATTAACTCTTCGTATGTGTTGTCGATGGTTAAATGGAACAAAAGTGTATGAATGTTTATAAAGCGTTGTGATCATAAATGTTTACCACATAAATCCCTTCTTTTAAAACCGACCTGAATAGCTGAGCACCTGAAAAATAAATGCATATAAGAAGTATATGTAAGAAGTATATATAAGTATTAACTATATTTGTAGTGTTTACACATACTGGACAAAAGCCAAACTACTTATGTTGCTTGTTTCCTCCATTCACATGTGAAAAATCATTTTCTTTTTTCAGCCCAAAAAAGGTGGTGGCCTGTCCTACAACTCAACAGTTCCTCTTACACAGTGCTCAGAGAAGCTCGTTCAGCTCATTCTTCATGAGTACAGTATCCTTCAGGCTCATTCAGTCAGTCTGTATCTTTATCTATTAAATGTGATCCACACTTTAACCTTAGCCTGACTGCAGAAATCTTCAACGCTGAGGTCTTGTTCAGAGAGGACTGCTCTCCAGATGATTTCATCGACGTCATCGTGGGCAACCGAGTGTACATGCCTTGTTTATACGTGAGTGTTTATTCTAGTTTGAGCTTTAAAAGAATGTAATCTGAATAAGTAACATGATTGCCTGTCCTGCTACAGGTGTACAACAAGGTGGACCAGATTTCTATTGAGGAAGTGGATCGTCTTGCTCATCGACCAAACAGTGTAGTTATCAGCTGTGGCATGAAACTCAATCTAGATTACCTCCTGGAGCAGTTATGGGAATATCTGGCTCTCATCTGCATATATACCAAGAAGAGAGGAGGTGCGTCTTTTTGTCCTCGGATTTTAGTCGTTAGTGTCTTCACACTAGAGTAGTGCTTGTCAACTTTCTGAACTCAAAAGGTCTTCTTGAATTATTATAGTTAATTAAAGAGAAAAGCTAAATAACTGGAAAATGCTCAAATTCTCCTTTTTTAAATTTAGTAGATTTACTAAAATAATCACATTTAATATAATAAAAAATAACCTGTTTAGACAAGTAAAAATGGAATAAATAGAAGTAAATATAGTAATAAATATAAATCAGTAAATAAAAATGATGAAAAAACAAATTATCTACAATGATAGTATTTTTATTAGGGCTGCATAATATTGGAAAAACTGACAAAGCTATATATTTGGTTTATTTGTCAACAAATAGGTTTTTCTCTTGTCAATGCTGATATTTAGAAATCCCGACAGTCTTTTTTTTTGGCGGATATTTTTAATTACAATTCTAATAATTCGTCTAATAATATGTAACAGCAAAGCAATTACACGCAGGCCTTTCAGATTTTGGTAGGCCGAATATATATTGAGGTAGCCCAAATTAAAAAAAAAAATTATTTATTAAATAAAAACAAAAACATACATTTATTAAATAAAAATGATACAATGGTATTTGTTATAAGCTATATATTTATTTTTTAAGTTTTTATTTATTAATTTTTTAAAATAACCAAGTTATTGTTTTAGGTTATTTTTGCAGCTGTAAAGATATTCCAATATTTTACAGATCGTATAATGTGTATGTATGTATGTATATGTGTGTGTGTGTGTGTGTGTGTGTGTGTGTGTGTGTGTGTGTGTGTGTGTGTGTGTGTGTGTGTGTGTGTGTGTGTGTGTGTGTATGTGTTTATGTGTGTTTATGTGTGTGTGTGTGTGTGTGTATGTGTGTGTGTATGTGTATGTGTGTGTGTGTGTGTGTGTGTGTGTGTGTGTGTGTGTGTGTATATCTATAAAATTTATTCTATTTATTATAGTATTAAGTTAAGTGTGTGTGTATACATATATATAATTTATTTTATTTTATTTTTTTATGCAACTAACTTACTGCATGTAAAATCTGAGTGATTTTGAGGTCGAGAAGACACAAATACATATTTCACCCAAACTAGAAATTTGTGTTATTATTTCTTCACTCATTTCACACCTGTTTGTTTCTTTCTCTTTTAAACATAAAACGTTTTCTTCAAAATATCTTTATCTGTATTTAACAGAGAGAATAAAAACTCAGGCTTGAAACGGGTGAACAGAGTAAATAGTGGGCTCATTTAATAATAGATGTTTTATAATATTGTGGCTTTTCTCCTTTATTATCAATAAGTAGATTTAATGCTGCCGTATCAGCAGCACAGCAAATGCATAGTTATCCACTTTGTGAGGGAATGTAAAAGCATTCAAATATATTTCCCCCCGCTGGGCAGCTGCTTTTTAAAATACATTTTTGAATGAAAAATAGTTAATGCACAAAATCCTACATAAAATAAATAGTTTATTAAATGAATTACCATGGAGTACTTTGTATGTTATTTAGTGGTTTTATAGCCAGGGTTGTGTGTTAGTAATTAGTGGTGTCGGAGGCTTTGTGTTTGTGCTCTGGGTTTGTGTTTTTGTATTTGTTATGTTTGGGAGGTCAAAAACCATTTTCCACATGTCTGGACAATAAAGATTTCTAGTTTAACAGGAGTAGTGTTAAATTCAGTGACCCTTCCCACAGGGGTGTCCAAACTCTGTCCTGGAGAGTTTAGCTCCTACCCTAATCAACACCCCCTGAACAAGTGAATCAAGCTAGTACTAGATATACTACAAACTTTCTGGCAGATGCTTTGAAGCAAGTTGGAGATAAACTCAGCAGGACACCGTCCCTCCAGGACCGAGTTTGGACACCTCTGACCTAGCAGCAATTCTTAATTTCCTAAATAAGACCTGACGTTATGGTATTTATAAAGAAGTGCCTCGATTCATCACCATACAGTGTTTTTATGAAGTGACTAAAGGCTTTAATACAATAGTGTTAACTGCTAGTCTATATATTTTTGTTTTTTTGTAACTAAGGTGATGATTAAGAGAGTTTTTTTTATTGAAAAATCCTTTTTGTAGATGTTTCAATTGATTCTCTAAGTTAAAAGCCATAACTGTATATATGTTTGAGTGGTTGTTTTTGTTGCCTCTTAATCTGACTGTATTTTCTGTTGTTGTGTAGAACGACCAGATTTCGGTGACCCTATAATCATGAGACGAGCAGCATCAGTTAAACATGTGGTACGTCTATACATATCTACTTTCTTTATATAACTCTAGACTTTCAGTGGCATTCAGGACATTTGGTGGTTAATTCAAATGTGAAAATGAAGCCACCTTTCCGAATATGAACCCTGTGACTCTATATATTAATGCAGAAATTTATTAATAACTGTAATAAAGATTGTCATATTTGCTTGCTTAAATACATATAGTGACTTTTTTGGTCAAAGCGTGTGTGTGTGTGTGTGTGTGTGTGTGTGTGTGTGTGTGTGTGTGTATGTGTGTGTGTGTGTGCGCGCATTTATATGAAAGTCATCGAATTTTCTATGATAATGTGTTCTTTTGTATATTAATGAGTACAGTTTAGAAATACTGTTGTTTAATTTGTACATGAATGTGTGTTACTGTTTACTCACATTTTGATCTATTTTTCACAAGACATTTACAAGCCGGTCACTTTTGAAAATTTTTTTTGAGGGGATACCAAAATGGGCCTTTGATCTTTGATATTATGAAATACAATAAAAGACAAAATGGTTAGCCCTCCTATGTAATGTTAGTTCTGTTTTTCTAATATTTGTCAACATGAAGTTTTTTTTCCCCAACACATTTTAAACATAATAGGTTTAAGAAATAATTTCTAATAATTTATTTATTTTCTTTGCCATGATGACCGTACATAATTCACTAGTTACTTTGCAAGATACTTGTTTTCACCTTAATGCAATTTAAAAGTTTAACTAGGTTAATAAGGTTAACTAAGCAAGTTAGCTGAATTAGCTAAGTCATTGGTAGGGCAGACAGAATCTGCAGACGTTTTTTGCTATTTCTGTTAAAAATCTGCGGATTTATGCAGAATGATTTTGGGAGTGTCGTAACTAAAAACTTAACATATGACAAAAAAATTAATTTGTAACTTTTATTTAATGTTTACCATGCACATCCTATTAGATCCACTTACTTGGTAAACAAAGCAAATCTCTCATAAGATATCTACTATACATATCTGCTAAAAGACAGAAGTTATTACTTTAACCTTTTACTTCCTTTTGTCTGAGAACATTATTAGCAATTGACCTTATGGCTGACTGTGGAGATGTGCTAATTTTTGCGATTTGTTTTAGAACTTCTGATTCAGTTGACTATGAGATAATTGACTTGGAGTAATAGACAGCAGAATATGGTCAAACTACTTGCTTAACAAACAAGTGTGTTCATGACTTTACAGACCAAGCAGAATAATATAATAAGAAAATATCAGTTTGCAAAATCAAGCAGCATAACAAGCTGTGATTAATGTCTTAAAATTAATGGAATGAATGAGACCGGAAGTCTAGATCTAAAAAGATTCAAATGGTTGTGCCAACTCGCAGAATCAGGTCAATGAAGCTTTTGATAATGCTGATTCTGGTTCTTATGTATTCCAGTGTCACAGAATCCACCGGACGTTAGCTAGCCAGTTCAAGTATGCACTTGTCTGGGTAAGAGCTCCCTTCATCTGAAACACATTCTTGCTCATGTCCCATACATGTTTGTCTTCCTAAACTACTTCTTGTGTTTTTGGTTTACAGGGAACAAGCACAAAGTACAGTCCTCAGAGAGTAGGACTGACCCACATCATGGAGCACGAGGATGTCATTCAAATTGTGAAGAAATAAAATCTCGTCTCCAGATCCACTACAGTATCAACAGAACATTGGATACGTTTTCTGTTAACAGCTGCAATGTTTCAAGCAGCTTCACCTGTGATATCGACAATTGAAAAGTTAGTTTATGAAAATCACCTGACAAAACCCATTATAATAAATAACTTTCAGATTCTTGTTTGCCTTTCATAAGTAAATAAAAAGTGTTTTATTAAATAACTGAGTTAGGCATGCACACTGGGATTCAGTAAAAATACATGACAAATTGGCAAATTGTGGATTTAAAGTTTAGGGTTATTTGCAAAAACAGATAGCCACAATATTTAGAAATTTTAAGATTTATTATTTTTATTATTATTATTATTTTGCAGTTGTACTCTTCAATACTCAATGTAAAAACTTGATTTCTGGATATTGTTAAAGTCCAATTTTTAGAAATTTCCATGTGTTTTGTAGTTGTGCTTTTCAAACAAACAAACAAACAAACAAACAAAACAATGCAGTAAACAAAAAACAAAAATCTGAAAATTACTAAAAATGTGGGATTATCTGTTTTTACAAACAAAATCTTCAAGTGTATTTTAAACCTGGAGAGAAACTGATTATTTGAAGTATTTTTGAAAATAAAAGAATCAATGTGATTTTTTTTGTTTTTAAGGCATTTGTAGGGTTTTCACATGAATTTGTGGATTTTGTATAGATGGTTAGATTTTTCCACTCTATACAACTCTATGCACAATGTGTATCATTGAGAACAGCCTATAATTTCATAAATTGTCAAAAGTCACTTCTTGATCTTAATTTAAGTCATACTTAAAGAAGTAATGTGTAATCTTTCGCATCACATAAAAAATAACAGATCAAAATAGACCCTTACACATTTCCGCGTTTTTCAGTAGCGGAAGTCATCATAGTTTGGTCAATTAAGAGCACAGTGAATGGGAGAGTAGTTACATCAGATTATTTTTTTAATCTCATCTGCTTAAATAAAAGAAAAACTTCACGACAGTGTTATCAAGACTTTCAGAAAAAGGAAAAACATAATGTGTGAGACTAATATCGACAGCCAGAGGAGAGAACAACGTCAAATTTACCCACATAGACACTCAACTCAGGTGGTTATTTGTAATTTGATGCAAAGATGATATAATACATGTTTAAATATACATATAAATGTTCATACGTTTTTTTGTCTATTTAAAAAATTTAAGGACCATTAAATGCATCGTAACAGATTTGTGAATAGGGTTCATTAGTCAACAATTTAAGATCTTTCCAGTTATTGGCATTAATCTGCACCTGGTGGTCATTTACAAACCTTTTATTTCCAAATGATCTGACAAACCCAACTGGCAGCTCAACTTTCTAGTTTTCACTGATTCTGAAAGATGGAGAGTCTAAAGTGACAGAAACCTGACAGCAGACTGACCAGATGAAGACCAGAGGGATTTAACTTTCAGTCACAACAAGAAAAGCTGATGCCTCCAGATCTGTGATTTCTGCAGAAACTCATTGAAGTCCACCAAAACGCTAGTTGCCCATGAGAGACAACATGAGAGGACAGAATAATGTGTAGAAACTCTGTGGTCAATCAGTTCAACACTGCAGTGGGAATTGTACATCAGCTGAGATCTGTATTTTGACCAAGTCTCAACTTTTATGAAAATTTGAACTGAATGGCCTGCAGTGACCAAACCTTCATCAGCAGAAAAAACAAAACTCTACTTCTGCTGAGGAGCATGTGGAGTGGGCAGAGAAATTATCTAAAGTTCTTCTTTTTTTTATTTTGAACAAAGAACGAGATCCACCCAACAAAAAGTGTCAAATAAAATAAAAACAGTAATATTATAATAATGACAAAATCAGGATTGAAACATACATGATACAGTCCCTTTTATATTTAACCAAAATTGTACAGTTTTTTCTTTTTTTACTGGCACCATTTATTTTGGCTGTGGTGTAAACTAATAATGATCCAATGTTCTCTTAAAGAAAGCAAGATTTACTCAGATTTATTTTTAATATTTGGGTCTGATGGGAAACATCTCAAACTAGGGAAAGACTCAAGTCAGTAAAGCTGAGGTAAAGTGTTTCTTTTGTTTCCTGCATTGGAAATTGGTCCGTTTATAAAGGTACGTGACAGTGAATTAGAATGTTTATTAATTGGCTCCTTCAGCAACATGCGATTCCTTCCAGCAGTTTTCGTGCAGATGTGCTAAAGTCATTAAAAAAAGGACTTGCTCTAGACTTAGTTTGTTGTATTCTTCATTGCTTCAAACATGACTGTTCTCTACTCTATTATTACTATGTTTTCCAGTGCCTTGGTCATTTTTTTTTAACATTATTCTACTAGCATGTTACAGTAGATTTATAAATTATCGACACTATAAGAAACTATTTGAAAAAGTGTCAAGACGATCATTTCAACATAGCAATGATCATAAAGATAAAAATGGTGTGATTCCATCGATCCTGGGTGTATTTAACAAGCCCCTAAACCCAACATGACTAAAAAGATCAGAGTTCAATCTTACTTGAAGCACTTCGAAAGAAAACCTGTCCCAAGTTTTTCCACGCTTATATACCAGTCAAAGAAGAAGCGTCATGGTCGTCTGAAGTGCTGCAGATTGTGTTGAACTTCAACGTTAACACTTCTCAACAGGTGTGTTGGTTATTTTTCTTCGTTTATGGTGTTTAGTTAATCTGTAAATGGTGAGATTGTGCTATTTTACGGCACATATCCAAGGGTCATTACACACAATACACAATATCAAAGAAAGCTTGGCAATCACTATTTTAATGAGCTGAGGAGTTCATAACGTATATAATTTGATACCCTACATAATTTTAAAATATATATCATATATTAAAATGTCCAACATGGTAAGGAGTAGCTAATTATTCTAGCTTTAATTGCAGCCCGTCAGTTCAGCTCCTAAACAACGGTGGAGAGTTTGAGGCAACTCTTTAAACCGCAAGATGTGCTAGCTTTCTGTATTTATCTGAAACCTAGAGCTGCCTACTCCATTCATTACCGAAAACTAGCATAATAGGCAGCATTAAATATGCATGTTGAGGCACTCGGGCCGTTCAGCACAGCGGGCAAGTGTGTGGAGTGGAGAATTATCAAGCCGCTGGAAGGCTGTTCCACTTCAGGCTTGATGGGTCTTTGTGTAATTGGGACACATTTCAGAGGCCTAAAATGACGAGGAGGATGGCAAGGAACTGTTTTGGAATAACTTGAGGACTGGTGTTTCTACGCTGCAGCTGCTTTGAATGAGCTTGGATGGAAAGATAATGGTAAGAAGGACGAGTGTGGTGCCAACGAGCTGCGCGCGTAAACATGACACTTGATGCTGAGGCCATATGGCACTGTGTGTGAGTGTTTGAGTGTGTGTTGTGTTCTCAGGGTGCTTGTGCTTCTTGTGCTTTTTTAACTTTTATATTTAATTAATTACAATACAATAGTAGTTACAGTTTACATTTTAATATAAATAGTAATAAAATGCATGTATTTGCTTAATGCTTGATTAGAAAATAGACCAAATTTTAAATGTATATAAAAAACAAATAATAGAAAGGAAATTAAATTCAAATTCATTCATTGTATCTTGTATAAGTAATATAAAGTATCTTGTATCTTGTAATATAAAGTAATAAAAATGAAATAACTACATTTTATCTTGTTTATTAATATATATATATATATATATATATATATATATATATATATATATATATATATATATAATTTAGTTTTTGTTGTATTAAAATGTAATTTTGTAAAATTAATAGAAAGAGAATATTAATACATTGAAAAGTTTTAATAAAAATTAATCAATTAATTAATTAATTATTGCATAATATTGTAAAAATAAAAATGAAGAAGAACTCATTGAGACTCGAAACAAGCAAAATTTCTTTATTGAGACATGTTGGTTAATTTGCAGTCATACAGCGTCTTCAAGAAGTACACGAGTCTGCAAGAGCCTACTGGAGTCAGGTCTGCAGTATCCAAGTTTATCAAAAGTCTGACAGCATGTCTGAAATGAGTCTTTAGGAGGAGGGGAGTGACAAGACAAAGATGGTTAAACAAAGCATGTAAATGAGATAGGTATAGTTGAAATTAGAATTATTAAACCTCTTTGTTTTTTCTTTTTAAAATATTTAACAGAGCAAAGACTTTTTCATAGTATGTCTGAATATTTTTTCTTCTGGAAAAAGTCTTTTTAGTTTTCTTTTGGCTAGATTAAAAGCAATTTTTTTTATGAACCATTTTAAGATCAAAATTATTAGCCCCTTTAAGCAAATTTTTTGGTAGTCTACAGAACAAACCATTGCTATACAATAAATTGCCTAATTACCCTATTCTGCCTATAACCCAATTAACCTAGTTAAGCCTTTAAATGTCACTTTAATATGTATAGAAGTGTCTTGAAAAGTATCTAATAATTTATTTATTGTCATCATAGCAAAGATAAAATAAATCAGTTATTAGAAATGAGTTAATAAGATTATAATGTTTAGAAATGTGTTGAAGAAATCTTCTCTGCGTTAAACAGAAATTTAGGAAAAAATAGGGGGCCAATAATTCTGACTTAAACTTTAGGTGAAAAATTTGTCAAACCACTGACCCTGCAAGTTCATCAACGAAAGTGTTTCTTTGGCCTGAAAGTATCACCCAAAGATAAAGGAAGAGTCGTTGAGACCCTGCCTGTAGCATTTGCATCACTTTGGCTCAGCCAGTGCTCAGGAAGCAAGAGATTTTTAATATTTCTCAGATTATATAAGTGTGTATTTCCACAATAATATAACAAAAAATTCAGTTTCTTATTTTTGCTTAAATTGTCATTAAAACCTAATAGAAAGTTACAATAATCTATAAAATTTATTTTACAAAAAACAGATAAAAATATAAATAATATGGAAAGGAAAAAAGAATTAATTCTGTAGTAATAATAATATATCAAATGTTAGCATATATAATATAAAGAATAAAAACTTTATTTTAATTAAAATATATATATATATTATATATTATATATACTTAATATATTTTTTATTTATTGCACAACATAATAGATAAAGAAAGATACGTATTGTATCAAGTGATTTATTCAGAACCATCTGTTCTAGCACTGATTACATTTGAGAGTATTTATATAAAATTTTTGAAGCTTGGACGTACATTTTTAGAGAACCAAACAGATCATGTAACTTTGAGGGAAAGTGTTAAAATGAAGAAAAAATATATTCTCATAACACTGATGTGTAGAAATAGCTGAAGTAAAAAGTCTTACATTAGTAGCGTGCTAATAGTATGTACTGGCTAATAATATATCATCTTATCAGTAAGAGCCCTGTACATTATTTATACAGTTGCTTAACTGGGAAGTGGAAACATGGAGCAAGAGATTAGGTTATAGGCAGATACGAATTTCACACGTGGACTTCATTTCTGAAAGGCTTTTGCTGCCCCCTGCTGAGTAACCTGTACGTTTATCAGTAAATGGACAGATATAGCCTTCAGTATTAATTAAAAAAAAAACAGCTGGTCAGTGCAGTCTCAAACCTTAAGGTAATAATAATATGTAACAAATATGTAATATATATATATATATATATATATATATATATATAT